AATAATAATAATAATAATAATAATAATAATAATAATAATAATAATAATAATAATAATAATAATAATAATAATAATAATAATCAGAATAATAATAATCAGAATAAAAGGACTGCCTTTCACCACCTGGGCACTTCACTATTCACACCTGGCTTCGAGTCGCAGAGAGTGAACATACCTAGCAACGTCTCTACCCCGGGTTTGGAAGCGATCAAAAAAAGCGGAGAAATACAAGCAAGCCAGCAAGCCAGCAAGGGTCTGGTTCCTCCTCCATTGATCGACCTTCTTTTTCGCAATTGCGCAAATCTCGCATATCTGTTCAACTCGCTTTACGGAAGTGTTGTATCGTCTAGCACCGCAGGATATATTTACGACCACCCAACTATTCACCGCGACAAGCTCATCAAGATGGTCGCGACCAGGAACCACCCCAAGGACTTCCCTCCACCGCCAGCGTCCCTCACCGGCGAGTCCTCTCCCACCAAGCGCACGACGCGCTCCTCCACCACCGCCGCCAGCGCATCGCCCACTCCCACCCCGACCAAAAGCAGCAGCAGCACCACCTCCCTCTCCAAGGCCACCGACCCGTCCGGCGCCCGCGCGGCCGGCGCATGGACGCACACGCCCTCCAACCTGACGCTGATCTGGCTCGCGATCAGCCTGCCGCTGGTGATCTGGGACACGGGATACGTGCTGCTCCGGCCATGGAGCATGCCGGGCGGCTTCCTGCATTCGCCGATCTGGGCGCCGTACGAGCTGTACGGGCGCGTGGACTACGTGTACGGCTGGCCGGCGTACGAGTCCAACGACGGCTGGACCGCCTCGCAGGGCTGGGTCAACCTCGTCGAGACGGCCGCCTACCTGGGATACCTCTACCTGGTGTATGCGTACGGCGCGCGGGAGAGCGAGGTCGTCGGCCGCGGCGCCCCCGATGCCATGAGGAGCGTGGGCGGGCTGAGGTGGTTGACGGAGAGCCGCACGCTGGAGGGCCGGGTCGCGGCGATCGCGGTGCTGGTGGCGTACAGCACGGCGTTGGTCACGTTTGCGAAGACGGTGCTTTACTGTGAGTTTCCTTTTTGTTGTTTTCCTCTCTCTCTCTCTCTCTCTCCCCTTTTCTCCTCCTGGATGGATCTCTTTCTGTGCTATGCGAATCCTTTGCATTTCTAACGGGAGGACATTGTTGCTGACGGATATGTGTGTGATTTGCTACAGGGCTCATCGAAGCGCTCTCTGGATTCGACTCGATCGGTCACAACGACTGGACGAGCTTGATCTTCCTATGGATCATCCCGAACGGCGCTTGGCTCGTGTTCCCTCTGTACATGCTCTATGTCTTCGGACAGGAGATCCTCGAGGGGTTGGAGACCGCTGTGATCCCCGCGAAGAAGCGGGATTAGAACAATACCTTCCATGTTCTTTCTAGAGGAGGAGGGATCTATCTAGGGGTTGGGGAAAGCCCCCGTCGGCCGGCGGGGATTCGTTTTTCTTCTCTTCGTTTTTCAGATGGTTGGATGTATTTTTTTTCCATGTATTCTGGACGATGTATGCTATGCCTCAATTTGCGCTTCGCTGTCGGGCCTGAATGCTAATGGTCTCTCATATGGATATGGCTCAGGGATGTTTGGGTCACTGTCCACTCGACGACACCGCCATCGGAGGATCGCCTCATTTCCCTTCTCTCTCCTATTCTATAACAATAATAATAACGTTCATGAGCAACAGTGTTCGCTTTGCGCCGCGATGGATACACACTTTGTCATCACGGCGCCGGACATGGACCCTTTCTGCTCTGGGTGGTGTCTTGGGCTTCCGACGACACACAGAAATGGGTGGTCGCCGGCCCGCCCCACACGGGCGTTGCCAGGCCATTCAGCCCCTGGCCTTCGGTGACGGAATTTTTGCCTCTTTGTTTGTTTGTTTTGTCTGTCCGTCCCCACTCCCCACCTCCTTCCTCCGCATCCGATGGACACGCACGCGCGCCTCGGAACTTCGACGACACGGCCGTTGTTTCCCACACGGGCCACGGTATCCTTTTTTTTCCTTTCCATTTCCCTCATGATGCCATGACGAGGCGGTCTGCACAATGCAACCCATGGATCGCACTATCGCTGCATGCTATACGCCCGTCGGCCTCATCGATATGCAGCCATCGATGGAGCGCTGGCGGGCAGGTCCGTCGCGACCAGCAGTCCGATGGAAATGTCGGGTTGAAACGCGAGGAATGCCCCGTTGTACGTTCCCGGGATGGACGAGCGGGGCGGGTGGGAGGAGGTATCGTCTGATGCCGATGTCCTGGATCGATCCCCATGCTACGTATCAACAACGCCGACGATCTCTCGTCGTCGACCAGTGAGATCCAACAACGTGGCGGGTCGTCGTGGACCCATCACGCATCGGGCATTTGGCGAGGTTCTGGCCACACGGCAGAGTCTCATGCAGCGATGTCCCTTTCGTCCTCTGTTGACCCGAGCTGTCCGTCTGTTTTGATCGTGTCGTATCGTATCGTATCGTATCGAGGAGGAGAGATGGGAGAGGGTCGTGGACGCGGTGGGACGTTGTTCTTGGAGTGGAGATCTCCCCTGTTGTCTCCGCCGGTGGAAGAGGAAGATTGCTATGAACTGCTGTTCGGCAGTTGTGTCGGTGGGCGGCATGAGATCATTGTTCCACCCGGAAGTCCGCGCAGTACCGTGGGACGACGATGTAGACAGGACACACGCCCGCTGCACGATCTCCGCCCGCCCCTTCTTCCGGCATTCACACATACTGTCCATACATACAGACATACAGGATCATTGATAACGCTTCTGCTTGAACGGTCGTTTTTGTCTCGGCCTTGTGAGTCCCGAGCAGACAGACAGACACAGGTTCCGATTCCAAATCTGCGGTCTCGCTGCAGGGAAAACGGACTGTATCACCGTTTGAGAGATCGGAATCTCATGGAGTGGACATATATATATATATATATGTATGTCAGATGAACATCCAGCGCTTCTTTACGCGGTTCCGACAGGTGTAGACGCCACTGTTACGACGATGCAATAAGACAGACATACTCTCATAATAACAACACTGCTACGACGATCCAATAAGAGACATAGCTAGGCATACTGTAATATCAACAACGACAACAGTATTAATAACAGTAACACTGAGGCAAGAGAGAGAGAGAGAGACAGAAAGAGAGAGGGAGAGATTTGGGAGGGTTGTGGTGGAGGCTGATTGCCGCCCGTGCACCGGGATTTTGGGATTTGCAGCCATCCCAAGCCGCCGAAGCTTTCATCATTGGCCTGTCACATTGTCCTCCAACTGTCGTTCTTCCCTTCTTTTGCTGCAGCCCGCACCACACCAAACTCCGCCCGCACCACCACAACACAACACAACACAACACAACACACCTGCAACACAACACAACACGACACAACGCACGCAGGAGACCAGACGCTTTCCGTCCGCACTCGAATCCTGTAAATTCCACGCGCTGTCCTCCTATCAACACGAATCGCTCACGGGACAACTTCAAGCAACACAGCGTTCAAGTCGATCCGGCCCTCTCTCTCTCTCCCGGCTCGGCGATCACCCTGAATTGATTTTCCCATCGGTCACTGCAACGACGACGAGGATGCCCAGGAGGCAATACATGAGGAAACGACTTTCACTTTGAGGCATAGACTGTTCTGAAAACCTGTGCGCTCTGAACATAGCGGATCGCGCAGAAGTGAGAACACCGGTGTTCCCACGCAGACCTCTCCGGGACACAGCCAGGCCCGCCATCTCCAGCGCGGTACGGACCATCTCAGGCTCGACTGCGCATATGCATCTCCACAGGCGATCAAGGCCTAGCGAGATCATTCACATCTTGTGCGACCACCAGTGGTCATAGACAGGAAATCCTCCACCGACAGCGTGCATCGCACGTCCGGCCCCTGGCGCTGGGTGAGCGCGAGGTCGACACATGGCTTCTGAGCCACCGCCGCCTCCACCGCCGCCTCATGGCCAGAACCCGCGCACTTCGTCCGGCCTGCCTCCGGGAAACTACGACATCTTCATCATCCCACCTCATTCCGCCGGAGGAGGCTTCCTCTACCTACCCTCACTACAGCCTCAGCGCAACAGCTTTCTCGCCGGGGTCGCCTGTACGCTCCTCGCCGTCACGCTCTATACCCTATCTTTGCCGATATTGAAACAATGGTTCGCGCTGGTGATGGCTGGAGGTGGAGGCATCGGGGTGTTGGGTTTGGTAGCAGCCGTCGGCGTGGGGGCTTGGGCGATCGGCAAGACACAGGCGGAGACATCAAAGGGACCCCGGGAGAGGAAGGAGAGCGATGCCGGACCGACTCCCCAGGGCAGCTATACTGGTCAACAGCAACAACAGCAGCAGCATCAACATCAACATCACTATCAACAGCATAATTATCCTGGCGCACCACCTCCGAACTTCCACTCCCAGCCACCTCCTCCACCTCCGCCCCAGCCCGAATATCACCAGAGACCATCAACACCACCGCCGCCGCCACCGCCGCCGCCTCCACCACCACCCGCACCCGAACCGGAGCCAGAGGCAGCAGCACCGCCGCCGCCGCCACCACCTCCACCGCCTCCGCCTCCGCCTCCGCCTCCACCCCCTGAACCACAATCACCTCCTCCGCCCCAACCTCGCACAAATCCGCACGCCGCGAGCGGGTGGGAAAAGGCGCGAGAGGAGACACGGAAACGCGAAGAAGAGCGGCGGCGCGCAGAAGAGCTCCGCAAAAAACGAGAAGAAGCCCAGAGGATCCGTGAAGAGGCCGAAAGAGCCGCCAAAGTCAAGGCCGAGAAGGAGAAATGGGAGCAAGCCCGGGCCCGCGAGAAGGAGGCCCGAGAGAAGGAGGCCCGGGAACGGATCGATCGCGAGCGCCTCGCCCGCGCCAAAGAAGCCCGCGAGAAGGAGGCCAAGGAGCGGGAAGCTCGCGAGAAGGCCGAGAAGGAAAAGGCCGAACGCGACAAAGCGGTCCGCGATCGCCTCCAACAGCTCGAACGCGAGAAGGCCGAACGGGACCGCGCCGACCGCGAGAAAGCCGAACGGGAGAAGGCCGAACGAGAGAAAGCCGAGCGAGACAAGGCCGAACGCCTGGAACGCCTGGAGCGCGAGAGGGCGCAACAGCAAGCGGCCGCTGCAACGGCGGCCGCCGCAGCATCCGCCAGCGGCCGATCGAACCCCGCCAAACCGGCCGCCTACCAACAGCCCTCGGCCCGGTCGCACGTCGGCACCGAAGACGAGCACTCCTACCGGCCCTACGACTCCCCGCGCGGCCCCCCGTCCAAGGCCTTCACCCACCACCCCGGCGGCGCCGGCAGCAGCATCTCCGGGCGCAGCGAGAGCAGCTACGCGGCGTCGCACAGCACCGCGCGCACCACGCCGCCGCCCTCCCACCGCGGGCCCTACTCCACCGACGACCCGATGAAGATCCAGATCCGCGCCGTCTACCTGTTCAGCGACAACTTCCCGGGCAAGCCGCGGGCCCAGCTGGTGTCCGGCCAGGGCCCGGTCACGGACGGGCTGGTGCTGCGCATCGAGACCGAGGGCCTGTTCATCGACGACGACGTCCGCGGCGTGCCGCAGCGCGAGTGGGACGTCAAGGCCTGGACCCTGAAGTCCGTCGAGAGCTCCGGCCGCGTCAAGGTCTCCGGCCACGGGCCCATGGGCCCCGCCGCCAACGGCGTCCTGCACGTCATCCGCGCCTCCCTCCGCGACGGCGAGAACCGCCGCTACCTCTTCGTGCTGGAGGACCGCGAGGCCTGGAAGGTCGACACCGGCCTCGTCCGCCTGAAGAAGGGCAGCCAGGTGCGGAGCCTCAGCGTCACGGGGATTAAGGACGCCGACGCCAGGACCCTGCTGGCCGGCCTGGGCTGGTTGTGAGGGAGAGGAAGGGGATCCGGCGGGGATGGAACGGAATGATGATGGGGATGGAGTCGGCGAGCATCAATCTGGGCGTGAGTCGAATCATCTTATCGCACATGCGGAGTATTTTCGTGGAGGAGAGAGAGAGAGAGAGGGAGAGAGAGAAGAAGGAGGGATCGGCAGAGCGCTTTGACTTCTTCCGCTCGTGGGGATCGGACCGGAGGATGGCGAACGACGCACGTTTCTCGTGGGATCGGCGCGCGGACACTCGCGCTGGGATTTCCCATCCATCCATCTATCCGTGGGTTCTCGTCATCCCCCCTTTTTGGACATATGATACCTTTTTTTCGTTTACAGCGGGGAGCCCGAAGGGATAAAAATGCTCAGTGATACCTACCTATTCGTTCAAAGTTTTTTCTCTATCTTTGTCCCGTGTCTGTGTCTGCTGAGTCCTCTCCGATCCCCCTCGATCTGCCTCTTGTCCCGCGCCCTTTTCCATCACCCGTCTCGCTTCTTCCCTACATAGACACATATGCCTTCTCGACCGTCGTTCCCTCCCTCCCTCCCTCTCTCTCACAAAAGGGGTTATAGCTTGATCATCATGAAATGAAAATGAAAATGAAAACGAAACGAAACGAAACGAAACGGACTATCACGCAAGCAGACATCCGCGCCACGCGATATCCACCACGGATTCGACAGCACCTGTCTTGGGCGGCGCTCACTGTTTCCTTTTTTTCTTCGGCTGGAGCAGAGAGAGACGAGAGCAGAGAACGGCCTCGGCGAGGCGATCGATCGGGCCCTGGGCCGTGGATGATTCTCATCATACATACATACATCCATACATGCATACAAAGAGAACCTCTTCGACATTTCTATATTCGAAATGTGATGTAATCGGTGTGGAGATCTTGTAGGAGAAAGGGGTAAGTTTCTCCCCCATCTCCTCCACCTTTTTCTTCTCTTTCTTCTTCTTCTTCTTTCATTTCGTCAACGCTCCCTCGTCCTATCCATCTCCTCCCACCGTTTCCCCCTCCGCCACCAGAAGGACAAAGAGAAAGAAAGAACAGGCCAAGATCCATCGACCCGCGACGAGAGAGAGGGAGAAAAAAAAAGAAAGAAAACAGAGAAAAAACGGGAACGAAAACATGGGATCATTGGAAAAAACGGGGGACTATGGAGAAGAAGGAAAGGATTGGCCCTTTTTTTGCCCACCCCCACCGAGGAAGACACGCAAGAGAGACGATTAAAAACAACGAGTCCACGAAAAAAAAGATGATATAGAGAAAAAGGCATGAGATCGGACCATGGGGAGATCTTCTCTCCCCCCCACTTCCTAGAAATCGGGAGCCGGACTTTTCCTTCTTCCTCACTCCCGCGCCACCTGGAAATCCACATCCCGATGGATCACCATCCGATTGGGATGATGATGATGGCCGGATTCGTGCGAGATGGAGCCGCCGGGGCTCAGGCTATCCGCGCTCCGGCGCTGGCTCGCTGCGGTCGAGGAGGAGCCGCCGATGATCTGTTCGCGGCTGCTGGAGGCGTGGACGTTGACGTTGTACTGGGAGCGCTCGGGGCGGAGCTTGAGGACGCCGCCGGCGGGGCTGGTCGGTTGGTCGAAGCCGAGGTGCGAGGCCTTGCGGACCTGTGACGTGTGGTGGTGGGTGCCGGAGGTCATGTCCGTGCGGCCGCGTCGGCCGGATTGCAGGGCGTAGGAGGCTTGCTGTTGGGACGGGTCCGGGGTGCCGTACATGGTGCCGAGATCTGTAGAGAGAGAGGATGCGGGTTAGGTGAAAAGGGGATGGGAATTACTGGATAGAGAGAGGGGGAGAGGGAAGAGGGAGAAAGACTTACGTCTTGACATGAATGCCCATACGAACGGTTTCAGGCAAGGGATGGATGCGGTGAGGAGGGACATGCAGAGGAGGACTTCCTCCAGGATGACGACGGGGACCAGGCCGATGCTCGACGCGCCGGAGCGGATGAAGCTGATGTAGAGGAAGATGCCGATGACCGAGAGGGCCGCGACCAGGACGCGGAAGGAGTAGACGAAGACGACGATCCTCTTCTTCGAGGCGCGCAGCTCGTTCTTGCTGATGAACCAGATCGGGAAGCCGATGATCAGGAGCTCGGTCAGGATCTCGAGGGCGACGATGACGGCCCATCGGGCGGCCTGCAGGATGACGATGGGGTGTTAAAAAGCGCGGTCCTCGAGATGAAAGGGGAGGATGATTTCAAATCCCGATCCAGGACTTACGTTGTTGTTGCACACCGCGTCGGGCGTCGCGGTGAGGACCTCGGTGGGCCGGCAGCCGACCGAGCTCAGGAAAATCGAGGCAATTCCATAAATGGCCGTGATGGCATATGCGATCGCGAAGATGATCCGTCTTTGATCCAAAGTCAGCTGATGTTACTCGACCGGTCGGCCATGCAGGAGAGCTGTGGCAGCACTCACTCTCCGTGGAAGTCGCCCTGGAAGATCCTCCTCGTGAAGACGAGTAGGGAAAGTTTGGAGAGACCTAGGGCGAGGAAAATGAACGGACGGGCAGCAAAGTAAAGCTGTTGCAAGGCAGAGGTCAGCAGATGATCCACGCAAGCACGACGCAGATTTGGAATTCCATCCGAGCGGTTTCGGTGATGGCCCGGGGATACAAAGGGAGAATTTCCCTCTTGGAGATGATGAAGTTTACCTTTGAAGCCATGTCCAAGGAGGATTGCGACATCGCGCCGACGGCCACCCCGAGGCCATTAGCAGTGGAGCTGAAAATGAGGCCCCAGTGGACCACTGCAAAGGTCTGAAGAGACGCATGGGGGTTAGTATGCGCAACAGTGACACATTGTGACACCTCCCGAGGGAGCGGATGGTCATGCATGGCGACGGAATCAGGTCGGAGAACTTACATATCCCGCGGCTGGAAGGCAAGAGCAGAGAAGATGGTCAGCACACCGAAGGTTTCCCGTTTCAATCGTGTCGTACAAGGGTGTGTCGAGTGGTGGAGGATCTGCATTGCATCGCACTCTCACACATACCTAAGATGGCATCGTCCCACCAGAACATGTCCCATTTAGCCAGCAACCGGGCCGCGAGGCACAAGAAGCTGTAGATCAGCGACAGCAGGGTGGTGACCCACAGCCAAGGGCGATGATCGTCTGATGTCGGGGTCTGAAAGCCGGCGTTGAGCGCATATTGTGTGGCATCGTTACTCATGATGATGGTGATATCGAATGGATGGATGGATGGATGAAGTCTGCGCGCGCGGCGAGCGGGCGCTCCCACCAGTACTGGGAATCCTGGTCTCTCTCTCTATCTCTCTCGCCGGAAGGATGGAATGGGGAATCTTTTCCCAAGCGCGAGGAATTAGGTTAGGTAGATCTCCTCCACAAGGATCTCTGTCGTTCTCTCAAACAGACGTCCAACAGGAAGCGACGGCGATGACCAGGGATTTCCGCGTGAGCGGCCCAAGCGGCATAAGCTTTTCTATTCAAAGCGCATTCGACGGCGGCAACAAGGTCAAGAGGAGGAGGATTCCCCGGTAGCGACGCGCGGATCGAAGGGATGTGTTTCCCTTTCACGACTGACAGTGGAAGGTTCGTGAGCAGGTGAGGTCGGAACGAGATGTCAGAGAATTGCGCCTCCCCGGAAAGAGAGAGTGTTGTGCCGGCACGAATGCGCAGTCGATCAGGGTGTGTATCGCTAGTAGTAGAATGACGGCGATGTATGTGGAGAGGGAGAGAGAGGAAGGACTACTGTAGGGCAGGGACAGAGGCGTCTTCTCTCTCGTACTGCACAAGAGACTGGTAGTGGTAGTGGTAGTGGTAGTGGTAGTGGCGGTGGTGGTGGCGGCGGAGAATGATGGTGGTGGTGGTGGTGGTGCCGGTGGTTGTGTTGGTGGTGGATGTGGTTAATGGTATAAATTTAGTGAGACGATACTCTTTGGGGTGTATGCTGAAGTGATGAAGTGATGAGCGACGGTGGTAGCGGCGGTGGTAGCGGTGGTGGTGCCCCAGATTTTCTTGACTGTCTTGACTTTCTCTACCCTTTATTATTACTAGGTACCTAGTCTCGAATTCGGAAGGGGAAAATCTCCTCTCAGGGTATTCGATATATTTTGTCTTGTCGTTGACGATATATATTGCGCTGGGACGTCGGTCGAGGGCGAAACCTCACCCCCCGTGCAATTTCGGATGTGATATATTATTTTATGAGCACATATCATATACTCCTACCCTCGGACGCATGCATCATATAGTGGAGACCGACTGCAGGCATCGATCAGGGTCATCTCGTCTCCTTCTCGTCTCGTCCGTCGCATCCCGGGAGCGGTCCTTGGCGTTCGTGCAGCTGCATCTGCACGCCCAGAACCAGGTGGGCCGACAGAGATGCTCCCGATCGTGGCCAACATATACACTCTAGAAAGGATGCTCTGTGGAAAGGACAGTCCAGATTGGAAAGTATAAGACATGTCTCACTCCGTCGATGGCTCCAAAGCGGCGAGACCCTCGCTTCTTCGAGACAGAGGTGCACCGAAAACTGGGGAGACCACAGTCCTCCTTGGGATGTATTCACTGTAGTAATAAGCAGGAATACTTCCATATACATCCACCTGGCAGTAGTATTCCTATCCTCCCATATACATCCACCTGGCAGTATTACAGCACTCCAACCCCCCGCGTGGCTGGCGTGACATTTCCCCTCCGCCGCGCCGATGGATCGATTGCCAAGAGACATCGGCCACCCTCGCGACCCAATGAGAAGGTCTCCTGATGTCCTCGAGAGGGGAGGAGAGATATCCTCACCAGAGGAAAAAAAGTTTCACCCATCGATCGTCCAGCGCATCCCTCTCCCTTTCCGTCTCTCGAAAAAGTAAAAAGGGCGATGGCGAAGGTTCCATTCCTGGACGAATGGCGCAAAATCCCGTGAACGTCGCCAAAAGTGTCGCTGTCGTGGGTTGTTTCCCGCCAATAAGAGAAAGTATCGCTGTCGTTTCGTTCATGCGTGTGAAGCTCCAGTATATGGACTGGACTGTACGCCCGGGGGTCCGGACTTTACCCGTATCGCCTTCATCATGACTGCCCCCCAGCACAGCCCAGGGAGGGAAATGCTCCAGACGTGGCGAAAAAACATACAGTAGAAAACCAAAACGTGCGCGGTCGTCTTCTCTCCCACTAGATGGTTTGTTAGGACCCCAGCGCCCATGGATTGCGCATGGATTACGACGGAACGGAACTGCACCAGACGAGGACGGTGGACGGCGGTGGACGGCATGTGCTATACAAGGGTGTCCTCGTTCCTCATCGTATCCCTTTCTCCACCACTGACATCCATCCGTCCATCTATTGGTACGGGACCTGGTGTCGTTTCGCATCGTGCGTACCTGTACCTGTACCTGTACCTGTACCTGTGCCTGTGCCTGTACCTGGGCTCAGGGATCTATGTATTGCCCCGACGCCACGTTTTTTCCGGACCGTTGATAATAATACCTCTTGTCCATCGTCGTGATGTATTCAGCCCTGTCGGTCGTGCCTCCAGCGGCGGTTTCCATATAGGAAGTGCCGGGTGGGTGGTGCCTGCCAAGTCCGTCCCTCTCGCATCCAGATCTCGTACGGTACAGTACGTGCACCGGACGGCGTTCAATCTGTATTGACATCGACGCCCCTCTCATCGTCGTCGAAGCACACACACGAGATGGACCGAGAGGCGAATGGATCGCATCCAGCAAATTGTTCGAGTCCAGATTGAGGAATTCATTCGCTCTACGGTATGGAAATGAAAACGTCGGCGAGCAAGGACGAGATATCTCCCCTCCGATGCATCTCGCCGACTCTCTTCTGCTGCACCACCACCCGCGAAAAAAAAAACCCCCCCTTCTGCTGTCATACCCGCGTGGATCTTTAAAAGATTTCTGACTACTGCGACCTGTTCCCGTGTGGGCTCATGTGTGCGACAGCTGTGCCCACGTGTATGTGTGTATGCGTGTATGCGTGTGGGTATGTATGTATATATGTAGATGTAGAGGTGCATGTGCACGTGTGTGAGATGACATGTCGAGATGAAGAGAGAGAGAGAGAGCCCTGTGCAAGATGCGCGATGCGAGATCGAGCACGGCGCGACGACGGGGTCAGGGACTACTGCAACTGGATGTGACTGCAGGCGGGCGAGACCAAAGCGCAGACGTTCGTCCCTTCTCCCTCCTCTCTCTCTCTCTCTCCGAAGATTCTCCCGCATGTGTGGAAACACCCTTATCATTAGACATCGTGCACACACACAGACACACACACACGGACGGCGTCGGTTTCGCGACGTGTATTACTAGATCCCGAGAGCGCGCGCGCGAGAGAGAGACAGAGAGGCGACATGTCACCTTTTCCCCATCAGAACAACGCCACTCTGCTCCGCCCTCATCTGGGCCTCAGCGAGGACGACGATGATGGACTTTCCCCATGAGCATGTTTCCAGCGTGCCACCTGCCAACTTCGCACGAGGAGGGGACAAAGGAGAAGGAAGTCTGTGTTCTCCTCCTACATACCTAGGTAGTTCCCTCCCGGGAAACGAGGAGTCGGGAATTCCTTTCGAGTGGGTTTCCCTCCCGACGATCATCGCATGCGCCAGCCTCCTCGTGGCGTGGCGTGGCGTGAACGTGACGGGCGTTTCACAACGGCGGGAGAACCGGCCATCATCACGGTCGTTCGGATGAATGGGCGGAATTCCACCCCCCTTTCTTTCTCCTCCGTCACCGGAAATCTATGGGACATCGGATGACGGATTGGGGGATTTGGCGAGTGATGGTCTGGAGGAGAATACGACTCCGGAGCGAAGCATGGGATCCTCGAACCGCTCCGAAGCGAGATTGGGGCCCAATCGTTTCTTCGTCCTGTCTCTCTCTCTCTCTCTCACGTGGTCGACACGATGTCGCCCCGAGAGAATCGGCAGCGGGAAAAGGGCCCTGGTGGGCTGGGGTTTAGTCGATAAGGGTACCAGGGGACCTTTTCCTCGAGTCCTCGTCCCCACATGGGAATTTATTTTTTTCTCCTCGACGTTTTGCCGCTTTGTCGCGTGGAAACGGTCGGGTCGACGGTTACATCGATGGTCGCATGGGTGGGTGCATGGATGATGGTGATGATGATGAGGATGATGATGCGACTGATCCCGGTGGGAGGGTGGGAAAGACGGGAAGCGTGGTGGGACTGTCGTACTGTGTACTTACTGTACCATGCATCGTGGTTGATGATGGGTGCTGCGTGCTGTGCTATGCTTGACAGATGAAAGGTGTGTGGGCGCCGCGGATGGTCAATGAACCGATCGACGGGTGCTGCAGCAGCTAGGTGGTTGATCGATGAATGGGTCCCCCGAACTTGGCCCGTTCCAGCCCATTCCGCCGGGGCTTGTTGCAGGGTGTGGTGCACCACCACCGTAGATGCTTGGGGAGGAAAGAAAGTTCTAGCGTGGAAATCCAATCGTCGGGTCCCTTCTTCCCTCCATTTGGATGTATGGGTGGATGAAATGTATGAATGTATGTATGTATGAATGTATGAATGTATGTATGAATGTGTGTATGGATGTATGTATGTATCTACTATCGCAGCTAGGACAAAGGCATCGCAGCATGCATGTGTGTATGATTGTATCTATCTATCTACAGACGGTATCTTCTCTCATCGTTCACATTTGGTGGGGAGATCCCATCCCCCAGGGCCGCGGCTCATGCATGGGATTGAGGCTTCCATTCGTTCCAGCGTTTCCATCTCCCCCTCCTCCTCTTCTCGTCGGCATTCGTGCATACCTGCATGCATGCATCCCTCTCTACATCCCTCCCTCTCTCAAACCGGTCGGCCGGCGGCGAATGCGGATGGCCATCTCGACTCGCGTTTCCACCCCGGTCCCTTCTAGCGCGTGCTCTCTGTTTTGCCATTCGCCTGTGCACGATGACATTTTTTCCCCCTTCGCTCGTGATAAGGTGGCGGTCCGGGGTGTTGGGATAGCGCAATGGGTGGCGGAGGAACTCTCACATGGTCGCAGAGACCATTGATGATTAGTTAGTTCGTGGTGGTGGTGACGGTGGTGCCATTGATTGAATGGCGTGAAAGGGAAGGAAGCATGGACCGATGTGTGGTGCGCGAGCGAGACGAACGAACGGACGGACGAACGAACGGGAGGTGAAAGGCGCGCGCGTGCCAATCCCTTGGCCACGAGTACTACTGTATCTCCCTCTCTCCGCCCCGACCACGCTTTTTGAGATATGTCCGATTGTGAGGTGGATCCACCGTGCATACCTACTAGGTGCTAAGTATGTTAACAGGTTCCATCTTTTTTTTGACCTGGGTGTGTGTTGGTGTGTGTGTGTGTGCGGGTGGGTGGGTGTGTACATGGCGCGCATTCATGGACAGTAGCATACATGCAATCTACATACATACAATCTACAGTACCTACATTACTCCATCTTGTCCCTGACCGAACGAGACAGCTGCATGAACGACTCTCTCCTCTTTTCACCACTCTCTTACCATCCGCCCGGAGTCTCTTGTGCTGCGTGTTTGAGACACGCCGAGAGTCAGAGTCAGAGTCGGAGTCAGAGAGAGAAGAAGAAAGATAAGAAGAGCGTCCTCTTTCTGCATACCACTACTAGGGACTGCAGCATAGTCCCTGACGCCGCTGCGGGTTCGGCCGCCTCTGCTTCCTCCTCCATCATCCATCTCATCTCATCTCATCTCGCGTGCGCGCCACCCCGATTTCTGGACATATCCGTTCGCCAACGTCCGACTCCACGCGACATTGGCGATTTCTTTTCATCACCTGCGGGGTCCCCGCTTTCCTCTTTCGTTCTGCTTGGAACCTCGCTCTGAACGTCGTCGGCCATCATCATTATCATCATCATCGACATGGGCGACATTGCGATGGAGCCGTATGGGAAGCACCCTCATACCCATGAGGATGTCTTCCCCGCCACCGCTTCTCCGGCCGACAGCTTCGACGATGATGAGGTCAAACAGGTGCAGGCGCGGGATTACGATCCACGATATGGTGAGCGATATCAGCATCCGGCAGCAGCGGCGACGTCGTCATCGTTGTCGTCGTCGTCGTCGTCAATGCGATGAAATGATACAGAGCGTGGATTTTCTGACATTCTCCACCTCACAGATCAACGTGATATGAGACGGTTGGGTAAAAAGCAAGGTGGGTCTCCTCGCGCAACTCCCGCATCCCCACCGCAAGGCGCTCTTCAGCTGACGAATTCCACCCCAATGCAGAACTGAAACGTCGCTTTCGATTCTTCTCCATCGTCGGATATGTCATGGTGTTGGGCCTGACATGGGAATTCTCCCTCGTCTTGACCGTCTTCTCCCTCGCTAACGGCGGTACCGCTGGTGCCATCTGGATAACACTCGTCGTCTGCTTCGGATCTTTCTTCGTCATGTTGTCCATGGCTGAGATGGCATCGATGGCGCCTACGTCTGGAGGACAATATCGTGAGTGACACTGGCTTTCCGATTTGAGAAGCCACCAAGGATCGTATGCTGACGACAATTCACAGATTGGGTCAGTGAATTTGCGCCTGCGAAGTATCAAAAGGTCTTGTCCTATGCTGGTATGTACAGCCTCCTTACCGTGTTCCATCCGCATTTTTGAAAGCGCAAAACCACGAATTCGGCTGACTTGATCGTCACCCAGTCGGCTGGCTCTGTGCGCTCGGATGGCAAGCTGCCATGCCTACGGTCGCATACATTGGCGCTCAGCAGATCATGGCCTTGATCTCCGTCTGCGACCCGAGCTATGTCGCCCAAGGTTGGCACGGCGCTCTCTTGACTATGGCCATGGTCGCCAGCGCCATCTCCTTCAACACATTTGCTATCGGCAAATTGCCCGTTTTGGAAGGTCTGGCCGTCATCCTGCACATCTTCGGCTTCTTCGCTTTCTTCATCATTCTGTGGGTCATGGGTCCCCGCGCGCCAGCCCAGGAGGTCTTCACCACCTTCCAGAATGGCAACGACTGGAGCAGCGTTGGATTGGCCACACTCATCGGTATTGTAAGTGGTGACGATGAAATAAAGCTGTCTGTGCCGCATACGGACATTTGCGCTGACGTTTGATGATAGGTCGGCCCGACCACCACCTACTTGGGTGCCGACTCCGCCGTGCACTTGTCCGAAGAACTCCGCGATGCGGGCCACGTCCTTCCACGTGCCATGTTCTCGGCCGCCATCATCAACTACGTCCTGGGTTTCGCTACTACCGTCACCTTCATGTTCAATGTCGGTGCCAACCCGGAAGACCTCATAGATCCCAGCAAGAACCCCTCTGGTCAACCTTGGGTCGCTGTCATGCTGAACATCACGGGTTCCAAGCCGGCCGTCATTGTGCTCATCATCGTCATGATCGTCCTGGTGAGTCATCCTGCTCGACTCTACGCGTCTCCTTCGAACGGCCAAACTAATTTGCTCACCTCCAGTACTTCTTCTGCGCCGTCAACCAAGTCACCACCAGCAGTCGTCAAGTCTACGCCTTCGCCCGCGACAAGGGACTTCCCTTCCATGCTTTCCTCTCCCGCGTCCAGCCTGGCAACGGCGTGCCCACCAACTCCGTCTACGTGACCCTCATCTTCACCAGCCTGATCGCGCTGATCATCATCGGCTCCCCGCCAGCCTTCAACATCATCCTCTCCGTCTCCGCGACCGGCCTCTTCACCTCCTACATCGTCGTCATCTCCGTCGTCCTGATCCGCAAGCTGCGCGGGGAGACCTTCCCGCCCTCGCGCTTCAACGTCGGGCGCCGCCTGGGAATCTTCGCCAACATCGCCGCGTTGTGCTTCCTCTCCGTCGCCTTCGTCTTCCTCTTCTTCCCTCAGATCCCCAGCCCGGATGCGCCGAATATGAACTGGGCCATCCTCATCTACGGCGTCGTCGTCAGCTTCGCGCTGATCTATTATTACATCTACGGAAGGCATCATTATGATGGTCCTGTACAGTGAGTTTTCGCCCCTCCCCCGACGGGACTGACATCCGGACGGAAAGCTGACGATTTCAAATAGTTACGTGCGCAAGGATTATTGATCGTTGGAAAAGAATTAAACCTTTTTAACATTTCTACAAACACCCCCTTTCTTTCTTTCTTTCTGCTTTTCCTTTTCTTGCTCTCTTGGGGAAATCGGGTCGGGCGCAAAGATGATGTCACGAGCGGAGTTTCTTTTTCCCCGCCTGGGAAGGTACGATATGTTGTTGGCTCCTCCATCTATCCATCTATCTACAGACATATACTATATCTCTACATCTACCATCTACACTACCCTTGAACGGAGGAATTTTTATCCAGACGTGTGACACGCACGGCGATTTGACGAAATGCTGCAGGTCCCGCCTCGTGGTCGGCATGACTCGGTCCATGCAACAACGACCAGGGAGCAAGGCAAGGTTGGCTTTCCGAGGCTCTCTCTTCTCCCGGGATTATCGACCAGACGGAAAGGATCGGACGCAATGAAATCGAAATGGAGAACGCCGCCCCGATCGCTTGCACATTGTCTACTTACTACGATGCATATATATCCCTATCAAGTCAGAGTGAATCCTCTCGCTGGCTCGCCCGTCGCCGCCGCGGGAATCCCGCAGTTCGTCTCTCTCTTCAATCTTCAATTTTCGTCGTATACAATCATTGGCGGGGATAATTGAATGTATGGTCCCATAGATACAGACACAGACACACACACACGCATACACACAAAACAAACAAACATTCCCATCGTTATCACATCACATCATTCCATGACCACCACCACCACCCTCATCGTCATCATCAAGCCAACTCCCTCCTCCCATCAAACTGCCCCGCCACCAACTCCGGCGAATCCGGCCGCGGGAATCCCAGCTCATACCTCCCACGCGAATCCGCCTCCGACATGCCCCCTCGGGGCGCATCTTCGAGCTCATACCGTCCGCTCGAGCCGTCCGCCTCGGGGAGATGGGCCGAGCTCAGCCGCCACGCGCGGGCGCCTCCCGCGGCGGAATCCCCGTCGTCGACCGGCGACGACGACGACGTCGGCGCTTCTCCCCCCGCCTCCTCGCTGTCTGTGACGGAGGGGTCCGCCTTCGCCGCCGCCTCGCCCGCTCCCCCTTCTGCTGGCTCGCGGGAGCGTCGTCGTCTCCGTCGGACCAGCCAGAGCGCGCTTCCGATCAGGAGGATCGCGCCGATCGACGCCCCAACGCCGATGCCCGCGGCGGTGCCGGGCCCGAGGCCCTGCGGGACCGACGGATCCGACGGCGACGAGGCGGTGGGGGTCGCCGTCGCCGTCGTCGTCGATGTCGCGGTCGCCGAGGTCGCGGGGAACTGGGTCGTGGAGAAGATCTGGCCTGCGAGGTAGACGGCGGGCCCAGCGTCGAACACGGCCGCCGTGTCGTTGCAGCAGGTGTACCGCGCGGACCGTCCGGGCACGCCGTTGTTCGGCCAGCGCCACGGCGAGCAGCAGTAGGTCGTCTGCGTGCACGCCCAGACCATGTGGCTGTTGTTCCACGGTTGTCCGGCTGCGAACCATCGTGACGATGTCCCGTTAGTGGATTCTTCCTTCCGATGGATCTCTTTGTATGTGTGTGTATATGCGTGTGTGTGACGAGAACTAGCAGCAGCGGTCAAGGGCGAAACTACTCACGGGAATTGTCCACCGTCGTGCAGTAATTCGGGCAGTTGGGCGATTTCCAACTCGGATCGGTACAGGCGTGTCGCCAGTAGTAATTGTTCTCTTGATCCCATTGCGCGTTTTTGCAGAGCCCGTTCGTGGTGCACAGATCGTTCCGTCCGCAACAGCTGCTGAACCCGTCGTTGGAGGAGGAGGAGGAGCTGTTGCAGGCCACAAAGTTATCGGTCGGCGTGCCATCGGGAAAGTAACATTGCGATTGTGCTCGCACACTCGCGATCGCGATCGCAAGCGAGACTGTGGAGAGAATCATCCTGTGCTGTACGCATTTCCGTCTTCATGCGAAGAGGAAGAACCATCGACGAAACATCGGAGCGCCCTGTCCGCATCTAATATATGACCTGCACGCAACGACACCAGCCCTTCCGAGACGATCTCGAACCTTTCTTGCAGGTGCGGCAGATGCGTGGCTGCGGCGCCTCTGACGCTTCGGCGCTGCATGGCCGTCGTTTACTCGCTCGTGGCGACGCCTCCATCCCGCGAACATGCAGGGTTCGGAGGCCACATTTTGCCAACCACCTTATCAACGTAGGAAAAGGCGGACACATGAAAGTTTCCAGGTCTATCCAAGTGCAATACATCTGACCTTGTACTGCCGCATGGCGATCTTTCTCCTTGTTAGGAAGGTCGACGGGTCACATCGAACTTTGGAAGAAACACTCACGTGCGTGGAAATCTTCAAACCGACGTCCACACAGCCACACGTGGCCGATCGATCGACATCGCTGCAGTACAGCTTGCTTCCTTTTCACACCTCGATGTTTGATCCGTTGAATGGGAGACGAATTTATCGAGACATGCCTGCGGTTGACGGATGAATAGTATATAACAATAGTATCTTCAATTGAAATAATCCGTCATATTTGGACAAGAAGAAAGGGCAATCCTCGCCAAAATTAAAAACATAGCGCAAAAGCGACGAACAGGAGAAGAAAGCACGACCAAAAAAAATCATCTCGCTGATGAGTCCACTCCAAAACTTCATCAGACAGCAAGCTCCTTCGACTCAGCGCCCTTCAAAATCGTCGCCTCCGCACTCGAAGTGACCGCCAGCGCCAAACTGACCATACTCGCGCCAGCACTGCCTCCACCTATCCCACCGCTCGCCCGGCGCCGCGCCTTGAACGCACGATCGAAGGTGTCTTTGATCAGCTTCTTCAACGTCGCGCGCTCGGAGACCGGCACGCCGCGCTCCTGCTCGCCCGCATTCGACGAGCCGACGAGGCGCGCGGCGCAGAGGCCATCGGGGGCGATCTTGACGCCGTATTTCGCCGTCAGGCCCCGGGAGACGGTGATGCTGAAGTAATAGGTCGTGGCGACGCCCTGCGCCATCTGGGCGTAGCGGCAGCGGAACGCCATGTTCGCGGCGTCGGGCTCCTCGATGAAGGCGATCTCCAGCGTGCGCAGGGTCTCGCGGAGCGCGGCGACCAGCTGCGGCAGGCTCTCGGACGTGAGGCAGTAGCCTTCCAGGATGGGGATCGAGCGCCGGGCCTTTTTGCGCCCGCTGAGGTCTTCCGACGAGCGCCGCGAGTGCGAGAGGTCGCCTTCGTGCGCGACGAAGCGGCCCCGTTGGACGTTGGCCATGGTGAAGAAGGGGTCGAAGGGGAGCGGCCAGGGGGAGCGGGAGAGGAAGGCGGAGGGGCGGAGGCGCTCGGGCGCGCTGTGGTTGCACCAGGCGATGGCGGAGGTGTCGGTGGCCATCTCGGGCACGCGGGCCTTGAGGAGGCTCTCCGCGCGGTTTTGGTCCGGGCGGAGCAGTTGTTTGGCGGGGAGGGAGTTGAATCTTGTCTTGAAGCACTGCGACACCGTGTCTGCCTCTACGACGGACGGGTGGAGGATGGATCCTTTCAAGGCATCGGCGTCGGTCTTATGCTTCTCCCAGATGTGGTCGAAATCTTCAGGGACCAGACCGGCCATGACTCGCTTCTTCTCGGCATCGATGACCTGCCACAGAGCCCGGGTGGCTTGAGGTTTAAACATCGGCGCGTGTTCGGCCAAGCTGTACGCGAGCCAAGCTTCTTGTCGCCGATTGAGCATCGCATATGCATCAGCAAGCCACCAGGCGGCCGCGCCGTCAGCTTCGTCCAGCTGAAGCATGTCGACAATTGGCACGCGCAGCACTGAAATGAAGTATCGAATCGCAGCCTCCCATTTGCCTTGGAAACTGGAGCAGACTCCCAACAAATGTTTCACCCGTCGAATTTGTGCATCGTTGTCTTCGCCTTTGAGGAGGCTGTCGAGGATGGCGCGAAGGTGGGTCTCCGCCAGGCTCCAGAGGCGTTGGTTCCAAAAGTATACGGCGTGTTGAATGTGCTGTTGATCAGATGGTGTAGCCGGTAGTGTCGATTCATCCCGCTGGTGAGAACTGTCGTGGGTGATGCCCTCTTGTGGATGTTGCTGCAGCTGCGAAACACGATCTTTGCCACCGAAACGTAGCTCTGACCGTGCACGCGTGCGCACCGGCGAGTGAAGTTCCCGTTCGGACTCCGCGCGGCCGGGATGGAGGCTGTCCTGGTCGGATGCAAAGGAGAAGCGTTTGCGACCGGTGCGTCGTTCCAGAGAGCGATGTGCCTCCGCAGATCTGTTGGGTTGATGCGATGCTGGCGGGCTGTTGGACATTGGCAGGGGCCACGGCGCACGACCTCGCTCAGAGGTATCATCATTTTGTGGATCGTCCGTTGCCGCTCCCGGTTCATCACGAAGCGTGACACGAGATAGAGCATCGTCTACCTGTGTTAATAGCTGTGTGAGGGAGGCTGGTCTTTCTGGCGCGATCGAGCCTTTTCTGTCGACGGTTTCATGTGCGCTGGCCAGACCACGCGAATCAAAGTGACCATGTTCCATGATCGGCGCAGTCAGTGGGGTTCCCAACACACTAGCGGATATTTCGCGGACCGGTGGCGAGGTTGGTCGGGGCGTTTCGTAAATGACACTCTTGTGATAGGCAGTCGCCCAAGGGAATCCATCTCCGGTCTCTGGGATCGTCGGTGGCGGAGGAGTGTTGAGAAACGTGGTGCCCGATAAAGAGCGCACTTTGGTGTGCATGGCGAGGTTTGGCGAGCTCTTCGAGGATGAGATGTGGTGCTTAGGAGAGCCGGCCATCGGAGGCCCATGCAGAGACGGTGATGGCCATGGAGGCGTCTCACCTCCGTAAAGCGTCCGATGACTGCTCGCCTCGCTCCCTCGCTTGCTTCTGTCTGCTGGATGGACATTGCTTCCTCCCTCCGGCGATGACCGTCGGGAATGTGGATGTTTGTTTGCTGAAGACTCGACCGAATAGCCTCGGAAGTCAAGGATTGGTGCATGAAAGTCATTCCAATCAGTCTCGCCGGTCATGAAATCCCATGCGACAGAGCCTGAATGGTAGCTCTCACTGCGGTAGACATGGCTCAGGAGGTGGGTCCTCTTGATATTTTCAGGGACAGGAGCTGGCCCTTCCGTCTCTGGGATCGATGATGATAGCTTAGGGGATGACCTCGCTGTGACAGGTACGTCGGATTTGGAGACAGCCGCTTCGTGGACTGCATTCAATTGTTTGCTGGCCCGCTCTATGGCAGACTGGAGGCTAGAGAGGATAGCATCGGTCGGTCTTGCCTCTACGTTGTTGGCTGCGATGTTGTCTTCGAGGCCGAAAAGGAGAGTCCGACATGCCGATACGGATTCGAGGACCTGTGCATCTTCGACGCTTTTGTCGGCGTGGGATGTATCGATGTCTCCAAGTGCATTCCGCAGGTGTCGGAGGGAGCCGACAAGTGCCCGAAAAGGGCTAGAGGAGGTATTGCCTGGTGAGGAAAAATGATCAGTCGCCGTATTTCGAAGTCGCGGTAGGGACGATATTCCGACTCACATTGCTTTAGAATCTTCTGTGCCAGATGTTCCGTGTCGGCGACAAAGTCCGACGTCGGCTCGGCCATTGCTCGCTGGTGTCGGAGCTTGCCGAGGGTGGTGGTATCTTACAATTTATGTTCCAGCAAAGCCGACGAGGCACGACTAGTGAAGAACGCCTCGTGATTCAATGGGTGGATGTGAACATGACAGTAGGCAAGGGAACGGTCATTGAGGTGGGAGTTGTGGCGTCCGCCGTGGGGAGCCTCGTGTGATTATAATATAATCGTCAGGATGGTGCTGATAGCAACAAACCACAACCACACACCAATTGAGCGGCGGGAGCACCGAGGAAGGAGCGTTGGTTACTACCATTCTCCCCACCCGACTAGTTTCCTTCCTTAGTGCTGTTATCATCGTGGTCGTCCTCGTCGTACAGACCACAGCATGTTGAAACACATTCTATATATTTACACAAGGTTTGCAGGCTTCATCCTCCAATGAGACTGTAGCGCGTATCGAAGGAATGATCGGTGTAGTTGTTTACCTGGAAAAGGTTAATTTGATGGTGGTGGTGCTGGTGATCATCAGGACCTTCTCGCGAGCGGCGGCGCAGCTTACCTATTTTTTGATCCGATAACCCATCCTACTGCGGGCCTCATCTCACCCGCCTCGTTCGCTTACTCTCACTCATCAATGTGTAGGTTAGTATACATACACCAACGCTATACCCGCGTCGTCGAGACTGAGCCCTACTTGAGCCCTGACCGAGAAGAGGAAGTATTCGACCCATTTGCTCTCACGGTAACATTGCAATTTCGCATTGAATGACACGGTCGTAAGACTACCGTCTCAAGCGCGCATGAGACGAGCCGCCGTCAGTGCGGGACCCGAGTAACGATCATGATCCTGTCGCCGTGGACTGTGCCACTGTAGACAAGAATGATTCGCCTGCAAGATCTCGGGGGATGGCAATTGCTTGGGCACCTGGGCACAGTAAAATAATGATCCCAGAGGTAAGGGCGGCGGCCCGAGACGACCGAGGCCGCCCATTGGATCTATATTTAGGGGGCCGCTGGCCTTGAACTAGCCCAAATTTAGATGGCTGTCCTTCATCATCATGGTCCCTGGGTCTCGGATCTACAGTAAGGATTCTGCAGCGAGGATTTCCTCACCAGTCCTATGCATGCTACCCGGCAGTGAAAGTCAGCCAGTCAGATCATTTTGCCGCCTACGGTTGTGGCCCTCGTGGCTGATCTCACCGTCGGGAAGGAGCCAACCATACCTCGTCGCTGGAGCGGATCCATATATCAACGCCTCCCGATGCGCCTTGCTCACCGAGTACATGTGCATTCAGCCCTGATAACGGTTGCCTGGCGGTGCACCTCCGGTCCGACGGCAATGTGAGGCTCTGACGATCCCATGTCACGGTGACAGCCACGAGGCTTACAGCCTGCATCCGCTGAATCCTCTGCTATTAATGGCTGCAGTGTTACAGCTGGCGGTGGAGATGGGCGAGCGATGCTGAGAAACGCACAAGACGGTGCTCGAAGAGGAGCATCCGCACACGCTGACGAGCATGAAAAAGCAGTTGCAGGAGCAGGGGGTGGAGAAGATGACGAGGGCCCCAAAGATTAGCCCATAGACCGGCCACGCTCACTTTGCCTACCCACATAGACGTCAGTGCCCGCGGTGTCCCATATGCTGTCTAGATTGTGCGACACTTACCGGAGGTACACCACGTGGACGATCGATTTGGCAATATGGACTTTGAAAGAGATATGTGTACGAAGTGATCTTCTTCGTCTTGAAAGTATCAGGAGATGTCTAGACTCGCTTCCAAGGGCAGAATCGCGGCTGGACACGTCGGGTTTCAGCCCTTAATGTGCGGCATGTTGCCCACCTACATACCTAGGTAGGTATGCAGTCTGGTCGTATAGTGTATCGTCATCGTGCCCGGGTATTTACTCAATTTGCTGAAACTACATAGACAATGTCTATCCAAAGTGCATGTTCAGGTTGGTAAATCTTGCGCACAAAATTCATGGAGTTATATTCGATAGCTGCCCAGGCCAGGATCTACTCCTCCGACAAGGCTCAGGGCCGGGGCGGGCGCCGCGCGCACGCGTCAAGTCGGCGCGTTTTTATGAAAAGCTTATTAATCGCAGGTTGCGAAACCTGTGCCACCCTTAGATCGGAGAGTAAGGAGAGAGAGACCGCAAAGGGCCCTCGGGGGAGCACAGTGTCGCATTCAGACACAGTTCTTCTTTGTACTTGATCTTTTCCAGAGCAGCTTCAAATATCTTGGGTCCAAAAGTTGGCCACTCTCGCGAGCACTGGATCATCTTGGGGACAGCGTCTACCTTCGGACGAGATCTTCATCGGACGTCAACTCCCCTTGCGCCTCGCTCGTGCCACATTCATCCAGCACCTGTCACCACTCGCATACATCCTGCGCAGATCCGCGACCGCCGACATGTTGCCAGGCTATCAAAATTTCTCGTGGAGACGTTCGAGAAACCCTCGCTCTTCATGTCTTACAAGGCAGCCTTGCTGGCGCATCACGGCACTCCTCACCTTTCTCCTCGCATTTCTCGTGTATCTGTATGCATCATTCACGACCTCCGGGGAGCTGATGCTTGTTCACTTGAATCAGCAATTATGGCCGTACAGACGTGCACAGTGGTGGGACTGGAAAGAGACCGAGGAAGAGATATTCTGCCGCGCTGCCCATGATCTAAATGGCAAGGAACCCATACCGCATGTTGTCCACTACATCCTCCTCTCAGACGAGGGCGCACAGTACGAACTCAGCTACGCCACCTTTCTTGCTATAAAGTCGGTCCTCTTACGCATGAAACCAGAGGAGGTCAAGATTCACCATTTCGACCTTAATACGTCTAATTCGTGGTTCAGAGAGCTCAAGAACCATGTGACATTAGTACAGTTACGCCGACAAGACATTGTAGTACCGAACGGCTACAAGTTGTCCGATCTAGTACTCGCCCACCAGGCGGATATTATCCGGCTCGCAGTCTTAGCGCAGGAAGGCGGCATTTATCTTGATACGGACGTTTACATTCTTAGGCCTTTTAAGCACTTACTTACTAACCCGCGCGACATTCTTCTCGGCCACGAGGGCGGCGATCGATATGGTCTATGTAACGCTGTCATCTTAGCCCGCGCTGGCAGCGAGTTTATTTCCATCTGGCAAGATAGCTATAAGACGTTCGATGAGGCGAAATGGGCTGAACATTCAGTTCTGATGCCGAAGAGACTCCAAGTCCAGCACAAGGATCTTATCTGCCCGCTTTCACCTCCAGTCTTCTACTGGCCCTTCTGGGAATCGTGGAATGTGCAATATATGCACGATCCAATTGGTGCCGATGACATTGCACTCCTTCAGGACAACATGGACGCATGGGGTGGGTCGATGTACGAGAGCCAGCTAGCATATCACTCGTGGGGTGGCCACGCCTATCTCCGAGAACTCACACCCGATGTGGTAAAGGAGAAGGATTCACGATTCAACTTACTCATGAGGCATATCGCACAGGTCCCGTTGGGATGAATCATACATATCGGTTGAAGAAAATCCCCGGACCATTACCTCTGCTCTGAGTGACGCCTAGACTGTACAGCTCGGTGAATAGGTGGCCGGCCCCTCGGTCAAGCCGCTCTCCCAGCTAGATGTCGGCACTCACATGGCGGAAATTCCACGCGGACATCTGCGAGCCGAGTCATGAACCGTCCGGTGTCTGTTATAACAAAACCCCTACCTGGCGAACGCATGCGTCGGCGAACATACTTGACAAGCTGGACCTGCGGACATCTGGGCGCCGGCGATCTAACTAGCTCGTGTAGCACCGCTGCTTTGCCGTTGACGACATCATGCTCTATGCCCGATTTGCTGTGCATATCGAAATTGCTTGATTGGCCATCGTACGTGTGGGGGTGCGCCGTCCATCACCAATAATCAGTGAAATCTCCACAGAAGGGGAGGCACGTCTCCCAAAACGATGGGTCAGCATATTCCGTTTCAGGACGTGCGCTTGTCTCGTGGACATACTCGGCGAGCGTATTGAAGACGAAACACTCATATTGACGGTACTGCAGGACTTGCCATCGAAAGGCCTGATCAGAACCTTTCGGCCGAGCGTACACATAGAAGACATAGTCCTCTCGTTCTTCGCCACCTGTCCACCACTGAAGGCTTACGTCCCAGCATAGCTCTTCGATCGCAGACTTCAAGTAAGGCATATGCCCAGCATCGTATGATGTTCCAAGGCTTGAAATATGCACAACATGCCAGTGATTGCTGAATGCGGGTAATCCAGGCCCGCGAAGCTCCCGTATTAGACGTAGAAACTCGAACCAGTCTTCAGGGAGCTCGAAGCTAGAGGAGATGCCACTAATAGCGGCTTGATGTCGCAGGTGGTCGATGAGCTCATTCTTGTGGTCAGACAACTCTTGCTCAGAAAACGGGTCTCCAAACAGTGGCAAGGCATCTATGAGACTCTCGGGAGGTTTGTAGTAAATTTGCCCAGCCAGCTCGGCTGCGCTCGGATTAGGACCGAGATCGAAAGAGGACTCGCGTCCATGTAGAGCCGTCAAGTAGACGCATTTGGATATTGCGCCCTCGGTGGTGTATCCTTCCAACTGGAAAAAGGTTCATTGTAGCCTGATTCAGTATTCACTTCGCGCGGCGTGAAATTCAACCGCACAGCCTTCACAAGTTTTTTCACCACGCGCTCGTTGTAAGCTGTGGCGACGGGTCTGTACCAATCCAGAGCAGCAGCCAAGTCAGATGCCATATTACTGCCGTGAGATGGTACAGGTTTGCATGTCAATCAGGTTATACGTGCGTGTTTGTGAAGTCGAGGTTGACAAAGCCTTGCTGGCGTGTATTGTCAGTGTCATCGCTGCGGTCAACGAGATTTTAATAAGCGCCACTCTTTGAAGCGGATGGTATGACCTACAAGGCCGAGAATCATTGTCGAATAGTATGGTTATAAACGGTCAAGTGTGGCCATAGATTAATCCATGTCATTTACGAAGGAATGTTTGTGCGACACGCCCATGATGACCACAATCTGCCTTTGAGGGGTGCGATCTTGATGCTTCGTAGGTATAGTCATTGGAGGTAACGCAGCGGAGACTTTCATGGATTCTCAACGGATAAATACTCAAAGCGCTTTCAAATGGATAAGACAAGGATATTTGAATCGACGAATCCACAGCACAATCTGCAGGCCTTGGTGATGCGCGCATTGCAGAGATAAATGGTACATTGGCGACCGAGGAAGCCGCAGTAATTGGAACGAGTGCAAACATCCGCTCCGTCCGTGGTTTACATAGACAGGTAATTCGACGCCAATTCGGATCTTGTCCCCGCGTTGATATCTGTGTAAGCCGGGAATGAAAAGCTTAGTATGTACAGGGCACATGTGAAGCTTTAACGGCTCGTCACTAAGAGGAGTGGAGTCTCAGGGTCGTATCGAATCGATGGCGCCACAGATATCTTGATAGTCCGCCATTCTCTGGGACAATGCCAATGAGATTTTCGAGGCCAGATACGCTCCCCAATCATCTGCCAATGTCCGTAATCGGGTGGCTTGCATCTGTATCTTGCCGTTTTGCTCAAGCATGCGCAGATAGCTGCTAGGTCATGCTCGTGCGATGTGGCAGCAGTCATGCACAGCTAAGCTGACCGGTGTGGGTCTCAAATCGCTATACATCCATGAAGATCAGTAAATGTTTTCTCGATTGACTTGCCAACCTCAGAACACCTCCTGTTGCGATGGATGTGATGTCGTACGATAGCCATCCGGGACCAAGACGCGGGAGCCTCGTCGCGGAACTTCTGCACATTGCAAAGCACCAAAGCATCAATAAGAAATCGCGAGAATGGTTCGAAAATTTGCTTTGTATCGAGATATCGTGCAAGTCACCAGTGCAACTACGGCGTACGAGGATCTCACCCTCACCAACGGGGTTTTCGCCGTATATCGCCGTATCGTATACGTCGCATGGTACTCAAGGTTCAGAGAGTGAAAGCACAGGAGCATATCGATTGGCCGGTGCGGAAGTGACAATGCCGCAACGTAACAAAGTCCGAGATGAAATCCTCGCCAGGACCGTCAACTATGCATGTCATAAAGGAGTTCAGCACTTCTGGATTGACGGGGACTGTGTTCCTCAGTGGCCGTGTCCGGAGAAATACATCGCTATAAATTCAATGGATCTAGTATACAATCGTAGCAAATATCCATTGGGTTTATTAGCAGTTATACTCGAAAATCAGGAAGAAGTCGATACATTACAAGACCTTATGGAAGGGGCGTTAATCAACTGGAAACACAATCTCGAATATCCCCAACTATCCGACGCTTCTAGCAACGGTGCCAATTCACCAGGGTTTCAGCTGCTCCGACGTCTTTGCAGAGATCGCTGGTGGTCACGGGCTTGGATTTTTCAAGAAGAATACCTTGCGTCGACACGGATGCATCTACTCATACGCCATAGGGCGGGATTACGGTCAAAGAAAAGATTCAGATCTCCTGGCGAAGAGATATGCATCAACGCGGCTTCGTTCCGAACGCAAGCTACACTGTATCTGCTGGCTTGCAAACAACAACCGAATTACAGTGGGAACAAGAAGAACATCGCTTCAATGCTGAAGACTTTCGGGAAATACAATCTTTTATACCACACTCAGCATGATATGAGGACAAGATCCATGTCCTCAAGAATAGTCGTTGATATCCAACGCAGAAATATCGAGCACCCATTTGATAGGCTGCCGATAATTGCAAATGCGTGTGATTATGCCATTCGGCTGAATAACATGGCCAGCAAGGGCTACTCCCTCCAGTCTTGCTGCCTTGCGCTTTCGCTCTTGAATGGAGAGATCCTACGAAACCCAAGGCTCATCAAGAGATCGCCGGCGGATATGTGGATCAGCGACTTCGTGCAGCATGTTTTCTTCAATAAATTTGTTCCGCCAGTTCTTGAGAACCCCCTGACATACTTGAAGAAATGCCGGCTTACCGAGGTCTCACTCGATCCTCACGGCATCTCAACCAAGGGTCACATTTGGATCCTCAAGAATACTATCAAGGTCAATCTAAGTTCGGAGTTCCGCACAAGAACACGGGAGGGGCGCAATCCAGGTTCCCGCGAGTTTCAAAAGCATCGTCTTCTCAGGCTTCTAGATGCTTTGCGTTCTCAAGGACGAAAGTGTCAAGTCTTGGTCGACGAACTAGAGCGCTGTTTTGACAATGATGCAGAAGATACGACACTTAATGCTGTCAGGAAACACAATCGATCGATGTTAGGACCCATCATCGATGCCATCTACAAGTCCCAATCTTTAAGACTTGGATACCTACCAGGTACGGCACACGCAAGTGGAATCTTCAGCGGGGTTCCGCCCAACATCACCAAGGTTTTCACATCGTGGCGTGTAGGCCCTGGCCTCGACGGGAAAGAACGCGAAAGTCATGTCTCACTTGGAGTCCATGCGAAACTGCACAATGGCAAGTGGATGCTGGAATCTGCGCGATGGATCAATGGGCTAGCTTTTGCAGGAGAGCATGAGCAGTTGTCGGTAACTTTCCGTTGGCCCCGTGCTTGGCTATAGGTCTCTCGACGGGGGGTCATGCCCTTCACGCGCTTTCAAACATAGACTTCACAGCTTCTAGTGACACAGAAGATCACAGAAATGTCTCTTGCAGTCTCTCCTGCCTTCCACACATCGCCTCCAGAGCTCGCGGCTCTATTCGGCTCACCTGTGCAAAGATCTATGATCCATCCCGGAAGCTCTTGTCTCTTTACCGAGTAGATTTCCTTTGTCTGCATAGAGTGATAATGGCTCTTGGCCACGCTGATCGCTAGAGCTGGTTCGAGGATGTTGCTGCTCTTCTCGGATCATGTCCGCTCGCCGGAGAATCGCATGCTCACGACCGAATGTCGGGGGAGGCGTGAGCGCGTGATCTGAGCCCAGGCCGGGCTCCTGTGCCGCGAATGTACGGTGGAACGTCGACCTAAAGCGGGCTGGCAAGTCACATCAATCAGTCACAGCATATGTAGCATAAGCAGCACATCGCGTCGGTTGACATGCAAGAATGCCGAACTTGTTCACAACGAGAGGCAAATTGCTGCTGTTGACGTTCTGGTACAAACCCTATCATCGGCGTGAGGATAGGGTTCAGCGCACCGACGAACTCATTCCGCAGCGGCAAAGGTTCTACGGGCTTGGTAGATGACAACGCCCAGGCGACCTTCTATGGCGAGTAGCAGTTGCTTTCAACATACTGAACGGAGTGTCTGCACTTTGTGGACGTCGGAGCCAGGGCGCAAAACGTGGAGAGGTAGTCGGGTGGTGGGACTTCATGGGAGTTCAAAGTAGTGTAGTCACGAAAAGTGGCGGGAAAAGTGTGCTCGGACATTTCGGTAGACAATGTTACAACGCCCAGAGAAACTTTCTCCAAAGACTAGGTCCTGTGCGAATTTCGCGCTCGTATACTCCGTTCTCGACAGCAATACAATGTACCGAACAAGGATTTTGACGAAAGGTACCATCAAATCAGACCTCCTTTGATGCTCCCCAGTCGAAGTGTGGGCCCGCGTTCTCCGTGGCTATACCTTTCGACATCAACCTCACCCCATGTCTCATCGTCCCGGAGAGATTGTATCAAAGCCAGTAGGTTAATGACCGCTGTCCTGGTCTGACCTCGGCCAAGCATTCGCATTTGAAGCCCCGTCGAGTTACTAGCTACCTGAAGTATGTCCGCTCCTGTCCATGCCTCAGGATGAATATCGAGCGAGGTAGTCTTATCCGAACCCGCATCACGTTTGGCACACCTAGCGCATGTCATCAAGACCATGCCATTGGCGACATCCGTCCGCGAAAGGACCGCCTCAACCAGGTTGCGACTGGTAGATTGTACCCAGGCCATTCTCGTGCACATGCGACACCTGGCAACGAGGATACTGCACTCGGCTTGTGTCCCGTCTTCAAATTTGCTCGCGTGTGGGTGGTTTGTGTCGAAGACGTCGTCAATGATGACTCTAGGGGTATCGATCGCATCGGCAGGATCTAAATCGTCAGTAACGAGGCCTTGTACCCATGAAACTTTTACTGGAGATGAGTACCAGAGTTCAATTGTCGCGGTGTATACGGCGAGAGTGGCCGAGTGTAACCGCATGTTGATGGATCTCTTGCCTCAGAAGCGTCGGTAATGCGATTATGCTCCACCGTCCCTGAAACTCCCGACTCGACGACTTCATCGACAGGCTTGATTACTTCGACGACATATTCGACCATATCGCCGTCATCCTCGAACCATTTTGCAGTTGCGGGTTTTGCTACAGGGCCTTTCTTCTTCTTCGCCATTATAGTCGTGTGAAGAGAAGACAGGTGGTCTGCGAGTCTGGGAGGCAGAAGGTGAAGGATAGGGAAGATTCAAAACAGAGCCGATAAGACCCAGCCTGGCTACACCGGGGTTGCCCTCTGGAATGCTCCTTTCCACTTGCCTGGTGTATGTATTGTGTCGTATAACACAGAACGAAAGGCCTCTACAGGGAAATGCAGCGAGATAAGCTATGCGATACTGTTGTGAAGCTGTGCATATCAATGCAGCGGAGTAGACCACAGCGCTGCCCGACGCCTTGCTGTCAACTTGCTGCATCATCAGGCAGCTACACCTCTGTTCCACTTTTCACAAGAGTGGTGTGCATCGGTATCTGTGAGGTTGCTCATAGATACTGGGTATATCTCGGTAAGGTATGCATGTTAATCACACGAAAGTCAGCGTTGCTCGTCGGATCGGCACTGCCATGCATGCGTGATAACACACAATAGTAGACTCCCCAAGGATTCTCGAGGTGCGCATGGCGATTTGAGGCCCGATTCCCAACAAAGTTATGATCGATCTCCAGAGTTCTCAACAATTTCGGTACCAGGGCTGTCGTATAGTCTGTGATGGGAGATCGTGATATAACGTCTCATCGTTGTGCTTGCAACATATATCTGCCCAGGATCTGATGGTTAGCAAGCGCACCTTACTGCGTAACAAATTATGCTGTGGTTTATAAGAACAATCAGAGTGACTTCAACAGACTAGGCTTTCGATGAGAAGCGAATGGATGCCATGATCTTTACCTTAGACGTACTTGGCGGAATGAGGAGGGTAGTATTCGATGCATGCAGGGCGTTTGCACAAGTCATCAAGCAAGTGGTGTCGTGAATAACGTTCGTATAAAATGCCTACCCTTGCTCCCTTACTTGGACCAACCTTGGCTAAATCTCACCGCATGCTGGGCCGAATTATGACAGGACCAGAAAGGATTGGCGATTCATCGTTATCAGCACACGATGTTGAAATGACATTTGAAGCTCTATCGCATGTTATTTGCCACGCCTTGAGGGCGCTGCTTTTACCAGGGGTGTATGTGCAAACAAGCCGATGGTGTGGCGATGCATGATTGCTGCATGCAGCATCACCGTCTGATGGTGCTCATACAATTACTGACTGTAGTGTCCGCCGGTCTTGAGGTATCGTTGAATCTCTGATGTGTGCTCCAAAGCACTATTATTTCATTGCGAGGGAGAACTCCAATCAGCTATCTTTAAGCCGCTATCAGAGTTCCGGCATTCGTGCAGCAACATCCTTGGTGCTTGAAACGACCATTTTGACGTGGCTCCTCATTAGCACTAGTTTTGCACGGAGGCGAGCGACCGAAGACATAGTGACTTGGATTTCTGAGTTATCTTTAAGAGTTTCTAGCTTCTTTACAAGAGGCCTCTGGCGGAGCTAAAATACCGCACGGCAATTTAGCGCAGATCCCGTGCATTGGATTTCTACCTTATTCCAATCCGGCGGTGAACCCTCGTGGTGTGCATCATCCTCAAACTACTATGTTGCGCTTTTTCGGGTGCACAAAGCACGGCTGATCATTCTCTAGAGCGTGCGTACTTCTTGAAGGCTGATTTGCTGGCTAACCCAGAACGAAACATCGCGCTCGCGCATGACACGCACTCCTTCGATATCGAGAAGGCGGACCTCGAATCCGAGTCTGTAGATGATGATGCCCGCGCCGAACAATGATGCGTATCTCCGACATTGCTGCTTGATCTTTTGCTGAACAAATGGATTTTGCTTGAAACCGAACATATTTTTGTACTCGATCCAGTGACAAGCAGCGCCATTGATTTCCGTTGGCTCGTCAAAGAGGATGTCGGGTGTCGCTAGAAGTTTGAGCGGGCTGCCTGATTCTTTAGCGGCCAAGATTCGCTGCTTTTGCTGCGCCTCATCGAGCATGGCCGGCTGAAGGCGTCGAACGTGCTCGACGAAGTCGTTCTCTGCTTTCCGAGCATGCTCTGCCTTTGCCTGCTCCTTCTCGCGACGAATTCGCTGGCCTTCCGGCGTCAAATCAACCGGAAGTAAGCGCAAGGCCCCTTCCAGGATTGCTGCTACAATATCCGGCTCGAGCGTGGTCCGGGTCGTTCGAATGATATCGGCAGCAACAGGCTCTTGAAAGCGAGAGTAACATGCGGCTTTGAATACGGGCTTGATCTGGCTCGAAGGAATGCCGTGATACTGCACCGAAGTGTCCATGATCGGCTCTACTGCCGTCGTCGTCTTTGTTACAGGTCTCATGTTACGTACGACGACAACTGGTACCGAGCCACTGGAGATGTGTCCTGTCGAAGACTCATGCTGGCGGAGCGAGGCGATTCGCTGAAAGCTTCGTTGACACTGCTGACACTCATGCATTGTTCATAGAGACGACGTTGATATGTGTGGTGAGCGTTTCGCGATTATACCCAGTTCGAGGCCGGTAATATATGAATATGAAAGGACTGAAGCTCATCAATTATTATCATTGGGCCCTCGACAACAACGAAATTAGGGGCGGCCACGATAGACAACGCTGCCTGCGACGCACAGATACAGATCGAACATGTCTATAGTGCAGTGTTGTCCTGGACCTGATAGCCTGCATGATACAGGTAATGTGCTCGATGCCGAGATGGTGTCCGTGATCATCAAAGGTGCATGGTGACTCCACCCACCAGACCGGAATGCACCTTGAAAAACGCCATGTTTACCACAAACAGGTCATTCCGTATACGAGACCATGCTGATCCTTGATGCCCGATGTACTGATGCATGCCAGAAGTCTCCAGTTTGCCGAGATGTCTTTTTGGTCGCGAGACATGATTTTTGGTCTGTCGAGTTTGTCGATATCGTACAGCCCTCAGTCTCTGTCACAGGATTACCGTGTGAGTAGTGAGCCGAACCAACATCAACGTGCATCAAAACGAACTCGTCTGATCCTCAGATGGAATGGACAACTCTGCCTTTTCAAAGTGCGAAACATATTGGCAAATGACGAGGTGTGGCTTTCGGGCCCAAACCGAGAAGTTGGTGCGAGATCTCGCTGATGCAGAGCCATTTGTTCACCGGACCTGTCGTAACATGTACTCTGGCTCAGGCAGATACAAAGGTAGACTACGGTATTTGTTTTTCAAACAAGATTAGATAGGCGGTCTAAAGACTCCACATGCATAATGTCCAGGTAGCAACACTCAATGCATATCAGCAAGTTGAGCATTCGAGACATAATGCGAGCCTCCGGCACAAACATATCCGTCATGCATCCGGATCCATCGGTATCCTGCGACGCATAACCCCACGACTCGCAGCTTCCTCTGGACTTCTTGCTCGGCCTTCCTCGCCACCTCTTTCGCCGCCAACTCGCGTCGAAGTCGTTCAGCCTCTACTTCGCGCTTTCGACGAGCCAGTTCTCGCCGGATCCTGGATTCTTCTAATTTCCGCTTGCGCTCTTCGTCGTTATCATCGGGGCCAACGTTGAGCGGATCGCTGGACTCCTCATCAGGCTCGTTAGCCTTGGACTCGAGCTCTTGTGCCTTCGTAGAAATATCCTGGTAGTCTTTCTCCCGCTCGTCGGCAGCCTTTTGAGCGGCGAGGAGTGCGTCCCATGCCTCGTCACTGACGCCGGAATCTCGCCGTACACCAACAGAGACGTCCTCGGCTTCGACACGGCCCTGGCTGAGAGAAAGGTCTGGAGGCGCAGCAGTGGTTGTGGTCTTAACCTGCGAGGCAGGCACTGCGGGAGGATTCGTAGTCCTGTCGGAGTCAGGTTGGGGGATGCCCGCGGTGGCTAATGTAGCTGAATCTCCGCCATCGGTACTCGTGTTGTGTAGATGACGTTGCTGCCGCTCCGAGATAAACACATCCACCACGGCGGAGATATCTCCCTCGTGGACAAGGATACTCTCAGACGCTGTTTCGTCGGCCGATGCCATCATTCTCTGCACCAACTTCTTGCACAGAGTCTCGACATCACGGGCGTTCGCCCAGCTGCCCAATCGCTGCAACTTGTCGAACTTGGCGCACAGGCTTGCAACGAATGTCGCGCTTCCAGGGTCCACGGCACGAACATCGAGCATGTCATTCGCGCGGAGCTTGCGCATCAGCAATTCGACACAGTCGGTCGCAGGAAGATGGCGGAATTGAAGGGTTTTCTGGAAGCGGCTCATCAAACCTGGATTGACCGTGAGTAATTGATCGACTTGTTCCTGATATCCAGCTAGGATAACCACGAGCCGGTTCATAAAAGCTTCCTTCGTCAAGCAATCCACGATCTCATCGATGGCCTCTTTGGCGAAACGGCCCTGTCCGAGACGGTATGCTTCGTCAATGAAGAGGACCTTACCCAAAGCTTTTTCAAAGGTCTTGAGTGTCTTGGGCCCTGTGTGGCCCACGTATTCGCCGATGAGATCCGTAGCCGAGACTTCTTTAACTTCTGCCGTCGCGAGGAAGCCCATGTCGTAGTAGATCTGTCCCATCTTTCGAGCAGTCGTGGTCTTACCAGTGCCTATAAAGCGAAGTTAGTACGTCGATCAAGTGATCCTCATGGTCCAGCAACTCACCAGGCGGACCGCTAAACACAAAATTGAACGGGACCGCTTCGCGCGGATTCTTTCCCCGCGCCTTGTAAAGCTTGGTCAGTTTCTGTATAGCCTCCATCTCTTTCACAATATCCTCTCGCCCGATGTCGTTTTTGAACAACTCCTGCACGTTCACCGATGCCCTCGCGATTCGGTCATAATCCGGATCAATGTCGACGGGTTCGAAGACCATGCCGATCGGACTCGAGCTCTGCATGCTTCGTTGCTGATGTCTAGCCTTGGCCCCATTTAGTAGGATGTCGACTTCGCCAGCATTTCCAAAGTTGGGCTTGTTGCGGGCGCGCTGAAGAAAATCCATAGCGGTTTCAAGCGCCGTCACGGTCGCCGTGTAGCCTGCTTGTGTTAATTTCGAGTCCAAGATTGTGTGTAGTTCAGCTTCGCTGAAGTCTTCGAACAGAAAAGCCTCGCTCAGAGGGAATCTTCGACTCAAACCAGGATTGACATTTTGGAACATGCGTTCCATTTCATTCTTGTAGCCGAGCAACAAGACACAGCGGTCCTCACCAGGCACGCTCTGAATGCCCGCCACGAGGGTGTCAATGACTGCTGTTCTGAATACATCGTTTTGTGAGGAAGTACTAGCTGAAGCGCCTGAGTACAGACCGTAGCATTCGTCAATGACCAGGACCTTGCCCACCGTGGCGGCCAGGATCCCCTTTGTCACCTTTTCCGATGCTCCTATAACATCTCCGATGAAGTCAGAGGGATCCTTGACAATCACCTCCCCGTTTGAGAGAAATCCAATGTCGGCGAGTATTTGACCGTAGAGTTTCGCGACGGTCGTCTTGCCTGTCCCCGGAGAGCCCAAAAACACTTTGTTGAGGTTGAAGGAGATCAGCGGTCGTTCTTGGAGCTCGTTTTCATAGTTCGTCTGCAAGGTCTGTAATAGGGCCCCGATCGATTCCTTGACAGCCTTCAAACCGATGAGATCGCCGAGCTTTTGCCATGACTTGTTGTTGGCTAGAGCGACCGAAGGCTCCGGGCCGATCAGGTCCTCCTTGCTTGTGAAAAAATCGTTCGGCCTCTTGCCGGAGCGTCGTTCAGTCTTGAGGCGGTTGGCTTGACGCTCGAACACAATGGCGACCTGATTGGCGACAGCTCGCGCGTTGCCGAATCCGGGACGACCACGCGCATAGCCGATGCGTCTCGCGACAATGCGAGCATACAGACCATCGAATCCGTCCTCGAGCTCCATGGATGGATTCTTGTATCGAGCTCGTACCTGATGCTCGAAGATCTTGCGAAGTTCGTGGTCCTCGTAATCCGCGAATTTGAGCTCGTGCGGAAACCGGCTGCGAAAACCCTCGTTGTGTGCGAACAAGTCCTCCATTTCTTTGTTGTAGCCAGCCAGAATGAATAGGATTTTACCGGTGTGATTTTCCACCTCGGGCAGGAGAAAGTCAAGTACTTGGCGCCCTCCGGGACTCTGGGCAGAGGCCAACTGATATGCTTCGTCGATGAAGATAGCTCCACCGCCGGCATTGAGGACGTCTTGGATGGTTTGTTCGCAGAATTTTGTGCCGCCGTTCATAAGGCGAGCTGCTGTCAGCTCCTTGAATTCGGTGCCAGGGACCACACCCATCGAGGCGAGGCATTTCGCATAGAGCCTGGCGACTGTGGTTTTTCCTGCGAGCGACGTCATCAGTGTAAGGCTTCGATAAAACTCTAATCATACGTACCAGTGCCAGGATTTCCAAGGAACACCGCTCCGAACCGCTCACTTTTGAGAGAAGCTCCTTGACGAAGGACGGTCTCAATTTTGGTCTTGACATTGAGCACCTTTTGCTTGATGCTCTCGAGACCGATCATCTGCATCAGAGCATCGATATGCTCGTTGGCCGCACCCTCGATGTCCTTTTGGTACTGCCAATCGATCTCTGCTGGAGAACCAGACTTGGGGTCTCTTGTATCCTTGCTCTTGCCGGTTGACGCGGACTGAGAGCTTTCGATAGGCTCGGTTACACTTGTTGATGGGTCATTCTGAGCATTCGCGGTGGGTGTTGGAGTCGCATGATCTTGTGGATCATTAGGATAGTCTTTGGGTGGAGCTGCCGCTGGTGCCTGTGCTGCATGCTGTTGGGTAAGCAAATACTCCTGCTGCAGATCGTGCACGCGCTGTGCCAGAAGATTCCTTCTTGCTCGATCCTCGTCCTGATCCTTGCGGAGTTGCTGTTGCTCGCGAATGCGTTCGTCGATTTCCTGGAGTTTTCGTCGGTGTTCTTTCTCTAGAGCCTCGCGCTTCTCGGCCAATGCATGGTCTCGCTTTTGTTTTGCGTCGAGGGCTTTCTTTTCGGCCTCGCACTTTGTGCACACCTTCAACTTTTGCGAGCAGCGACGTGTAAATGTATGGTTTTGGGGGCACTTTTCGTGCAGAATATAATTGCATGCAATCTTGGAATGATCGGACAAGGAATGACAGCGACTTGGACAGGCATGCTGACCGCAGCTCAACATCGCGGGACTGGGGATATGTCAGCATTGAGCGTTTCGCCAAATCCTGCTCGACTCACCAAGGCCTGGTGCATCCGCCGTCTGGACAATATTCGTCAAAGTCTGCTGCGGTCTTCAGCAAGGTGGTCTGATCTGGATGTTGTTCACATTTCGTAGGAAGCCCATCAAAGAGCTGATGGTTTTCCTGAAGCTGTGCGATGAAAGGTTTCCACACGCCGGAGGCGGACTTGCTAGATGTGAAGCTTTCGGCATTTCCTACGATGATGATACCATCTCGCGCTCGAGAGAGGAGGACATTGAGGCGCTGAGCACTCCTCATGAACCCGACATCGCCTCTTCGGTTGGCTCGCGTCAAACTCACAATGACGATCTTGCCCTCTTCTCCTTGGAAGTTGTCTAGGATTCGTTAGCTCAGCTGATGAAATTGTTCGTCTTGCGTTTCACCCACCGATGGTAGACATTGTCAGCTTCTTCTGTCCAACTTTTGCTGCTGCAGGCGTGAGAAGACCCGCCTTGACAAGATCATGCGAATCGATATCACTGAGCACAGGATCCATAGCCATCTCTACTTCCTCCCTCAATCGGTCCATTAGAAGTCGCAATTGACCCAGGTAAGGTGTCAAGACAACCAGATCATCGGTGGAGTACCCTTGCTGTGCCATATACTTTACCGTCTTCAAGACAATGTCAGCTTCGAATCGGTTTTGACGGCTTGCTTTGCGGCCATCGTCCGGGGCACTGTTCTTGGAGTCATCATCCTCGAGGTGGCTGTGATTGAAAAAGATCACATCGCTGGCCAACCCTCGAATGTTGGCTCTGTTGAAAGTCTTCACGTCGTCTTGCAGATCGGGATACATAAGCCGCCGGACTAAAGATGAAATTTCGGGCCGCATGCGGTGTTGTTTCACTAACGTTGAAAGAGGATACCCCTCAACCACCAGGCGCTCGAAGAGTGAGCGGTCAAGATCAAATCCATCGTTCTTGTCAACTGTAAGGCCGAAATTGTTGACTTTGGGTCGCAGCTGAAGATGATCGCCGATGAGAATGAGTTGCTTTGTAGCTTTGGAAAGCGATACGAGGATATGACTCTCAAGCACCTCACCTGCTTCTTCAACGATAATGATGCCCGGGTTGATAGAAGATAGGAGCTGGGTGTTCTTCGCAGCAGCTGTCGTTGTACAGCCGACTATACGCTTGGTCTGCACCAGAGCAGCGTCGCGTGACCCTCGAAATGTCGCCAGGCGTTCGTTGACTTTCCCGTAACGACCCGTGCTGGTCGTGACGACTTTAGCTCTTTCGCTGATTGCGTCTTGGATCCATTGCCGACACTTCAGGTTACGGGAATCTCTGGTCATTTTCCAAATGGCGCCATGGCTTCCTCTGGCCATCTCATCGAAAATCCCGGCATCCATTCCCTTCAACCATCGTCCAATGAGATAGTCAGGGCCGACCGCTTTGCCGTTTGACCCAACTCGCGTCATGCCGTCGGAAGCAGCGGGAACCCTGAAAGCTTCAAAGTACTCCAGGTCCTCGCCGCAGGAGAACTCGAGGCCTTCAAGGATCTCTGCATTTGAAAATTGCCACTTTGCGAAGCTCTTGCTTTCTTCTCTTGTGGTCCTCGCAAGGTCGTCTACGTCTTCGTAGAACGACTTCTGCAAGTTCCATTGTTCTCGTGATAACTTGCCGCCTGTGAAGTTCTTCCGCTGCTCAAATATCTTCAGACATTCGGTACGTGGTGAAAACTTGGATCCGAGGCGAACCATAGTCCCCTCTGGAATACCCATATCCATGGCATCCTCGAGGGTCTGGTCGAGAGCATGATTTTTGAAGGCGAGAACCAGGATTTTCTCCTTCGTGTTTTGGAAGAGCGCTTTCAGGATCAGTGCTCCCACGAAGGACTTGCCTGTGCCAGGAGGGCCTTGAATCACGCTCACCTTCTGTGTCAAGGCAGCATTCAACGAAGCAGTCTGAGACTTGTCAAGCTGTACTGTCTTCGGCAGATCTAGCAGAGATTTGAGATCTTGTCCCTGATGGGTTTCGATCTCGGCCGCAAGCCGCTCCAACCCGAGTTCCGATTGACGAGGCATGTGATTGCCCTCGAGATTGAGCAGCTGCTCGGCAAGAGGTATAGATGTCATGGTCTGAAGACGCTTGAGTACTGGTTCGTAAGCGAAGAACGGCGTACCGACCAGGACGAACCGCATATCGGCTTGGCGCTCGGTTTTGAAAGCGATCAAAACCCTGAGAAGTGCTGCATCGCCCAGGACGTGGAGAAGAAGTGTTGGCGGGGTTTCCGCGAGCTTATCCACATCGCGATCGATGGTTGCAAATGCAAGAACTTCTCCACAGGCAAGTATGCATCCAAACGCCTCATGCTTCACGATTTGAGGATTTTGACGAAGATACTTCTTCCGATTGTCCAAATCGGCGGGCATTTTGTCCGCGAGCTTACTAAAACATCGTAATGCGAGACGAGCTGAACGAGATTTTCCTTCCTGACCACAGTCCATACCCCATAGCTTCAATTGCTGTAGTACGACCGGACGTCTATTGGTCTTGCCACGACCTTGCGCAATCGCCAGGTCCTCTCTGAGCTCGTGGATCATGTCTTCGCGGAGCAATCTGAACTGATTATCGAGGTGCATGGCAGGCCTTATCGATCGATCGGCATCCCGTACCGTTTCATAGGGTAAATAAAATGGGGTCTGCTTGGAGGCCAGTTCATCGGCAGTGGGGCAAAGTTCGATTTGGCGAAAGTCTGCGAAGTCGTTATCATGCCGACCTCCGACTTGGTCGCGAAGGCTGTGGCTTGCAGACAAGCCCTGCGTTGTGATTGCCAATGCTTGCTGGATTTGGTAGCCAATGGTCCGTATGTCCTGGTCCTGCGAATTTACGATCCCGGCCCGGGGACTTACAGCGTTCTGCGCGATTGTCACAACATCAAGGTTGGACAGGAAAGGCAAGGATGGAGGTAACGATAACAGGGAAAGGACCAAGCTGGCATATGCTCGGATACCCGTGGTTAAAGACTTGTTACCATGAGCCGCTTGAAGGGCCTGCCAGAATAGCGGCACGTCCATGAAGGTTGTGAGAAGGTCTTGGAAAATCTGACCATTACCAAGCTGTCGAACAACTTCATCGGTGATGTAAATGATGAATTGAGAGGCAATTCCATTAAGGAATTCCAGCGAAAGGTCCATGCTCATCGCGTTGGAAAGTGCGTTTCTAGCTACGCCCGAGGACATGAGAGATGCCACGGCACGAGCTGAATCCGGCTGGTCACAGATTGCCTCGAGTAGAAGCTTGCCCTCGTTCGTGTTCGTAACTGTCTTTTTGCCATCTTGTACGGCCTTGAGAAAATTACTGAGTCGAGCAGATCTCACAGCAGAGGTCGCCATCCGGGATTCTTGACTGCCGGCGATTCCGTGCTGGCGGTTCACTGCCGGTGGTTGTGCTCGAAATTCGCTACTCGCGGTCGTGTGCTGACAGTTCACTGCTGGAGGTTATGTACTGATAGTCCGTTGCTGGTGGTTCTGCGGTGGTGAGCCTGTACGACAACTCTATACGGATCCTGGTTTCTGGATGAGTATGTAGACCTCAGGCGACGATCGATCCTTGGTCCATGACTCGAGGTGGTCTCAAGTGGCTATATTGAATTGGAGGCACGAGTAAAGTTGCCCGGCAAAGTAGATGTGTGCAGGCATTTGGCGCACACAGATGGCTGGTCGATAGTCTGTGGAGGGGATCGCTTCGCCCGACAATTGTCAATCGACGATCAATATATTGCGCAGCACCTGCGAGTAGGAATCGTTATCAAGACATGCAGCCCGGATGCATGCTCCTCTCTCCATGCACTGTGAAAGCTCCATGAAGCAATCTTCAAGGCGCAGCTGTTGAGTCACCCATCACTGGCCAGTAAAAGATCAGAATTACTCGCTCACTACAGCATTCGTGACAACATTCTGCATGTGCCAGGGGTGCTGCCCGAAAGGGCCCCCACTGTTGCGGCAGATCCCATCAACGTTCGTATTAGATGTCACACTCATCAACGACACGTCGGGGTGGCCTCTTGACGATGTGTGCTGGCAACATGCTCGGTGCCGCATCGATGCAGGACGGGGCCGCCATACAGTGTCTGGGACGCATCGGGGAGCCACTTGGCTGCCACCATACAGTACAGCAATGTATCAGCAGCGCTGCTTCATAACTATTTTACAGTGTGCATCGCCAGCAGTGTTGGTGAGAAGATGCCGTGTATAGGCAGAGAGGGAGTCGGGCAGGCAGCGATGCGCTCCTACTTGCGCTGTTCTCGTTTTAGGCGCATGGAGATGAGTGATCAGTTTTGCGGCAAGATGTCCCGAGCTGATCTTCGAGGGATTCAGCCAACAAAGGCCGCCCGGCGCCAATATTCAACGCTAAAGTACCGTGTGGAAGTTTAGTGCGAGGTCTTCTGGTTTCCAAACCCGTCACAATTAGCACACGCGGGCGCTGTCCCGCTCGATCTCACGTCTGCGGGTTAAACACAAAATGGAGCCACAACAGGCTAAGCCATGGGTCCTACGGTCCATACATCCGCTTTCAAAATCATCGGGTTACAGGGTAAGTCGTCACCCAATTCATTCGGCGGGTGGCCGCGGGTCAGACTTACCGTGAACACGATTAGGGATGAAAGGTGACAGGCTCGCTTCGGGTTAACCGCAACTGTAGCTAAATGATCGATAAACGCTCCACTCCCTCCTTACTAATATTATCATAAGTTTGATCGGGCAGAATTTCCAGCAGATGAGCAGCAAGATGTGGACCTTCACGGCTGATGCGACGGTTGATGCAGCGTTTCGAGTCGTGACAGGACCGACATTGCGTCTGGGCAAGAAGAAAACGAAGCCACGGTCCACATCGCCTGGGTCGCCTGTTCTGGCGGAAACTCCCCCCACGGTTGCGGGGATAACCGCATCCGGCCTGGATCTTCGGAGGTAAAACACAAGTCTTCCCAACACTCGTTTGTCAATCCATCACGCCCACTTTACGCACCGCCGGACGGATAGCTTGCTCTCTGATTATTGATGCGAACAAATGGAACGGGTGAATGCACATTATCATTGTGGTTACTGATCCCACGCGATGTTTGGGTATCCGATAAGGGCCCGGAGATAGCAGGTGGAGGTGCGACTACCAAAGGATTTGGTGTGCCAGGATGTATAGATAGCTCAATGGTCAATGGCCAAGGTCGATTGCTGCTCATGACATCTCGCACATGGAAAGATCGCTAGCTTGCCTGTGACGCTGCTGCGCTAGCACCCAAATGCGAAGAGATGAGATCGGCTTGTTTCCTTCACCAGAAGCACACTGAAGAGGCACAACTCAAGCCGCTCCATCTAGCTTTACCCTGTTCACATCTGCGCAAAACCAAGAGGTCATTAGATCGCGAGGTTCGCCTGTCGATCCTTCGCCACATTCCTAGCTCCAACCATGCGACGACGTCTTACCATCGAGAGTGACCATGCTCATCCATACGCAAACGCCCGGCTCGCATAGTATTTCCTGGGTCGAGGTGAAGAAAGCATGCATAGTTGGCTCCTATTCATTCAACATATCTTAGAATACGGAATTGAATGTTGAAATTCCATGAAACTTCATAACAGTCTGGGCATTCCATGTGGAAGCGCGATTGAAGGGCAAGCGAGTTCACATGGTCGGCGAAACCCGGCGCTCTCCCACTTTAGAATTCAAGGGAAGAAGACATCGCCATTCCGCTATCAAACTCATTTTGAAGCATGCTCCCGTCCCAGTCATCGAACCTGAAGCTGCTATTGTAGCTCGCACTTGTCGAGGAAGGCGGCGTCACCAAAGAGGTGGAGCCTTCGTCGAGCTTCTCCAAAAGCCAATCAACGACGCGCACTCGGACTTGACATGCGCGAGAATAATTATCGTATAACCTGATGTCGCGCAATCGCCGAACCAACTCGTCGAAACGATTTCCGTTCTTTGGCAAGAGTTTGGTCCATCTGAAAATGATTTAGTAGTGTTAGAGATATCTGGTAAAATCGTAGTACCTTGTTTCGGATCCTTGACCTAGAACGATCGATACGCCCTCGCCCACGTGCCTCTCGAGGTTGAGAAAACGTGAACCAGCATTGATCATACTTTCAAGCATCTCTGAGGCTGTCTCCAGAGGCATGTCCAGTCGCTTATATAGCGCCTCTGCTGTTCCTTTCACACAAAAGACTTGATGTCGGTTCTGCCATTTGACAAAAGCGATGCATAAACAACGTTGGACCATACGAGCCTAAGGACGCGCCTGGTCCAATCGTTGATAATACATTGCCATGCTGGCTAGAGGGTCCCGAACGATGATCTCGGGCTGAGAAAATGCCCAGAACTGGGCAGGGTCAAGCTCCCATTCTGCCGTGTATTTTTGTAGAGCTTGCACTGTTCTCGTGTCGGGACCTTCGAAACGTAAGAGAGCTTGGAATCTTTTCTTCTCGTTGGAAGATCTCTCACTAATAACGAATGGAGCATCTTTGAAACGCTGTGGATAACACTTCTGCTCAGTGTAGATTGCGAGCATTACACGATGAATCAGCTCCTGGGGAAGTCAGCTCGTATTGATGTGACACAGACGATGACATACTTGTCTTTTTCGAATATATTCAGGAGACACCATCGTGTCTGTGGACGGCTACGATAATATACGGTGGGCACGATGGGAAAAATGCTGGAAGATTGTTGAGGTCGGTCTTGGTGGGTACGGAAGCACGACGCAGATATGTCTTTGCTCCGCCCCGCCCCAGTCCCGCTCGAAAACACTATGCGGCGAATAAGCATCCGGGCAGCACCATCCACCATTCGGTAGTGAGGCCGGGTCATCGGTGCCACGATAGCAGCAGGCGTGCAGTTGCGACCCTTAGCCCGACCGTGCCGCATACCTTGGGCGAGCGCCATCTGCACCGTGGAGCCTCTCTGTGGAAAGAGGTGATATGCTACCATTTTGCGAGTTGAGGTCTTTCGACCGATGCGAACCGCTGTGCTAAAAATCGGACATTCGATGATGTGGGTTCAGATGGCGCCCGCTCACCCTCTGGTCCATGAGCGTATCCCTCAACGGATATGTTCACTGACTGTGCATCTTATCCACAGGCAAGATATGACGCGTGCTACAAGATGTACCTCACTTCAGGAAAGCCACCTTGACGTGAGGCCATAGCACTTGCCAGCCGTGTGGTACTTTAGCGCCCTTCAAACTTCAACTTGACAAATACAGATGCATACTCAGAGAGGCCAAGACATCTGCGTAGTCAACTGCACAGCCGCGGTCCGGCAGTACAGCGGGCTGTCGATGAGGAGGCAGATGATGTTCTGCACGCTGAAGCGAGTGCGTTTCTTAATGCTGGCAGTGCATTCGCTGCATGCTTGTGACATCAAGTTCTTTGTCCAAAGAAAGTCAAACCACGGGATGATATCAACGTCGTCAACACTGAAGTTTCGACATACGGGGCCGCTTGCGTCGTGAAACCCACCGGAAATTATTGGGTGATGTGTTCCTCCTTTCTATGAATCAACGACTATTTCAAGCATGCCATCGCCCACCTCGAACACATCTGCCACTTCCACAGCACTCACCCTCGAGCTATATACCTTCTTTCAGTACCTTCAGTAACATCAACATGCTTGGGAGCAGCTTCGAAGAAACTTCTGTGGCGGGCTCATCGGACGACGAATGGGTTTCTGACCTTCGTGAACGAGCCGATGCCGACTTCTCGCTAGGCAAAAGATATTGCGATTATTACCTTTTCAAGAACATCGTTAAGGAATCTTCGGGCAACGAACCTACGGCAATGCTTGAGGTGAGACCTTTCCGGGTTTTCTGGCCTTTCACTAATGAATTTTGGTAGTCCCTGTTGCATGAAAGGCTGCAAAATCTTCAGCTCGAGCAGAACATCAAGTTTCTCCAGGACCAGCTTCCCCAACAATTCTGGCGCGACACCCATACAAAGTTCGAAGACTTGATGATCCTCACCGGCCGCGTCCAGCGAATGGGAAACGCGCAAAACAAGGATCACATCAGAAAGATTTTGACTCGCACTGGGGATGCCCCCCCTTTCGGAGTGCGGCCGGGGGTTTCAATCAGTCCCGAGCCTCCCACGCAGTCTCCCACTCCGTCTCCAAAGGTTGCCTCTCCTTCGATGACGAAAGTGACGGCACGAAGTTATCAAGTTTTAGCCCCACAAAGGCTCACGAACCGCGGAAGCGCATCTCCAATGCATGTGATCAAGCTGAAAGAATATGGCGATGCTATCGGCGAGTCCCCGAAATATGATCATTTCACCGTTACTGGTAGTCCCCCAACGACGCACATGACCGTCCATTTCGGCGGACACAGGCTTGAAACTATAGGAAGATCGATAAAGGACGCGAAACAGCAGCTGGCAATGCTACTTTGCGCAGAACTCGATCTGCATGTCCCGTAGGACGTATAGCCTATAGAGCCTGCAGATTTATACCGGTCGGGAGCTGCTACGTCTTAGCTTCCTACATTCCCTGGCACACGGTCACGGTATAGCCTCGAAGTCACTAGAGTACATTGGTGTATTGAGAATACATATATGTCTCTCCCTCCCTCTCCCTCTCTCTCCCTCTCTCCCTCTCTCTCTTCTCAAGTAGGACGTTTTCTCATCTCCTTCGTCGCGCTTCTCAAGCCTTTGCCTTGCGGAGTCCAACTTGGATCCCTGCGACAATACCAGCATCACTGCTGCAACATGACGGCCATCGTATCGCCCGATAGTGTACGTCTTTTCTACGAGCGGCTGTTTGTTTGGAGCATCGTTCGGCCGAACGGTGAAGACCGCTCGGATCCCCGGCGCTCCCAATGGCAGCGATGCCTCGATTCACTTTCGCTGCTATGCGACACACAGATTGGAGGCAAGACAGTTTCTGCCATTGTGGTGCAGGATCGCTCCGACAATAGCACTGATCAGTTATGCTACTGGATCGCTTGCAACGGACATACGCGTATCGCGGACGACTTCCTCCGCTGGCTCCTGAAAGAATTGCACACTTTACATTCCGCGGGAGATCCAGATCAATTACGGGAGCATATCCTTCGCCAGGTGGTGCAAAGGTGTAAAGTACGGATCAAAAATTACAGCAGGACGCTCGGCAGCATCATCAAAGACTTATCTATGCAGGTGTTGAGTGAAGGTAAGGTGAAAGACAAAATTCCTCAACCCGTCTGACAGAGGAAACAGAAGAGAGCTCACTCTTGGTTCGACTCGGTATCCTGCTTCCAAGAACTGAAGATCTCGTCGAGATATGCAACGCTGCTTTCGGTTTCAGATATGATGATATGAATCAAGAGGTCAAGAGTATCATTGCCGCAAAGCCTGACGCAAAATTGTGGCGAAAGATCCGACATTATCTTGGCCGTCTAGGTGCTTGGCCTCGAGCCATTAATTTCATGATCCAATACTGGCCAACGGATGCAAGACTGAATAAGCCATTCACTGTTCAAGCTATTCCGGCTCCCACAGCGTTGACTTGGGTATATTCCAAAAGTTTAGACCCCACTACAGTATTGCAAAAGATTTGGTCAATCGACAACTTGGAGCGAGAACCTGCACATGTGCGAGAAAGATATTATCAGCTAGAGCAGAACATCCTCCAATCGATCGGTGAATCCAACACACCAACCAGAGTCCATGCGGAATCGGCGCTAGTGGACTACATAGCACAACTTGAAACCTTTCGATTCCTGGGAGACGAACGTTATGTTGGAGTCAGCAAGCCATCTTGCTATTGCTGCAACATGTACTTGGCACTGCATCCGCTGCGACTGGTGCCGCGAAAATCTCACAACAATATCTACATCAAGTGGTCTCCACTAGTTCTTGAGACTCTGGAAGATGGCGGAGTAGCCGTCACAGCAGCGTTCAATTGGCTCAGCGAATCCTTGTTGGCGAATATTCTACAGGCAGTATCGAGCCCCGATGACTTAGAAGAATCAATGTCATGCCTGGACTCAACGACGGAGTTAACTAGCAGCCACTGGCTAGCCTCAATTCTGGAATATCAATCCTGACCACAAGGAGGTCTATTACACGCAGCTCGTCCGGAGCATCAAAGCGAAACGAATTTCGATCCGTTGACCATAGCTGCTCTATGCTAGTCACGAGTATCTGGAGTCTAAGACAACAAGGACGCTGACTTATTTTCCCATGTTTGCATTCAACATGCGTGGATGTCTCAGGCTTGGTTCATAGTTTTGCGCTGGTGTTACAAATTTGTTCGCATGATAACATGAGAATTCGTGCTGGGTGATTTTAGGCACGAAGAGTGATACACCTTCCTGCAAGTGTCGTCGGCGCTCAGCGTGCTAATGCCGCCAAATCACGCTGAATAATATCGCCTTCTTCCGGTTTCATTGAACGTGCGGATCGTTTCGAACAATACGAGAAATGGGTCAAGTGGCCATTGAAGTTATGAACACATTCGAACAAACAAACGACTACGCAGTGTTGTTCACTTTGCAAATCCAGATTGTGATCTTTCGTAGCGTATTGCATTAGATGCTGCAAGTTGTTGAAGACCTCCACTCTCAAGCCATATATTGTCACACTTCAGATGCGGGCGCTGAATGCGCCGTCCTGTTGCATAGTGCTGAAGGTGCTTGCGAATGAAGTGCCGTTTTAAGCCGTCTCTGTAACGGAATTCCTTGGTTCGCTGTATAAAAGGTAGCTTTTTGACACCCATGCAGAAGATGCATTGTGCGGGAGCACACTATACCGGGAATAGATCGTGCTCGCCTCTCTTGTCTTCGCGTGCGACTATACTTGGACAAAGACTAGGTGGTCTAGATGTCTCGTCTATCTCTCTGCGACAATGGATCTTCGCACCACCGGCTGACAGTGTCGATAGTGCCGGGCGAGATGAAGGTGAGCACTGTTGCCAACACGCGCTTGCGTTGGGAGCTTAGCTCTTGTGTTGTTGCCACTTTCCCGCTCCTCCAGTCGCCTCTGTCGACTTTCGTTTGCGTAGCTGTTGCAAGATATCTGACACAGGCTGCTCTGCGCGATATTGAGCCTTCACCTCCTTCAGTATTGTTCTGCGCGTCTCTTTCTTCGTCCGCAGGAACGCCTGGTGCGCTTCACAATACGTTTCATATGCAGAAGTGTCTTAAGCAATTCGGGTTCGTCTTCTACTGGCATAATCGGCTGCTGTCGCGCCTACGGTATCGTTAATCTAGACATATTGCCCCGAGCGAGCCTATAAAGAAGGTTAAAATCCGCACATCTCGATTTGCACTTGCGGCGCGATCTCGAATTGCTTTGTCTCCCATTGTCGGGCAATGGCCAAGGTGTTCTGATAGGTCTGTGTAGTGCCTGCTCTGCGGATCCGACCCTCCCGCTCATGGAGCATCCATCAGAAGAAATTACAGAGATCAGGGATGAGAAGAGCGTGTAGGAGCGTGTTTGGGCCTTTCTCGTAGGTGGTGCAATAGCTGGACAGCCGCCCGACCGCCTGTGTGCTTCGATATCACGGATGCAGCTCTTTGATCCATCTCTGACGGTCCACAGCACAATCATCGCCCCGCAGCCCTCATTCCCTCCTCCTACTGCTGCATGATAAGCAAAGATACGATCATCCCCTCCTCCGTCAAATGAATCTCGAACACAAGGCGAACCGCCGCTGACGTCGAGGAAATCCCGACATACCCCTTTCGACCCTGAATCCTCTACCAGAGGTTAGAAAAACCAGGAAGGATCAATCTGCCATTATACGAATTCTGCCTCGTCCAATCATTCCAGGGTGGAATACCCCTACTTCGATGTTGTCCTTGACTCGCAAGACCGACACATCAATGCGTGCTTCATTGCGAAACAAATGCGAGATTTGCCGCTTGAGAGGAGTTCCAAAGCTACCATTCTCTGTGCCTCTGCTCTCTCGTATAGCTGGTCATGTTACTTGCTCCCACCGCAGCTTCTCGATGGTCAGGACTCTAAGTATCGAATATTCGAGCCGGAATGGCGTGCAGGTAACGGATAGACCGGTTTCGATGATCCACAGCAATAAGTAATATATATATATTGACAAAGTTGGCTCAACTACGAACGCTTTCTCCGTCCCGCGTGGCACAATTGGTCAGCGCGTGAGACTTTTAAGAGCTTCGGCTTGTGATCTCAAGGTTGGGAGTTCGAGCCTCCCCGCGGGAGAAAAGATTTTTGCATTTTTGGTAGTCGTTTTGTGCCGTTTGTTTTGTGATGGCATTTACGGGAACCGCAACCGGTAAAACCGATGACGAGGACTCGATCGGTATCTCTCATGAAGTTGACAGACCTGTGGCTGGTATTGAATTTGTGGTGCTTCATTTATTTTATTCAGCTGATGGACAGCCAGTGCATTGGGCCATTTTAGTCTTAGCGCATCGTCATGCTCGTTGGCAGACGTTATTGGGAAAGCCGAGACATCCGTTGATTGCAACATTTGCAATGAAACACGAACGAGTTTCGCCAGCCTTGCACTCGATCATTAGTTTGGGTACTTATTGTAGATATCACCATCGAGCAGAATCGTTCTATGTAACCAGGCTTGAAGAAGTACAACTATCAGCAGCGGAGTAATACCGCCGAAACTGTCCAATCCGCCCGAGAGGATTCGGCGCCATTGCGCTTTGTCTTGAACCCAATCCCGAACGCGCAACGGCTGAAAGCTTTCTTGTCTACATTGTGCGAGCGAAGGACAGACATATTACCCTTCGATATATTAAACCAATGCCGAAATATTGAATTCATCGCCTGCGACGCGCGCGTCAGCGAATATTAGCCTTGCGATCCGCCATTCTTCTCGTTCGGCAAAGAATTGCGAGAGTAATCCGGGAGCACCGCAAACATGTTCAAACATGACCACGACAAGCCTGAGCGACACGGTAATGGCGACGATGATCAGCCAGCGCAGCGGTCCCGAGATGTTCAGTCCGGCGAAAAGAAGCCATCCAGGCTCAAGCAGCTATGGACGAAACTCGACCTCGACCTCATGACAGTCCTGTTGATGTTCAAAGCTAGTCTGCCTCCCATCATCGCGATCGCCGCATATCAAGCGCCTGCGTTTGCAGCTCACTTCGGGACACTGGGGTATCTCGTGGCAATAACTTCAATATTGGGTTTTTGTATCATGCCACGAGGCAAGTTCGTGCAAACCATGTTCCTCAACATTATAACCATCTGTCTGGCCGCGGCAGTCAACCTGTTGGCGTTGTATTGCGCAACCGAAGCTCGCAGGCACACAGCACTGCCAGGGACATCTCCGATTGCGTACAATTCTTCGGCGAGTGCGGTATTGGCCATCTGGTTGTTGTTCCAAACATATCTCATCAATTGCCTACGTGCTGCTCGACCTCAATTCCAGTTCCCGGCAATCCTGTACTCGATCTTTGTCAGTGTTGCTATGACGTATGGAACTCAATTCCCAAACATGACCTATTCCATCAGCTTCATGAAAATGCTGCTGGAGGCGTTTCTTGCTGGCTTCGCAATCGCTACTGGTGTAAGCCTTTTCATAATCCCGGTGAGCTCTCGGCAGGTTGTCCTCAAGGAGATGACAGGATACATGATGTGCCTGGGAGGGCTGCTTCAAGCACAAACTTCATACATGCAAAGCTTGGAGAAGTACGATCCTAGAGATGTGGCCAAGAAATCGGAGAGTACCAATTCGAATTCCAAGAGTGGCAGGACCGAAGATGCAACGAATTCACCATTCCTGACGGCACAGGCTCAGAAGGTTCAGGAAATGCTGCAAAAAACGTTTGAGCTGCACACCAAACTGCCCGGCGATCTTGAGTTTGCCAAACGTGAAATCGTTTTTGGCAAGCTCAGTGCAGGAGACCTCAAGCAAATCTGGAAGCAACTTCAACTTATAATGATTCCCATCGCTGGTCTAACGACAATCATCGACATCCTACGTAGAATTAGTGGGCGTCAAAATGCGAAAAACACACAAGTGGCTGGCGAGAAAGTCGACTCGCAATCTGGTCATATTGAAACCGTCCATAGTCTGATGTCCGCTCTACACGAGCCTTTCGAAAGCATGACGAAATTGATCAACGCAGCTTTCCAGCACATTTTGCTCACATTGGATTTGATTAAGGCTCCGAAGAAAAAGACACAAGACGAAGAGAGCCAGGGGGATGCACCGAAGCCAGGAAGTGCGGCATTTGTCGAGCACTACAGGAAGAAACTTGATAATTTTCACGAATCGAGAAAGCGGACCATTTTGGATTGGTGTAGCGAACATCAAATCGAGCTACCTGCAGACTTTTTCGAGGCTGATTTTGCAAGCTCAGAGGCATCGGGGACTGTACCGGCCGTGTCCGGTGAGAATTTTCGACAAGAGTTGTTCTTCATGCTCTACCTGGAGTACTTGTTATGGAGGGCAGGCTCGGCGACATTAGAATTCATGCTGTGGACCGAAGAGAAAAAGCAGAATGGCACACTTAGAAAAGCAAGACTGATCTTTCCGGCGGTCAAAGTCCTCCGAAAATGGCTTGTCTCCGCTTTTGGTCGCGAGGACTCATCAGAGGAAGACCATTACACTGCGGACTTGGACTCGGGTAGAACAGAAGCGCTCGACCTTGGCGCATCGTTTTCGCGACGAAGAGATCCTGAGCACCTTCCGCCGAGAAACGCATGGGAGAAGTTTGGAAACCTCGTTCGTCAGATTCCCCGTGGTCTACGAAGTGATGCGTCTGCCTTTGGTCTGCGCGTTGCAGCGGCGACGATGAGCATTGCGATCGTGTGTTTCCTGCAGGACACGCAAACTTTCTTCCTAAAGAATAGACTGCTCTGGGCAATGATCATGGTTTCGATCAGCATGTCTCGAACGGCTGGTCAAAGTATATTCAACGTAAGTATCCGAGCTGTCCACTGACTGACGTGAACGAAGACGTTTGCTGATCCTGTTCTCACCAGTTTCTACTACGAATCCTCGGTACTGTCATCGCAATGGTGAGTGCCAGCATTTTCTAGCTGTTTTTCACTGTACCTGACATGTCATTAGGTCGGATCTTTCATCATTTGGTATATCGTTGACGGAAAGACCGCTGGTGTCATCGTCTTCTTGTGGCTATGGATTTTCCTAGCATTCTACGTCGTTCTGAAGATGCCGAAATTGATCGTCGTCGGAATTCTCAGCCTTGTCACAGCGATTCTCATCATCGGCTATGAGCTCGAAGTTGAAGTTCTCGGCAGGGACCAGATTGAGTCCAACGGTCAGCCAGCATATCCCGTCTATCTGCTTGCTCCTTATCGCCTGGCAACCGTCACCGGAGGTCTCGCCCTGGCATTCATCTGGACCATCTTTCCCTATCCGATTTCGGAAAGCACCGAATTGCGCAAGGACATCGGTGCCTCCTTGTATCTTATGGCTAATTTTTACTCGATTCTCCACGAGACGGTCAAATCACGAGTACACCAGAATGCCGGCGACCCTGAGACCAAAGGCACCCGAGCATATCATCTCGAAAAAGCTCGCACGAAAGTCTTTACGAAGTTGGTGCTGCTGACCACGACCCTGAAGATGAATTCAGCATTTTCAAAATTCCAAATTACGCTTGGTGGAAAATTCCCTCGCGAGGAATATGAAGGGTGTGTATCAATTTTACACTCATAACATTTATTCGAGATGAGCCACTGACACTTCTTCCCTCACACCAGCCTCATCGAGAATATTCAAAATCTCCTCAGATACTGCTCGCTCCTTTCCTATGCATCCGCGACCTTCTCCCACCACACCAGTGCCCCCACCGACCAATGGGGCGTCGACTTCCGCCAACTCATCTCCGCCAACGAACCTACCTCTCACGAACTCACCATGCTCCTCAGCTTATTATCCTCAGCACTACTCCACGGCCGTCCACTGCCGCCATACCTCACTCCGCCGACAACAGGCCGGTACCTCCAACGCCTCAACGCCATCGACCGCGAGATTCTAAGCAATCGGCATATTGCGGAGCCCGAGTATAGCGCGTTCGCGGTGATGCAGATCTGCGCGCGTTGCATGCAGGATGATATGAGGAAGATCCAGAAGTAAGTTGCTCTTTGTCCTTGTGCTTCCTTTTTTGTCTGACGATGGAACGTATCACTGATCATTTTGATTCGCATTTAGGCATGTCACGACCTTGGTTGGCGAGATTGATTTTTCGTTTCATGCTGTGAGCTCCGAGAGGGGCAGTGAAGAAACGTTGACGACGGCGGAGAAGAAGACGGGACGGCAGTCGGATAGTGAATGATTTTAATTGGACTGGAGACATTCAATCATCTAACGAATCTTTATCAGAAGCATTGTGTTTGATATATTTCCGTAGCGATAGAGTTGTGATTGTTCTTGTGACTTTATGATTCTCACTCGAAATGGTCTCCAAATGCCCGTGAAATGGCAATGGAGACGGAGCTGTAGGTGATGATACGATTGTGTCCTGTCAATTAAAAAGAGCAAGTTAGCCTTGACCAAAACCACGAAGCACATACTACTGGGCAATGCCGGAGATGAGAGACTTACCACCGAACCTTACAATCTCGAACCTCACCCTCGGTCTTCCTGGCCTATTCACATCCAAGACCCCTGCACCTTTGCCGCCATCAATACACTCCTCCGCCTCAATCTCCTCCTTCCTCACCTCACTTCCAGAATCCCTCTTCCCAAACATCCTCCGACAAATCATCCCCGTCTGATGAAACGGGATGTCGCGATCGTTCAACGCATGTACCAACTGCACCGACGCCAAGCTTCGCGTTCCCGTATGCAGCAAGCCAGGGCGATCAGCCAGCGCGGCGTAATACGCCGTCAGACGCTCGGCGCTGAGCCATTTATCTTCCATCAAAGCTGTGAGGCGGCCTGCGAGGGCTGGCACGGGGCGCAGCGGTAGCAGGAGAGGGAGAAGTCCTCCGACGCGGTAGGTCAGCAGCAAGGCGGGGATGCTGGAGAAGGGCGCAGCGAGGACGACGCCTGCGAAAGTTGTCGGCGCGAACACTGCGCCTGTGGCGATGCTGTCTTGATTCTGGATGCTCCGGACTTCAGCGGGAATGAGCGTGTTGCTGGGATCGGCGAAGTGCAGGGCTATGGCGCTGGAGACGCCGGTACCTAGACTTTGGCCTGCGATGACGATGCGTTCGGCTGGAATTTTGGCGACGCGTAGGACCCAGTTTACGAGCGCTGTGCCGTCGATGATGAGGCCGGCTTCGGTTGGGGAGCCGGTGGAGTAGCCGAAGCCGCGGTAGTCAATGGTTAGGACGTGGGTGTTGGGCTGTGCGGCCATGTAGCGGTAGGTATCCGGGCGCCAGTTTTCGCCAACGTGGCCTGCGTTTCCGTGGACTGGGAAGTGGTCAGTATCATCAGAGTGATCATTGAAGAGGGGAGTCCTGGAGTAACCTGCGTACAGTAGATCACTACTCGAGCTGGCGGGCCTTCTTTTGAAGTCAACAGCCTGAAGCCAACTGTGCTGGTAATGTCTGCGACGGGCGCAAAGGAACGTGTCTCGCTTCGGATTTCTCTCTCATTCTCGGCGTAGACGTCCGCGGGCAGGACATGCCAGGCATAGAGGCTTTCATTATCCGGTGTCTTGAGGATGAACGGAGTAACTTGGTTCGGAGCGAAGCCGAACGACTCGGTGTCGTTCAGATTCTTGAGAAATAGTGTGTTGACCTTGTTGGCGTAGAGTGCGCTATGTGTCGTGATTAGCAGCTTGTCATCATGGGAGGACTCTTCTATGTTCACGGTAGTAAGATCTCGACTTACAATCTCTGGACTGGCGGCTGGAGGAGAATACCCAAGAACACGGCATATAAACCAGCCGCGCCGGCGACACCCCAAGCGACTTTTCCGAGCACCATCTCCGCGGTTGAATGCATCAAACGATGAGATCTTGAAGCATGCGTGGGTATGTTGATAATGAGTATATTTGCACCATGTATTTATGTATTTATGCGAGCTGAAATAGCAACGAGCAGCGGAACGAGCGCTGCCTGTTGACTATCGTATGCAGATGGTCATTTATACTTCCTCTAGTCGCGACAAATCCAGGAATAATTACAGCACCGACCTGAGGATATCATTCTCTCGAATCGTCTGATCTCTCTCACGCTCCCATTCATTCTGCACGCACGACCAATTGCATATCTTCGAGATTCCATGATCGTTATGAATCTTCCAAAAATTGTCCAGGTTGTGCAGGTTGTGAAAACACAGATATGGGATTAAGAAAGCGCCCGAGGTTGTTCTGCCCACGTGCTCACTCATGGCCGGGAAGAAGATTGACATCACGTTCCGCGGCGGCGTTCCGTCATAAATGTGGATTAGTCATCATTCAAGATCCACGACGCGATCCAACGCTGGTGCATTTCATGCTTCTCTTTTGATTCTCGCCCACATTGTCGACAATCACAACAGAGCTCTCGAGGACATTCATCAAATCCCGATCGCGACACTTTCAATGATAACCATCCGGAACAGCGAACATGCTTGATCGAGCATAAGTCCATCTTCGAAATGGCGGCGACGCAGCAGGACACTCCGAAACCACAACAGACCATCGGCGTCAAACGATCTGCTGGTAAACGCGCCAGCTTAAGCACGCCAGCGGCAAAGAGATCCAGACAATCAGCGCCGAATGTTACAATCGAGTCACCTGCCGAGGCGAGCCCAGCAACCTCGACCCCCGCCGCAGCATCGCCAGCACCTACCTCGAAGCTGCCACGATTACCGACCAAGATCCACGAGTACCGGCAACTTCCTACGCAGGCCGAGCGCCAGGACGCACGATCGCTGGGATCGGACTACCAAAGCATTGAAGACAGTGCAGTCCTGTCGGAGGCATTGCATCGCTCAAAATTGCGCTGGATCAACGAAGGTATTCTCGACCGATATTGGGTGAAGCCGGAGACCGGCAAGCACGCCAAACCACCTCCACCGAACAATCCTGAGATCAAATGGATGAAATCAAAGGGTCCTTGTAGGATAAGAGTCGAGCCACACGTTTTTGAAGTGGACGTATACATCGAAGAGAAGGTGAAACCACAACCTCCGCCCAAGCAGTATGCTACTCCGGCTGCAAGTCAAAGTCCATATGGACAGCCATATCGCACGCAGCCGTCGAATCAACAACATGTTCCACAGCGTCAAATGCAGCATGCTACGCCGCCGTTGAGTCGAGCGGGTACACCTGGTGCAAGTCACACGAATAGACCTACCCCTCCGGGTCAGCAACGTCAGAATCTCATCCCATTACAGCATCAGCGACCACCGATAGCATCTGCTCCTCCAGTGGAAATGAAACCATCTCAGGACCCAGTGATCACGATGCTCGCGGCGCGCGCTTCGTCTGATGCGGAATTGAAAGGCTTGATGAAAGAGGTCGCAACGGGCAACGCAACACCGGAACAATTAAAGATTTTCCAAAGACATATTGATGAGTTGACAGCCATCATTCAGAAGCAGAGGAGGGATGAGGACGCTCGGCAGAAGGCGATCTACCGACCGCACGCCAATGGAGGACCTCAATCAAAGCCCGCAACTCCCGTAAGACCTCGAAATCCTCCACCAGGCCCGGTACAGACACCAGTCTCACGACCCCAATCTCTGCAGCAAACACCTGTGCAACAAGCGGCGGCACTATCATCAGCGCCGACTCCCTCACAGGCTCCGATGCCCCAGGCAGTAGCGCCAACTATAGGACAACAGCCGGGAAGTATTGCCGCAGGACAGGTCGCGCCGCAACCGCAGCCTGCACCGCACGGGCAAGCTCTACTACAACCGCAAGCAACACCTCAGATTACACCACTGCCACAGCAACGAGTGCAATCAATATCAGGCACACCAGCTAACCAACAGCCTCCATCACAACTTCCGCAACAACCTCTCCAACACGTCCCAACCCCAGCACGGTTACAACAACAGCAACCCAAATCTCAGCCTGCAACGCCTTACAACTATCAGACTCCACAACAACCACGCCCACCTCCCCAAAAGCCTTGGGTCCCACCGCCACCTGCCTCTCTCCCTGTCATAATCGCGTTCACCACGACCGGCGCCACTGAAGACCGATTCCTCTTTCCTCAACACAGCGTCCTCGAAGCTCTGACTCCCCAACACATGCTCGCAAGCTTCATCGTGACCAAGAAGAGCCGACCACTCAGCAACTCTGCTGACGATAGCACGTCCGAGGAGTCTCCGTCCGAGATCGAATACTGGCAGCCCCTCACAATCATGGTCGAAGTGGCCTACGGCCGCGAGGAAATCCTCAACTGCATCCGCCGCTGGGTGAAACCCGTCGAGGAGGTCTGCAAGCACATGGAAGCCACCATGGCGCGGTGTACTCGTGCTCCCACGGAACACCTCGCCCTGCGATTGCCCTTCCGCAGCAACCCGGTCGCTCTGTCGGTCGAGGAGGAGGACGCTTTGAATGCGGCGGCGATCAAGAATGCGGCCCCGCGCGCCGATGAGAAGGTCAAGAAGGAACGCCGTGTCTCTACGAAGCCGGCGAAGAAGAAAGATCCGGCGGCCGCCGCTGCCGCAACGGCTGGCGCTACGGCTATTGGAGCATCGGCGACACCCACAGCTACATCTGCCACCGACGGCGTTGAGGTCAAGCCTACTCCTACCACCGCCGCCGTTGCCCCCGCTGAACCAGCCGCTACTGTCGTCGCCGAGGCCGCGCCAAATGATAAGACCCCTGCCCCAAACCCCACGATTGCCACTCCCGCTTCAGCTGCGCCTACCACCGTTCCGGCCGCTGCATCGGAAACAGCAGCACCGCCGCCGCCGCCATCAGAAAAGAGCGCAGAGACGATGCAGGAGCCGATCAGCACCACAGCACCTGCGAAAGTCGCGCCAGCCGCCGTCGAGAACCCGACGCCGAAACCAGAGGATGTAACGATGACGAAATCTTGACTTGCGTGTAACAACGGCGCTCACGGTAGAGAATAGGCGACACGAATTCTTTGTATGATAACCACGATTTACCACTTAATCTTTTCCCCCATTGGGACAAAAAGTCTTCCGCGTTTTTTGTTTTCCGAGTAGAGCTTCGTTGTTGCGCACCCGTTGCCGTGGTTTGTTTGCGTCGATTTCTCCGTTTTGTTTGGGATTTCTCCGTGTGTATAAAGTCTCTGCGACTTCTTCGGGTTCCATGGGAATGCTTCCGGTTTGGACGGACGCTCCGTTTCTTCGAAAACAGATTGCGGATCTCTCGGGATGCTGTGAATCCTCGGATTTTTCAATCAACGTAGACTTTTCAATCTTCATTCTCGTCCTCTTCCTCGTCCTCTCCCTCCTCCTGCTGCTGCTGCTGTTGCTGCTGATGCTTTGTCTCGACTGCACCACCACCGCCGTCATTACCATCACCCTCCAATTCTCCTTCGGGAAACTCCCCACCACCACCCAAAACACCATCCAACTCCCCCAGCCGACTCTCGAAATTCCTCATCAAAGCCTCCAAATCCCTCGACTCATTCTTCTTCGGTCCACCCCTGTCGCGACTTTCCACCCCACTGATTCTCAACATCAGATCCTTCCCCGTCCCGCCTTCGCCACCATCACCAGCGCCGCCGCCGCCACCGTGGTCGTTGTTGTTGCTGTTGTTGTGACCGCCTTGCCAGCTCGGCGCGGCCGATATCCCCGTCGTGACGCCCTGCCACTCCGGCGCCAGCGACGTCGCGGAGAGGACGCTCCGCCCGTCGGCCGCGAGGTCGATGATCACCGTCCTCTCGTCGACGACGGAGTCTCCTTCTCCTCCCGTCGGGGCTTTCCTCTCTGGGGGTCCCCCCGTGGCGTTCCCGGCGGCCGTGGAATCCGCACTGCGCAGGAGGGCGTCCGTGAGGAGCTCCGGGTCGTCGTCGGCGAAAATGTAGTGCACGGTGGGGTGGGCGTGGAGTTTGGTCTGCGGGTCGACGATGAGGGTGTAGAAGGGGGCGAAGGATGCCGGACGCGGGGGAGGGAGGGCGGATGCGGGATCTTCATCGTCTTCTTCTTCATCATCTTCGTCGTCGTCTTCGTCGTCCTCGTCTTCGTCTTGATCGTCCGTGGCTTTCGATATCCGTGGCACAGTGGAGGAGCTTGTTGTGGTTGTCGGGCCCTCGTATCTCGTCGTCGACCAGGCTTTCTCTTCTGGGTCGAGATCTGCAGGATTCGTGGGTTCTTCCTTCTTTGTTTGCTTGAGGAAGTTTGTTGTTGACCAGGCCTTCTCTTCGGGGTCCAAGTGCGTTGGATCAATGGGGTCATCGCCATCTTGCCTCGAGTCCGCGGGATTGATGGTCCTCTTGCCGGTGTTTGCTCGTTTGGAGGAAGATGGGGAGGAGGTGTCAGCCTGTTTCGGAGCCTCCATCTTTGGCATTTGGGGAGGGATGTTGCCTTGCAGTTTGTTGTTCTCGAGACGAGGTCCCCCTTGCTCACAGATCAAAAAGAGAGAGAGCGATACAAGCGTGAGGATCTGGAGTATTCTATCTGGGAGCAGCTCTCCCTGCAAGAGGCGAAAGAGTTGGCTCTATCTTGTTCTTTTCTTCCTGTCGGGTATCCAAGACCCAGGTGGTTTGCCTTGCTATATGATCTGCTTCTACGCTTGAGTGTGAACTTTGCTCTGCTTGATCCTGGTCGTGATGTTGATATTGAGTTGCCTTTGCTTTTTTTGTATCCGTGTCTGATTTGCTATCAATGCAGCAATAGTCCCAAGACTAGTACGCAGAGTTGACAGTTCATGCTTCATGAGCATAAGTGTCTGGTGAGACGCCCGTGATATTGTGCTTAGGGTTTGGGTTATTATCACGCGGGCGGAGATGGAGTCCGAGAGACACGCAAGAAAACATTATAATTGGACGGACGACTTCTGCCCTTTTGTCCATAGAAACCCGGGAGATAATTCCCTATACAGCTCGTTCGGATGAAGAATGTGAAATACTTCAGCCGCAGAATGCTTCAAGGAAACTGACAGTACAGAAGGAGGGTAGGTTACGGTCGGAGCAAATGGGGTGCTCAAATTCCTCGGCGGGTTACAGCATGCTTCGACATTATCGACACTTTCAGGAAATTGCTATGTTATCGACGACAGACGGCAACGTGCGATCGGAATTATTTTCCATTCGCAAAGCACTACGACGGCCGTAAATATGCATTACACTTCATCCGCACGAATCGATCCTTTCTAATATTCATCACTGCTGTCCACACGCGACCATCTTCTGCCTCACGGTCATGGGCGTGCCATCGCAGGCGAGATCACCAAACGCCGTCCTCAAACGAGCATACTAAGCCTCCTGGGTCAAGCCCAGATGCTCGGGCTCGGCGGGTACAACACGGATGGTGTTGGTGAAACCCTGTCCACCGCGCCAGCCCTGCACGCAGATGACCGGGGCGCCCTGCTTGAGAACCTTGAGGTCGATGGCGTTTTGGATGCCCCACTTGAGACGTGAGTCGACGTCTTCTTGCCAGGGAGTGGTCTTGTAGTCGGGCTTTTGCTGGTCGTAGTGGAAGGGGTAGACGCCACGGTACAAATGCGAGTAGCGGCTGGCGCGCGCATTGCGGGTGACCATGATGATGGGGCATACGGGGCGGTATTTGGAGATGAGTCGGGCGGTGTTACCACTGTGAGTGAAAGCGCGTCAGCTAAGTCTTTCTTCACCAATGCACACGAGATCGTCACTTACGAAGTGGTAAGGACGAGAATGGCGCCAGCGTTCTGCTCAAGCGAGGCAGCGACGGCTGCCATGCAGACGTTCTCAGTAGTGGGCACAGGGCGAGGCGCAAGCTGCTTGAGCTCATCGTATGAGTTGAGGTATGGAATGGCAACCTCAGCCAACAAGCAAGTCTCGTGCATCATGGTGACGGCCTCCCTGGGGTAGTTGCCCTTGGCGGTCTCACCAGAAAGCATGACACAGTCAGCACCATCGAGGACGGCGTTTCCGACATCGCTGACTTCGGCACGGGTGGGACGTGGGTTGTAGGTCATGGACTCGAGCATTTGAGTGGCGCAAATGACGGGCTTGCCCGCGAGGTTGCACTTGGTGATCATCATCTTCTGCGCGATGAAGACCTGCGCTGGAGGAATCTCAATTCCGAGATCTCCTCGGGCAACCATGACACCGTCTGTGACCTTGAGGATCTCATCGAAGTTGTTCACACCTTGCTGATTCTCGATCTTCGCGATGATTTGAATGTCCTTGCCCTCCTCGCCGAGGACCTTGCGGATGGCAATGATGTCATCAGCGCGACGGATGAAACTGGCAAAGACCATGTCGACACCGTTCTTCACACCGAACTTGAGATCGTTCTGATCCTTCTCCGATAACGCGGGAAGATCGACATCGGTCTTGGGAAGGTTGACACCTTTCCTGCTGCTAATCTTACCGTTGTTGATAGCCTTGCAACGGAGAGTCTTCTCATCGACAACCTCGAGCACCTCGAAAGCGAGGACACCGTCGTCGACGAAGATTGTTCGACCCTTCTCAATGACCTTTGTGATGTTCTTGTAGTCGACGTACATGTTCTTGTCGTCACTGGCTGTGGCGTACTTCTCGTCAGTCGTGATGTTGAGCTCGCTGCCGGCCGCGATCGGGATGTCCTCATCGCCAGTGGTGTTTCCAGTTCTGATCTCGGGACCCTTGGTGTCCAGAGCAATGGCGACTGGACGACCAGATTGGGTCTTCTCGGCCTCGCGGGCATTGTCAATGACCGATTGGTGGTACTCGTAGCTTCCGTGGGAGAAGTTCATGCGGACAACGTTCAGACCTGCTGTACGGAGCATGTTGATCTTCTCGGCGGAGTTGGTCTTCGGGCCTGGCATCCATGCTTGTCAGTTGACCATTCGTGGTGAAGGTTGGGCCCGTCAGAGCTATCGTACCGATTGTGCAAATGATACTAGTTCGGCGGAACTGCGTGGGAGGGTAGTACTCGGTGTTGAGACTGGCGAGCCATTGGATACGAGTACGACCGTATTCCTGGTGGAGCAAGGAGTCACCCATTGTGGCGGTTGGGTCGTTGACGTGAGTTTTGAAGAATTTGGTGATATGACGAGCGAAAGCAAGCTCTCTGGTCTTGGAGGAGGAGGATGCGAAGGAGGAAGTGACCAGGTGTTGTATTAGACAGATAGATAACGCGAGCAGTAAAGGACGCGATGGATGGTTGATAGAGGACGAAGAGAAGGAAGAAGGAGGAACAAGAGAAGTGAGCAACAGGAAGGAGAGAGATACACAAGAGAGCCGTAGAGAGTTGGTGGTGCAGGTGGTGGTGGAGGTGGTGGTGATTGCGTTGAGAAATTGTTTGGGCAAGCCCGTGATGGCTGACGGTCTGATTGAGCAGCTACTGTACCTTATTGCTCTGACTACATACTAGGTAGGTGCCCATCTCCGGGAAACACAGATAGAACAGAACAAAGGAACACGATCATACAGTGCTACTCCTACCCATCACTGTTGTATCATACTACTACTGTACCTTGTGCATTCTTTTTATCGTGATTGCGCCGCCTGCTGATCTCGGGCTTGGGAGCTGTTAGAAGCTCCCCACCATTTGACCTGCATGGTCCCTTGGTTTGGCAGGGCCGCCGTGGGTAGGATGGGACGCTTCACGCACAGTCTGATACGCTCTTAGACCTATCCATTACTGTTGAACTGGTGGCAATGGCGCGGTCAGCACGATGGGCATATCTCGCGGGCATTGGAAGACCTGGCGCCAGTCGAACATGAGGGGAGCCCAGTCCAGTGTGGGCAGTCGTTGTGGTGATACCAAAAAATAAAAGGCCCGACATTGAACACGCGGCGACCGACTATGACATAAGGGCCAGTTCCATTGCACGCGTCTCCCACCACCGCCCGTCATAAGGCGGGCGCTTTCTTCGAGATTTTAGAACGCGTGGGGCTATCAATTGGCGGGCGACCCTTGCTGTGCCTTTCCCGCCGCCGCCGCCGCATCGTTGGAATTCCCCGAGAGAGAGAGACAGAGAGGCTATGAAGAAGCCCGACCGGCATGTGGGCAGAAACCCGCATCTAGGTGGTGGATGGCAAGCAATCCTCTCACGCTCTCTTCGCTCTCCGCGCTGCTGAACACGATCGTGTTGTGGTGATCGTCCAAGCGATCCAGGTGCCAAGCGTCTCACCGCTGTGATCCATCCCCCCAAAAGTCTGCGGCGACAGCGATGATGGACAACGTGTATTGACGGAGAGATTCGCTGCACTCCCCATTATTGTTTCGTTCCATACCGCGTCGAGGTGGAATTTTGGGAGATCGCTATCTGCTTATCGAACATTTGATGCCACTGTGACGTCGTTCTAGCTCTAGCTGCCTCTGCGGTATCAAGGGAAGAAGGATATCAAGACGATAGCAGGCATGCAGGTATAGTCCGATAAGTGTGCGCGTAGTGTGAAGGCGTCGAGCAACAGCAACAGCAACAGGATCGATCTGAATATTTCAGCAGTCATGCTTATTTGCCGACCTTCCTAGGCAGGTGGCAGGTGGAGACCCGGCCAAGCGGGTTCCGTTCGGTCGGACGGCCAGTACATCTGTTTGGGGATCTATGGATGTCTGCAGATCTGTCCGCGGTCCCCATCACTGAAAGAGCGTTCGGTGATTCGGGATCGCGACACCAATACACACGGGCAGAAACCATCGTCGATGCGCCTCAAATGTGTTGCACATCCAAATGCCTGCATAAATCTTCTGAAATATGGCGGTGTATTCGACGTGTGCCAGGTGGTAATAATGAATCCGCCAGACCTGCCCAATCTCGATTACTACCCAAAGGATGGCCGCGGGCGGGATGTGCTCAGACATTCGCCGAGCGGGTCAACGATCACCCTTAGCAACGCGCGGGAAAGCTTGCCGCCCAGGTGCCCAAACAAATCCCTCCAGGGCTCTCCTCCACAGCCGGAGCATAGCGTTGCAGCTACAGGACAAAGGCACGGCTAGACCCTTGATTCCATGTGACTGGGCGATCTCGTGTGCACACCTGCTTCCCGTCTCACGCTGGAGGTAAAGCCGACGACGACGATCACGAGCCGAAAGACTACGCCCAGCACATACATCCGCTCGAGAATCACAAGCTGCACGACCAGCAACAATCACACGAACATCGCTGAACATCAGGTCTCTCCTGGATCCTTTGGATTCATCGCCATACACAACTCACGATGGTTGTACGTACCTCTTCCAATCGCCACAACATGATGCTGCCTGCTTGCTGCTTGCTCCACCCGGCTCCCAGTTCAGTCACGAAAAAGCTCCTGGGACATGTATAGCTGACGATATGATACGTTTACTCACCAACAGCTCGGCCGTCTAACCCACTGGGCGTTCGACGCCGTCCTCATCTCCGCCTTCCTCGCCGGCGTCAAGCGATCGACAGGTCTCACGTAAGTTTCTTTTTTCGAAGGATTCCCAACCCCGAAATTCATCTCACTTGTCGTATGAAATTGCATCGCGAAAAACTGACCAGAAGTCCTAACGCTTCAGTCCCAGCATCCGACCGGACTCCTTCTCCGATTCCCCCAACATGAAGAAGTGGATCGAGAATTACCTCTGGGTGGGCGATGTCGTGCTGGACCAGAGCGTGGCCCTGATGAGCTCGAGCGGATACTTCGAGAGGAAGCGGTGATTTTCTTTTGGTCGCGTGGAGCTTTCCTCGTGATGTGAAGAGCAGAGCCGAGGAGGAGGAGGAGGAGGAGGAGAAGGAGGAGAATGGGCAGGGCGTGAGATCATGATGGATATATGGCAGAAACCTCTCCCTTCCGAGCGTCTCGGCGAGAAGAAGACCTACGAATAAATGTTTCGTCGGGACACGAAAATTTGGGAGAAATCACGACGATGCTGGCGGGACAACTCGGAAGAGCGGGAAATGGTGCTGTCGCGCAAAGCCCACAGCGTTGTGTCGCGATGGACGCAGAAAGGACACAATCCATGTATCGGGTGAGGCGTCATATGTCGACAAAAAGGGGGCCGGCAGTTCAGGGAAGAGGAAATTTGATTTGTGCAAAATAACGCGGCATCGGTCTCTCATCACACGGGAGATCTTGCGGGTTGGAGAGCAAGCCCATGTTATGAGACGGTGGCGGCGTAACGAGATAGAATAACGAAATTCCCCACTTCTTCTTTACGTTTGCTGGGGCCGACTGAATGCCTGGTTGGCTGTATGCTCGCGGTGAACGGCAAAGCGAATTGCCTAGGTATGTTACAGTCTACCAATTATATACCAGGTGAACATTCCGATGCTAGATAGAGATGAGCCATGAGAGCGACGAATGCGATTTCAGATGTAAAAGTTCGGGTTTTGGCATCCCGCCTCGTCGTGTTTTGTCTACTCGACTCCCATGCGCCTGATTTGTGGAGGAATGGTGGTATGGATGCCCAGGTGCGAAACTATTGTCTTTAAGAGAAGAAATGACGGCAGAGCTATTCGAGCAATTGGGGTTTGTGATGAGTCCAGAGGTCGTCACACGTTCGGGATCAGAAGGCGAAATGGCAGCGGCGCAGCCTTCATATATATGAACATGATTTTGCATGAATTTCTCGCATTGAAACTTCGCTACGTCGAAAGCATGACCAGGCTGTCCTCGATACTCTGCCATCGATAACAAAACTAATCGATCGAGCAAAGAAGATCCACCGGCCCTGTAAGTCCATTGCCTTGCCCTTTAACGCCAACCACAATGCAGCCGCTCATCGGGTTGAAAAGAAGACCACTCATCATTTCGATCCCCTTTCATATCTCCCGATGGCCACCTTTTTGTTTTTGCCTTTGTAAATCACAGCCCAACCATCATCTAGAACTTGCTGAAGGACTTGACAGCCTTGCCAGTTCGGGGAAGCACGCGGAGGACGTTGAAGCGGACCTAGTGAGGGTTATTAGTTTCTGAAGCGGATGCTGGGTTGCATCGGAGTGGGTTTATGCATACAGTCTTGCTGAGAGGTCGGCATTGTCCAACAGTGACCTGGTCACCGTCCTCGACACGGAAAGCAGGGCTGACGTGGGCGGACAAGTTCTTGTGTCGTCGCTCGTAACGGGAGTATTTGGGGATGAAGTGGAGGTATTCCCGGCGGATGACCAAGGTACGGTGCATCTTGGTGGAGATGACGGTGCCGGTAAGGATACGGCCACGGATGGAGACGAGACCTGTGAAGGGGCACTTCTTGTCTGTGAGGAAGAAATCACGTTAGTGTCCGTCGTTCATGTCGTCCTCTACCCATCGCGGCCCTCTTCCATTCTTTGTCGCATCCAGTCCCGAGCGCATCTCTCATATCGGCATTCCTCCACATCCTTCAACACCCAGATACCACGTACCGATGTAAGAACCCTCAATGGCGGTCTTGGGCGTCCTGAAGCCCAGACCGACATCCTTGTACCATCTCCGGCCACCCTTTCCGACTCTCTTTTGCTTGGAGCTGGTCTTCTTGGTGTTCTGGAAGATGTGAGGCTGCTTTTGGAAAGCGCGCTCGCTCTGGACGGCCAATTCGGTAGCCATGTTTGTGGTGAGCAAAGTTGGCTGGTCGGTTGGCGAGTTGTTGTTGTCGTGCTAGAATCGCAGCAATAACGTGAAGTTCTCTCTTGGGTCTCGTGTGCGGGCTTGAAAGTTCGCAGCTCGAATTCGAGGGCTTGGCGTTGTGTGCGTGCTGTGTGTGCAGCCAGCTTCGCGACGGCCCGTGCCGTGTGAAAAAGTCATGGGACGCGCCTGCACCCTGTGAACCCATCAATGTCACCATGTAGGGCATGTCGGAGGTCGATCGAGTGTGTAGACTGCTGAGAGACATCCTCAACCACCATCATCTACTACAGTTTCGGCATCAATAGATCTCATCATGATCGCCCACCGAGCAAGCCGCCTCGTGGCGCGCAGATTTATCATCTCACGACCGACACAATTCAAGAGCAGCTTCAATGCAACTCGCCCGAGCACGTGCACATTATCAACCTGCTCCACATCGAGCGGCCTACATTCCACATCGCTTGTCTCAGCACTACGGGGACTTCGACTCAACCAGTCTTCATCTTCGCGACAAATCGCGCGCCAGCAAATCCGGGGAATGAAAGTACGCAGCAGTGTCAAGAAGCTGTGCGATGGCTGCAAGAGCGTGCGGAGGAAGAACCGGACCGTGTACATCATTTGCAACAAGAACCCGAAGCACAAGCAGAGGTATTTACATGGCAGATGCGAGTGAGTGTTAGAGATACGGTGCTAACAATATTGACAGGCAGGGATAGATTGGAACTTGAAGGATCGTCAGCTGTCCACAGCTGTGTAGATTTATGTTTTACGAGCATTTCGAACGGGCGTTCTTATATCCCACAATGTAACAACACAACTTTTCAATTCTCCCTATAGCCTATGGCGCGTATAGATTCTGCAAGACTTTGCATGGCTGTCCATGAGTTGCTCGGCAAAAGGTATGCGCAGACTTCGAATTACACGATCCATCTTGTTAGCATCATCAGCAACACACTTCATGAGGATAAAATACCTGCTATCTATGAGCTCCATTTTTCTCTGCTTGCGTAGTGGCCCACATGGCGATTCTTCCGTCTTCAAGGACAAATCGTGGTGCCACTCTCCTTCTCTTCGTCAACCTCAAGCTGATCGATATCAACGCCTCCCTTCTCATCCCTAGTAAGCGCTTCCACATTTCGCCTGCTCGTTCGACCGACATATCTGCATTGAGTCGCACGGCCAAAGATCCTATCATTGCAGCTACTCGTCGCCCATAACTCCAAGATCAACAGGAACACAAGCAGCGCCGTGACGATGCCGATGAGTTCAAGCGAATTCAAATTCTCCGCCAGCGGAAGTAAGACCATCACACACGCCACCGCCAAGCGAGCCACCAGGCGGAATTTCTTGGGCAGTCGCAGACCATCGACCTCCTTGTGCACGTGCGAGATGGATATGGTCATCATCATGATCAGCGCGGTTCCCAGGCCCGCGGAGTAGAACCAGCGGATCCCACCGGGGATTTCCCCTTCGCTGCGCTCCTGATATGTCTCCGTCAAACGCTCGAGTCCCGTGTCGGGACAGTCGTGAGCGACGACGAGTCGTGCGAGGGCCCCGCCGGCGAGGATAAAGGCCATGATGAATGGGAGGTGCGCCAAGGACCAGGCGAAGGCGCTGGTCTTGCTGCGGCGGATGGCATGTTTGGATAGATTGCTCCCATCGACTTCGAAGTACAGCCAGTTGAAAATGAAGCATTGGATTAAGCCCAGGACGGCTTTTCCGAAGAAGGCATCGATGCCGTTGGTGACGCTTTGGAAGAGGATTGCCACGACGGTGTAGCCGAAGACGAGGCCGACGAAAGCATTTGTGCGCTCGGTCCGGTGTTCGATGTTGATTGCTGTAATCTGCTGTCAGCTCTATGCCGTTCGAATGAAGCATGTTTGGGCCAGGGATTTTGACTCACCTGGGTAGAATTCAAACTTCTTCTCCATCCACCTGCCAGCGGATGGTGCAATTTTAGTAAGCATGGACTTGACGAAGACGTGGCTCACGGAGCCGGTGACCTCAATGAACATTGCGATCCATATCAAAGCCAGCTGATTGGGGTATTCGACATGGACAGACCCGATCCACAAAGCTGCGGCGATGAAAATAGCTATGGCATGGTAGATCATGACCGATCGTACCATCGGGATCAACCATGAGATCAGTAGTAGATAGCTAGCCATGAAGATTCTCGCGGCGAGATAAAAGCCGATCAAGGTTGCGTATGTGCTCTCCTCTTCGAACGCGTGAGTGATGTTTGTTGTGTAGCCAAAAAGGCAGATTAAGAGGAACAGCACGGACACGCGCTGAAAAACATCATCTGTTTCAAACCAGCTGATGAAGAGCGCCATATCGTTCCTGAATTTTTTTTAACTCAGCATGGACCGATTCGCAGGTGTCCTCGATGCGACTCACCAGATCTTCCAGGATAGAGTAAATGTGATGACGAATCGCAGCAAGGAGACGGCAGTTGGGTCCTCCGAAGTGACATCTCCAATCACCGCAATAATTCCAACGAAGAGAAGGTCGATGAACAGTTCGAACGACTGCACTTCTTGAGCGCCAGAAGCTCGCCAGAGGATGCCCTTGTGGAAGTATTGTCGCACCACAGGGGTCTTGAAGAGCTTCAAAGTCGTCGCAAAGCCGCGCTCGTAAGCAGGCGATGATCTGCAGCGTGATACTATCAGCACATTGTGTTCTCCGAGCGATAAAATCATGTCTCAATGGCAAACTCACGATTCACTACTCGCGCCGCTGATCGATCGAGCAGCGCTCGGGTCTTCATCGTACGACCGCACATGGGCATCATATCCGAATCGCCCAAAGTGCGCGTCGAGACTGACGCCGTTCGTGCCGACACGCTTCAATTCATCCGCGATAGCCGCGAGGTTGTGATTGACACTCGTGATATGGTCGTATACATCCTGCGATGAGGTAGAACGAATGCGAGGTCAGCCCTTCTTCTTCATCTTCTTCATCTTCTTCTCCCGCTATGTAGGAGTGAGGCATCCGAAAAAGGCAAGAAGTAGATGGACAGAGGGAAAAACCAACCTTGTGCTTCTCTCGCAATTCATTCTGATGGTTCTCATGATGATTCTGCGCAAGCCTCAACGTCTCCAGATGCTCCTGTGTTCCCGAGAGCACAACATCAAAATCCTCCACGTTGGAGTTCCTGCGGAGGTCATTCCGCAATCGTTCGGCTTCCTCGGGAGACTGGGCGACATGAACTCTCTTCCCATTGGGATGAAGGAAGTGCCGGAACACTTCTCGCACGCGGTCACCGGTCTTGTGTGGAGAAGCGGAGTTAACAGCGTCTGCATTGGTGACAGCCGGGAGGGCTTGACGTTCGACGTCGACGCCAGACATTGTCCCTGCTCAGATGGCTACGGCGTCTGGTGGATTGTGTTCGGTCGGACCCTGACGAATTCAGGTGTCGACAGCCAGGAGCCCGAGGAATGTAAATAACACTGATCACCAAATCAATCACAGAAGTGACTTTCGCGGCAACCGAAGAAAACAAGCGATGGCGGGAAAAAGTCCGACCAAGTTTCGGATCAACACAATACTAATCATAAAATATACATCCTCCTCCCTAGCCGAAGGGCAGGATTCACCGAGTTGTTAGATCGAAATCCAACCTCACGGACATCGAAAGCGCACGACCCACCGCCCATGCCCTCCAGAAGGACAGCAGCGTGAGCAGCGTGAGCAGCAGCGCATCTGCAGGTCCTACCAAAAAAGGCTTTATACAGTTGCCCGGAAATCAATAGTATCAAGCATAATAAACCCATGCAGAGAACGTCCAACACACACATGTACCACCCATCCAAGCGAGGTGTTGGAATCCAGCGAAATCCTTCAGACTCTCCCGAAACTCAAGTGTAGTCCACAAACGAGCCAATAGCAGCGAGAGAGAGACCCGGTGGCTGGCCGTGCTTGCCCAGGTGTCGCAGAAATCCTTGTCCATTGCACGCGCTACTGGAGGGGCCGGACATGCATGGGGTGTGGGACCCTGCAGATCATTTCGTCTCTCACGCACGCACGCAATTCACTCTATGAGGCGATGGTTATTTGCACGTGAAGACGGTTTGTGTTCGGATATCGTACAGGGACTGAACTCGCCTTCTGTACTGCCTGAGAGCAACAGAATGGTTGGACAGATCGTCGTCTACGGGTCTACGTGGTGGATTAATTGTGAATTTGAAGTTTCGCGCGGTCGTTTGCCAGAGTGCTAATATCCTCAAAGAGTCCCGACCAGCACGATTGAGTGAGAAAGTGAAAGGAAGAGAGAAGATGGAGAAGATAGAGGGAAAGGAATTTTCAAGGAACAAATGACGGATTGGACGCTAAAGAACAACGAGGACGCTAAACAATTGTATGCACAGGGCGGAGAACCAAGTACGAGAGAGAGAAAGACAACAAAAATGACGGGAACTTTGGAGAAGGTTGATTTTTCTCTTTTGGGGATTTTTTTTTCTCTTTTGGAGGGTTCAATCAGGACGTGGGTGTCGGGGCCTGCAATAATCCTCGACTTCTTCATCCTTTTTTGCTGTCCTACTCATCGACAGCGGCCTCCTCCGACTTGGAGGCTTCGGCGGTCTCCTCGGCGGGGACAGGTCCTTTGGCAACGGAGGAATTCTTCTTGTTGTGCTTCTTGTTCTTCTTTTTCTTGGGAGTTGAGGTGGCAGCGGGTTCGGGCACGGGAGCTTCTTCCTTTGCGGGTTCAGGCGCTTGAGCCTCTTCCTTTGCGGGCTCGGCAACGGGAGTCTCTGCCTTTTCAGGCTCGGCGACAGGGATCGCTTCCTTTTCGGGTTCAGGCGCGGTGGTCTCTTCTTCGGCTGGTTCGGCCGCTGGAAGCTCTTCCTTGACGGGTTCAACCACAGGGAGAAATTCTTGTGCAGACTGCTCGGTAGGTGCTTCCTCCTTGACAGGCTCTTCCTTCGGAGTTTCCTCAACGACGGTCTCCTCAGCGACAGTTTCCTTTGGAGCAGCTTCCTCGACAGGCGCTGGCTCCGCCGCTGGGTCCTCAACAGGTGTCTCTTCGGTTAGTACCAATGGTTCGGTCACGGCGGGGGCTTCCTCCTGAACTTCTTGAATGGGTTCCTCTACAGGCTCTTCAACAGCCTTCTCTTCTGAGGCCGTGGTGGTCTCTGCAACCGCTTCCTCAGAGGTCTCGACGGCCGCAGGCTCCTCAGGCTTGCTCTCCGCCTTTGCGTCGACCTCTGGCTCGATCTTTGCCTCTTCTGCTTCCTCTGTGGCCGTCTCGGCATTGGCTTCGGCAGGCGCAGGTGCTTGCTGCTCTTCTTTCTTCACAGGCTCCTCTGCCACGGCGGCTTTGACCGGTGCAGCTTTCTCCGCTTTGCTGGGAGCTGAAACTGGAGTTGCCTTGCTAGCGGTTGGTGCGGGCTTTGAAGGAGCACTCGGCTTTGTCTTCGCAGGCGGCAAAGTAGACTTCGGCTTGGGCGACTTCTGCGCCTCGGCCTTGTCTTGCAGTCTGTTTGCGGATGCAGCCGTTGGTCGAGTCATACGATCCAAAAAGCTACCATCTGAAGCGCCAGCTGGCTTACGAGCCGACGAGGAAGACGTTTGTGATTCAGGACGCCCGGCCAGAGAGTTTCGTGGCGTCGATTTAGTCGGTGCGGCTTTCGGTTTGGCTTGAGCCCCAGTGGATGCTGCAGGTTGAGTTTCATGCTTAGCCCGGAATGCTGCAGTGGGTTGGGTAAGATGTGATGAAACGTTCAGAGGCTTGGTCGGCTCGCGAGGCTTAGGCTTTGTCGCCGGCTTCTCCGCTGTAGCACCCTTATCCGTGGCTGTCCGAGCAGCAGAAGCTGCCGTCGGAGCAGCTAGAGAGCTTCTGCTCAGCCGCTTGGCCGCATCACTCGTAGTCTTTGATGCGATTGATGTCCTAACAGATGCTGAAGGAGTCGTCTTCGCTGGGCCAGCCGCCGGCTTCGCTGTTGATGCTGCAGACTTGGCTACCAACGGCTTCTTGGTTGCAACCGATGACTTCAATCCATTCTGTGTCTTCGATCCCGGAGCTACTCCTCGTAGATCCTCTGCCTTACTGGGAAGAGCCGCTCCTCCGCTGACAGCGGCAGCGCTGGATGGGTCTGCTGGTTTGATCGAGCCCGACTCTTCTGCGCTTGTTGTGGGCTTGTCAGGGTTCGCTGGCTGGGAGTCGCTGACGATGTTCGCCTCCTGCTCTCCTACAACCTGGCCCTTCTCTTCAACGGTAGCAGACATGGCTGGAGCGACCGGGAAGAAGCTCGCTCGAACTTTGCTGCGTGGTCTATTGTTTTCGGCGTCTAAGCCTGTGCCACCCGGAGATCTACCTCTTGCGTCTAGGGAATTTTCGGCTGCTTTGTTTTCGAATAGTGATCGAAGGCTACGGACGGCAGATGATGATCGTTCGGGGGACATTTCTGTATTGCCGATTTGGGTCAGCGATCAACACGAGAGGTGGTTCGAGAAAATCAAATTCTTGTCGACTCGACGGCTGACTCAAAGCCCATTCGTTGCTCCAGCCATACCTCGACGTGGTATGAGCCTCGAGGAAGCTTGAGTGGTGAGCGATTCCGAGGCGGTCGCCTGGAACGAATGAATGCATGGTCGAAGGTGCTCGTGCTCGTGCGCGGTCCGAGGACGGAGGAGATGATGGGACTCACATCGACGGAAATTTATGGAAATCACAGCAGCCTATCGGGCCATTGACGATGAACTTCACCACCGTGTTGCTGTAGGAGACCAAGATTGGATGGTGAGGATGCGAGAGATGTGTTCAACAAGGCCAGCAAGAGACAGAGCAATTACGCATGGGGACGACGAACGACACCCGACCAATAGCTCGTAAATATTTACCGCATTGCCAGGCGGAAGAAGTCCAGTCGAATCGAATTCCAGGGTCGGAGCTAAGAAGATGGATCCGGGCGCCCAACTGGCCGACTGTTCAACTGGCTGGCTGGTTGGCTGGCGGGCGACGAGGAAAAGGGGTGGGATTTGACTAAGCCATGATCTCATCAATCCAAACCAGCTGGAGACCAGACGATCACCTGGAGATAGATCTCTCGATTGATTGAAACTAGGAATGTATGGATTCCAAGGTTGTTGTTAACGTATTCTCCCCAACACGTGACTGGACAGGGATAAGTACGGTATTCTGCACGAGCGCATCGGGGCATGTTTTGCCTGACTACTCGGTACTTCTTGTTCAATACTACTGTAGTGTGTCCCCACCTGGCGCAGGTACTGGTACTGTCATTACCTAGGTATTATTACTGTTACTCCAGGGCTTAGTAATCACCGCTTGAAATCCTTCCAACGGCCCCCTTCTTCCAAGGCTCTAGGCACTCGCGCGGACGGGCAAAGCTGATACCGTAACTCCCCAATCTCGAGGCTCACCAGCGGAGTGGCCAGGCATCTTTAAACGCGTCTTCCAGTGCCTCATACGGATACTGCTACGACTGAACCGCATCGCACTACAGACGGCGCCACGTTGGCGATGATCAGCAATCGTATCAAGGTTCGGCCATTCCTGCGCATCGCCCTCGCCGGCGTCGGGCTATGCTTCATTTATTATCTCGGTGTGCGCACCTGGGAACTGGCCAGGATTTTCTACGGCCACCCAGGTCTCGCACTCACACAAGGAGAAGTCGCCGAGGCTTACAAGGAACGAGATCTCTCCATTCCCGCGCCGATCCCGAAAATCATCCATCAGATCTTCCATAATTGGACTGACGCGGATAACGAACATATTCCAGAGGAGTATGCGTTGCAGCGACAGACGTGTATTGATGCGAATCCCGGTTGGGAGAATAGGGTATGCATACTCGCACTTATCTTGATTAGGAGGAAGGCAAACCCTAATTGTTTCTTGCTAGTTATGGACATCGAAGACTTCTCGTGCATTTCTTGAAAAAGAATATCCCTGGTTCTTGCAGACTTACGATGGTTACCCTATCGGAGTACAGAGGGTCGACGCCCTCCGATACTTCCTCATGCGCCATTTCGGCGGTATCTACCTCGATCTCGACAATGTTCGTACATGCTCAAGGTTCATTACAGATCTATACGTACTAACAGTCTTACTCTCAGAGCTGCAAGACCTCCCTCGAACCTCTACGATACTACCCACTCTGGACCACCTACGGCGGCCACGGGACCATCAGCAACAACATCCTCGGCGCGCGGCCAGGACATCCCTTCTGGATCATGCTGACCGACGCCCTCGTCCGCTACGCCTGGAAGTATCCGCTCCCTTACATCACTGTCTCCTACGCCAGCGGCCAATGGTTCATGTCGAAAATCTGGCGCCAATTCCACGAACGGAATCCCGAAGCGCCGATGATCCGGATACTCATGGACTTCCGCCCGGGCTCTGCCGAGTGGGTCTTCTTCGACATGGGCCCCGGCGGCGGTTCTTGGAGGGAATGGGACGACGCTTTCATTCTATGGATCAGCAGGGGGACGAGGAATTTGGTCATCACAATTGTGGTCGGCGTGATTCTCGGTGTGGTTGTGGTGGCTTTGGGGATTTTGGCATGCATGGCTTCGAGGTCGCTGTTTCAAGGAAGACGGAAGAAGACCCCATGGCATAGAGAATCGCCAGAGGAAGGGGAGGCACTGCTGAACGAGGACGATACGGAATTGCGGCCCATGAGGTGAGAGTGTATTATTCATGTCTTTCTTTTTTACGCCTTCCTGGCGTTTTTGTACACAAGCATGGCAATCTTGGAAGATTTGAGTTGATGGTGATTTGAGCTGCCGGACCGCCACAGCAACATCAATCAACATGTATAGGCGCACCAATCATCCGTGATCGGAATGAACTCACACCTCGGCTAGGTCGATCACGAAGCTGACATCCTTCCAAACCTGCCTTGCACCGAATAGATGGGTGTGTTGATATTCTCTTGCCATGTCATTCCACTCAACACTCCCAGACGAGAATCTCACGCTCCCGCCAAGCGATTTGAAGCGGGCATCAGAGAATTCTATTTTGATTCACATACCTTGGTATCAAATAGCATCGTGGGACCACATGAAGTCCCCCATAAGAAACATTGAAGCATCCACCGCCAAGGAAAAGTCGTCGCAAGCAAAGTTAATTTTGCATAGCAACCAGATCATCTAGAGTTGGTCCCGCCCGAATAAATGCTTGACTAACACATTTGAACCTTGCCAAGCGTGCGAACGCGTGTATTGACATACAAGCATTCGGCGCGGTTAGGATATATAAAGCCATCGCAAAGCCGCGCAGGCCCCAGATGAGGGTTAGTGCTGACCTTGGATCGACAGTCTGCATATGTTCTTCGCGCCTTGCGTAACCTCACCTTTCGACCCGGCCCAATGATGTTTGCTCGACCGGAGAATTGTCACAGCAACAATGGTACCGACACATTTTGCGGCGTCAAGAATGTGAATGATGTCGAATTTGACGTGCGATTCGACTCCTGGTCCTGTCAACTGTGCCTCATCGTCAGATCCATCATGTTGTATAAGTATCTGCTTGTTGCCGACATCATGATCGTCTCGACTTCATTCCCTCCTCCTCCTCACTATCACCACCAGTACTCGCTACGATAATACACGAAATGGCCTACAAACTGCTCGCCTTGGCCATGCTTGTCTACGAGACGTTAGCTTTCGCACGGTCCTCAGCTGGTGCGCCATTCATTGGCTCCAACACAGCCTTCAATCAGTCGGATCGCAACGCAAACCACTCCAACACCGTCAGCTTCAAGCACCGCGACCTCGGTACCTGGAACTGGACCGTTCGCGTCAGTGACATCCCCGCCCCAAATTTGCCAGGGGAGTCCGCGGACGCTCACAGAGCCTACACGACTTATTCGTTCTCGTGGCCGACCAACGGCACCCTGTCCGACGCCATCCAAGCCGAGGAGCGACATGATCCATCGCGGGCCCGGAACGACTCGTGCGTGCTCCTGTTCAGCCGATTGTCCCCGCCGGATCTGAACGCCAAATACGACAATGCCAGCTCGAGCTGCACCGGCTACCTTGGCGAGGAATGCGAGAAGGCCATCTATGGGGTCCTCGACGATGTCAACACGGACTGCACCAAGCTCGGTCCCATCTCCGACAAATTCTGGCATACTTGCAACGCCACTCTGCTGAGGCATCTTGGCTCGGACAATGGTTTCTACCCTGCGAGTACGTATTAATCCCTTCTCCCGCATATATCCGTGTGATAGCAGTAAAAAGTGCAAACGATAACAAGTAGTACACACCAACCATTGACTTCGGTTCCCTCCTCACAGAGTTCGGCAACGAGAGCACCATCCTCCCCGGCGAAGTCTGGGCCTCCGCCACCAGCGACGTCCACCAAGCAGGTAACCGGACGGCATTCGGCGAAGTCGCCGGCAACGTCCACATCCTCGGCTTCACCGGCAAGAAGCCTCAATTGATCTGCAACCGCGCGTCCAGCAACTTCCCGGTCTTGCCGGACGGCACCGAGGATGCTTTACAGTTTTCCCCTTCGCCTCCCAATGCGGCGTCCCATCCGGCGATCAGCATGGCATTTGTGGCTGCATTGGCGGGAACGGTTGTTGCCAGCGCGTTTCTTTAGGTCCGGGGTGGATCTGTCATGACGGAATCAATGTCGTTGGAATTCTACCTCCGGAGTTTTAGAAAGATATAGTCGCGTGTAGAACGTGCCAGAGAATAGGTTGATGACTTTTCTTGGCATCGAAATGAATGAGGTCTCGAAGACATGACTGTCGAGTGACGCACTGTAGCTGTGATTCAATCGTGTTTCGTATGATGTATGTGAAGTTTGCATGGCTCTCTTCGTGATACGAGCTTGTTGGACACCGTCACTTGTCCAATGATTGGGACGCTGAAGTGCAATGGGACGTACGATGAGACCTACGAACGTGAAAAAGGCCCCTTGGCACGTCGAACGTGAGACGTCGTCGGAGGCAAAGACCCCGTAGCAATGCGATGCCGAAGTGAGCATGACCCGCGGGTAAGTCCTACCCGATACCTCACCAATACAGATAAGCACCGTTAAGCTTACGGACGCGTCGTGCATAAATCGCTTCTTTATAGGAGATCGTCCCGTCGGCCAAACGCAGACCGACGCTGTATCAACGATCATGGGTGATGCCCTGGAGATCGATGCGTGTCGGGAGAATATGCTTGCATGAAGCACTCACGGGTAGATCTCATAGATATGTATGTATAGAGACCAAATACCAAGTCATGCAGGGCAGCGATGCGGTCAGCGCTGATCACGGTCCTGATAAACCGTGCTCGTGTCCTTGGTGCTCGCGCGGTCTCACGAGCCAACAACATTTGCGTTGCCGGGCGGTGTTCGATTGAATGATTGTCCCGTCATTATACGTGAAAACGGCCATGACGCGTCGACAATCCAGTCGACAGCAACATGGACTCACTGCGCTGTCGTGAGGAGCTGCGATGGCGGCATCGGGGCCGTGGACATACATCTCTGCTTGAACCTGCCTTGGCTCGACTATGTGCGCTAAGGTGGCGCCGGATGCCCCCATCCTGTGCACGTAAATATAAAGATGCAGATACATGGAAGATGGAAAAGATCAGTGACTCCAAAATCTGCTCGCGAATCTTGTGTTGCGCCATTATATTCTGGAGACGACCACATCCATTTCATGACCAGAAAGGTTGGCGTAATCAGAACTCCCACGCGAGGACGTCGACCGCGTCTCTCTCCACCGTCGGGCGTGGCCGAGCCCAAACACCACCCGGTCTCAACGTCGTGAAATTATCATAGAATTCCTCAAAAGGTGTCGGAGGTCCAGTCCTCCGTATCGTCTCTCTGTTGATTGCTTCTCAGCGATATGTTAAACCTAAACTGTGGCGACGAAGGAAATGATACTTACCGAGGAGCCATTACGGGGCGGCCCAGCATTTCTCTCGACTCTTCTCGTTCTTTCTTGAAGTGTTTTCGACGGCGCTCCATGTTCATGTCTGAAGGGTGTCGTGGAGGGGAGATCTTGCGAGCGGTCGTTGATGGCTCTCTCCGCAGTCCTGGACTCGATGCGGGCTCTTGCTGCACATTCGAGATTTTCGAGGGTACGGTTTGCGGCTTGGGACTTGATCCTAGCTCTCTCTGTGACTTGGCGCTCGGCGATGGTCCAGTTCGTGGTTTGTGACTTGACGTTGGTTCCTCTGACAGCTTTGAACTTTCGACCGGCGCGCCCTGCAGCCTTGGACTCGGCGTTGGCACGTCACTCCGAGGGACAGGCCTCTTGGGACTCGAACTTGGTACATCGCTCTGGGGAACGGGCGTTTTCGGACTTGGGGTCAGTGCATTGCCCTGGTAAACAGGCCTCTTGGAACTCGGCGTCGGTAGATTGCTCTGAGATATAGGTCTCCTCGGACCTGGAGTTGGTACATTGGTCTGGGGGATAGGCCTGTTCGGACTCGGAGTCGGTACATTGCTCTGAGGAACAGGTCTCTTGGGGCTCGACGTCGGTGCACTGCTTTGGGGAACAAGTCCCTTGGGGTTCGGCGCTGGTATATTGTCCTGGGGGACAGGCTTCTTGGGGGACATGCGGACTGGTAGCGGTCGAGGAGCAGATATCTCAATATCGCTGCCCTGCGTACTACGTTCGATGCCTTTTGGAGGACTACTGAAGGGCGGCGGCACCTGCTGTTGAGCCTGTGGTGGCGACGAATATGACCAATCTGAGAAGGGGACTTCTTCATCCGATTCAGACGCATTGTCGCTCATTTCGTCCGAGGTCTTGGGCAATACTTTATCTTCAGCTTCTGCGGCCAGCGGAGTGGGTTCCTTGCTGACGATCGGTTGCCTTCTTGGTGGAGATCCGGACACATGAGATCTCGACCGCGCTGGCTGCGGGTCTGCAGCAGATCTTCGCATTTCGCCCCACTTCGATAGCAGCTCAATAGGCACGTTCGGTATTGGAAATCTTTGGCCCGGGAGGGAAGGAAACCAGGAGGAGGGGTTGTCCAGCAACTTCCTTTGGTTTGGTGCAATGCCTCGACGACTGTAGGCAAGTCCGTTCTCGAAAGAACATGTTGCTCGTTTGCGGGAGGATGGCGAAGGTATCGGAGTCTGCTCCTTCCGCTCTTCGACTATCTGCTCAGATTGAACTTGGTTTGGAACAGGAGGATCTGGCGACTGATACCTTGGATGTGTTGACTGAGACATTGGAACCTCAGCATGTGTTGGAAGTGCGTTCGGCGCCTTGCTAGTATCATCGAACGAAGGGGAGCTAGCGCTCGATATGATGACATGTTGCTGCTGAGTTTCGATGATATTGGACGCAGAATCATAGCTCGATGTGGCTGTCCGAGTCACTGTGACCAAGTTTTCCGAAGGGTTTGGCACATTCCTACCTCCCGATACGGAGTTACTTGAAGATCGTGAAGTAGTTCTTGGGCTCGTGCTGTGCAATAAGTCGCGATCTAGTCGGACTTTGTTCGGTCGGAGAGGAGACTCAGATATCCGATCCGTGTTTGTAATTTGTTGTTCAGGGTCCTTGGTCACGCCATCATGGCTTCGCTTTTTGTTCATCAATCCAAGCAATGCTTCCGGTCTTGTCATCCTAATAATTGATGGCTTCACTGTAAGGCTTTGAGGTGTGTCAAATTCTATCCTTGGCGCGACGGGTACGGCCAAATTTACACCCTCCTGTACCTCGAAGCCATCGCGTTCAAGTCTGGGATGCCGTTGCTTGGGAGTCAACTTTCGCCTCTCAGAAGATGGCCTTTCAGTCGAGAGGATATCCACCTGATTTTGTGTAGCGGCCATCGGGGACTTTGCCAACTCAGTCTGCAAGGACCTGGGTGTGACTGGTGGGTCTGGAGCTTCAAGTTTCACGGTAGGACTCTCATGGTGCAGATTATTAGATAGAAGCCCTTGTGAGATTGAGGATGAAGCTTGAGATGATTCATCATGACCCGACACCTCGCCGATCGCAAGCTCCTCCTTTCGGAGGTCAGCAATATCGTCAATCAGCAATTTTAAATGTCTGTCTTGATCCACAGCCACCGGTTGACCGCACAATTTGCGAAGGTGGTAGCAGTATTCAATAGCGAGAACATCAAGCCATACGAATCCTTCGGATGGACCGAAAGATGTGCTGACCACAATGAGCTCTTTTAGTTGGACGACATCTCCTTTAGTCTCCTGACTGAAGTCTTCGCCGGCATCGTGCTCCCACTGAGAGACGATATCTTTGGCAAGGCGCGCTCTGACCTTGGTCTGGCCGTCAGATATCCGCACCTCGGCGAAGTCTGGTTGTATCGACAGAACCTGTGAATAGTAAGCACACGTGTACGAGGCGACCACTTCCAATCGGGCTGGCTACCTCAACAATTTGAACAAGGTCTTTGCCATCCTCTAGCCCAGAGACATAACTTCTAAAGTTACTCCCGTCGTCGCTGAAAACCTGTCCTCCATTTTCTGCTTGGTTTTGCTGTGTAGTCGCATTACCATCGCCGTTCCGCTTCCAATCCAAAGTCTTGTCGATCTCGTGGCGGAGAAATGTTCTAAGCCAGGATCTCAGAGATGGTGGTGCCATTCAGAGCATTGTGGCGTGCGACGAACGCGCACACTGTAGTGTAGAACCGGGCCGTGTTCAATAATAATGTTGCCGATGTTTGTAGGGCATAATCGCGATACCTTGTGTACTTCTTGGCCAGGTTTTGGGGACTGATAATGAACACACGCCAGTGCTAATGCAAATGTGATGTTCTACACACGACGCGTATGGCAAGCAGTCAACCAATGTGACTGTTCCAGGCTTGTGATCGCGACCAAATTCCTGTCTTTGTGAGTATAGTCTGCACGCATCCTGTATGCAGCTTCCAAGGTTGTTGTGCAGCGCTGGCCTCGCATGGGTAATGGTGTGGGGTTCCATGCGCGCCTGCCGCCGCGACTTTTCATGTGAAGCCCGGGCGGGCGGGCCACGAATTTGGCGCGGTTCGATGGGCGACGATGTCATCCATCGCCGGCCGATCGCCGCGTGATGTACAGCACAAATACTTGTGAGCAGCCTTTTAACTTCGCCAACGAGCACTCTTGGAAGTTCGAAAGTACTTATTACACCACCTGTAACATAGCAGGAATGCAACCACCAGTCGACGTCCATCTCTAGCTGTACCTTGTTCGCGCTCAGCAATGCTCCAATAAGCTGTCATGTGCTCCACTCTGTCCTCGGGCACCGATGCATACACAAGCAAAGTCGCTACTGGAGTCATGAGAAACAATTGGTTTTGACAACCTGGGAGGGAATGCTTGCAGAAGCAAGCGAAGAGACATGGCACCACCAGAGCCCTATTCACCGTCTCCTTCGTCGAAGCTACTGCCATTCCTGCAAAGTCGACCAAGACGTGGCTCCATCGCATCGGTATCGTCTCGCAACGAGATCGACAAAGAAACTCTCGCGCAGGCTCTAGATGTCATACATACTTCCGCTTCCAAGGCCGGTGGCCTGACTTCTTTCCATGACTATGACAAAAGTAATGTGAGATCGGGGCCGAAAGAGGTAGTCACAAGTGGTGTTACTGGGCTGTACAACAAATTGAAACAGAGTGTTGGCTCTGGCCCTTCTACAACCAAAGAGCAGAAGGACTCCAAGACTGGACAAGATATCGAGAAAATCTCTCCGAGGAATCCTTCCAAGGTATCTTCAAGCACGAATGACGCCCATATGGGTATATCGCCTTCCACAGCGCGCCCATCAGGTGGAGCCACGGCCAGGAATCTACGTGAGTCGACATCAAACCTGCTCCCAAGCCCGGTATTGCCAGTGACACCCCTGAGTACCGGGAGCAATGGCATACCAGCGTCGCCTTCCATAGCGAAGTCGCAAACACAAAAGATAGATGGCAGACCTACTTTGGCGGTCGTGACCGATGACGTTCTCCCCGCTTCTAGAGAGACACGGTTGGATCCAAGCGCAAGTGTGAAACTGCAAGTGAAAGGCAAGAGTCAAGATGAGGCGAATAGATCTTCAAGCGGAAGGACTGAAGCAACCGGGAATGAGGCCGCATCTGCGGCGCTTGCTCGTGTACTGCATGCCCATGATCTATCAAGCACGGATGAACCCCCGCGAAGGGCCGTCAAAATCTCTTCGACAACTGAAGGGCAGATGCATGATTCAGATACCTCAGATGGATCTGTAGATGTAGAGCAGGAGACCCGACCAGGGGTACACGTGCGTGGGGCGCGAGATACAACCCAATTAGCGGCGGACACACACCCTTCCCTGCAAAGTGGACCATTGAAATCCCAAATCAATGCTGCGCGCTCTTCCAAGCGCGACGAGTCCACCACAGTTTCGCAAGCGGACGACGGTGATGCCGATTCGATATATAGTAGTCGAACAAACACGACCAGATCTGCCACAGCCCCCTCCGCGAACATCAACGGTGGCCTTCAGCGGCGAAGAACCGGATCGAAACACACTGGTCATAATCCTGGCGACCACCACCGGGGACTGTCGTCTCATCTCAAGCGTCGCGTGTTGTCAAAAGAATTCTGTAAGCTGCATCGAGATGTCATGCTAATCCATATATCGCCGTTAGAGCTGACTGTGTAAATCAGGGATGCAGGATGCAAACGCCAGAGCATGCTTCTCATGTGGGCATAGTTTCTCGACATTTCGTCGTAAGCATCATTGCCGGATGTGCGGACAGATTTTCGATAGTTACTGCACAAATCTGGTATCTGGTCGTCCTTTTGGCCAGGTGAACACTATTCGCCTTTGCAAACCTTGCGAAACTATGGCGTTCGCTAGCGATGACGACGATGATGATGACTCCACCGTTTACTCCGATGATGGCGAAGAGCAGGCCCGAAACGCGGGAACGCTGGTTTCCCCACGAAGAAGCAATCAGTCGAATCCGAATGCCGACGGTCCAGCTTTCAGCGGGATAGATTCAGAGGTCGCCACTCCTTCCATTGGCATTCCTGTATCGCGTAGAAATCGTGAGGCCAAACGTCGCTCGGCCGTGATAGAATTTGATACACACCCAACACTAGCACGCCCAAGTTCTGCTCATTCTTTGATATCCCTGAGTCGTCGGCCTAGATCTTCAAGTCATCGACGGCGACATTCTAGGCATATGGTCCCTAGCCGTGGCTTCCGGTCTAGCATCGACGAGCGTGTTCCGTTCCAACAAGGACTTCAAGATGCCAACACCCCTCTCCCGGCATTTCACAATGATAATGTCATCGACCCTGACCTTGCCGCTTTTCTTTCTGACGATGGCTCGGAAGATGACGAGACCCCGAGTATCATGGCTGCTGTGAGTGCAGGGGGATCAGCATCGCTCAATGAACGTGAAAGGCTCGGGTTCGGAGGTCTATTCACGTCAGGATCGAAGAAGGGTCGCTCAAGAGGAGAGACCACGGGGTCCAGCACGCGTGGTGTGAAGGAAGATGACGCCCCGGCACATCATGCCAAGAAGCTTTCCAGACATCGCCATCATAGTCGCAATAACTTATCAGCTACGCTCGAGATCGATCCTGTCGATTTGCGCCGCCCGCGTACGCCAGAGAGACCTGCGGGCTTCAACACAGCAAAAGTGGTCCGCAGCTCAGCCTTGCGTGGTGAGAATTCCCCATCTGTACAAATGAGCCCTGCCAGTCTCCGTCACGTCAAGAATCTGCTCGCACAACTCATTGATGATTCTGGAATCGCGTCGCCACGAGCGTGGGAAAAAGCCCTGCTTCCCATTCTCCTGCAGTGTACGCTTGATGTGGAGCCCGATGTACAACAAGGTGACGATATGGACATTCGTCACTATATCAAATTGAAGAAAGTCCCGGGTGGCAAGCCTGCTGATACCAGCTACGTCTCCGGCGTAGTCTTCAGCAAGAATATCGCCTTGAAGACAATGGCGCGATCCATCAGCCATCCTAGAATCTTGATCGTCACTTTTGCTATCGAATACGCGCGACATGAAACCCACTTCATGAGCTTAGATCCTGTCATAGCACAAGAGCAGGAGTATCTTCAGAATCTCGTCAATCGAATAGCAGCTTTACGTCCCAATGTTCTTCTCGTGCAGCGGCACGTGTCTGGAACGGCTTTGAAACTGCTCGAGCGAGCAGGCATCACTGTCGCATACAATATCAAGGAGTCTGTGCTGGCCGCAGTCGCGCGAGTCACACAAACGACCCTCGTTAAGTCCATCGACAAGCTTGGCATCAGTCACAACACCTTTCCTGAATGTGATAGTTTCGACGTCAAAACCTATGTTGCGGACGGCAATCGTCGAACATACATTTTCCTATCTGGGTGCCAGCCCGACCTTGGTTGCACAATTGTGTTGCGAGGTGCAGATACAGACTCGCTCCGGAAGATCAAGCGCGTGACGGAATTCATGTGCTATGTTGCGTACAACCTGAAACTGGAAGACTGGCTTATGCGCGATAGCAATATCGCAATTCCTCTGGATGCCGTATCGTGTCAGCTCACATGCCGCACACCCCACGGAGATCAAGGTCTTCATCCCGAATTTAACGAGAAAGAATCACAGGACGCAGAACCCGCTGCTGCACGAGAACGTCCAAAGGAGTCATCGGAGAAGAAGACGAATTTCACATACGAGCTGATCGAGAAAAGAAATAGGTCGAAGCTTCTCTCGGCGTCACCTTTTGTGACGTTTGCGCAGCCGTATCTTTTGGTCCAGTTGCGGGAGCTGGAGCAAAATCTTGCAAGGTATCGAGCACTGACAGAGCAGTACGCACCTCATGAAAGTGAAAAGGATGGCGCGACAGAGGAGGTTGATGATGCTTTCGAGCTCGTAAAACCGGAGACCGTCAACACACCGTCTTCTCACACTAAATCTAAAGCAATTCGCGAATACCTGCATGCCGTCCACCAGGCACGGCTCGAAAAGGCTGCGTACACCTTTCAGATTCAAGAACGACAGTGGGACTCTTTCATGAATAGTGATGGGATTGACCCTTATGATCCATTCTGGCACCAAAAGATTGTCGTGCTCTTCTCTCTGGTATCGAGCATCACATCTGCACCGTGCTCGGGGCCAGAAATTCTTGGGATCGTTTACTACGCTGGTTTCGGACGTGCACAAGATAATCAAGATGAAGACATGCCGCTTGGACAATATGTCGAAGACCTTTGCTTAGCTGCAAGCTCTACTTGCAAGGATTGCGATAAGAAGATGTACGATCATCACCGACAGTACGTGCATGGCTTCGGACAATTGACAGTCTCCATTCAACGGCAAGCGTCCAACAAATATGGTGGTAGCGACATTATTTGGATGTGGTCTGTTTGTCGCGTCTGCCGCCACGAGACATCACATACGCAGATGTCGTTACATACTTGGAAGTATTCCTTTGCGAAATACCTCGAGCTTAGCTTCTGGAGCAATCCACTGGGACCTCGCAACGGCTCCTGTTCACATGACATGCACAAAGACTACTTGCGATACTTCAGCTTCCGTGGTATGGTGGTGCGCTTCCGATACGACCCTATCGCTATTTACGATGTCGTTGCACCGAGAGCGCTAGTCACGTGGGCAGTAGAGACAGACTTGGTTATGAAGAATGAACAATATACGCAACTGGAACAGCGTCTGGTGTCTTTCACGGATTCGATCAGAAAGCGCTTAGACTCGATCAACATTGATACTCTGGATGAGAAAAAAGCAGCAGAAGCCCACAACTTACTCGACGAGCTTCGTGAGCGTGCAGAAAATGACCACGACGAACTTTTGCAGAAATTGCGACAACAATACTCCCAGTCACGATACTACGAGCTGGTCCCGTTGAATCGAGCCTTGCGTCTCATGGATGAAAAGGCAATTGGTTGGGATGAAGCTTTCAACAACTTCGAGCGAGACTACTTTCCTTCGGAGACTGATATCAGAAAACTTGCGACCATTCAGTTGCGCAACATGTTTCTCGAGTCTCAACCACAGCCGACACGAGCCAATAGTGAGAGCGATGCAGAAGAAGGCGCCGAAACGCCCATTGCAGAAAAGCCACGGGAACGATTGGCATCTTCAGCCTCGGGAGACGCTCTGACAGCAAAGACGGAAGAAGTGCTGTCTTCGGCTGTAGAAGAACAGAAAGCTGCGGAGAAAATTGCTGCTGACGGTTCTGAAGCTGGAGTGGTTCCAGAAGTACCTGTCGGTAGCGATCCCGCACGGACTACGTCTCCGCGCAGGGAGCTCGAGGAGGCTGTCGAGCGCGAAGATGTCAAACATCTAGACCTTGCAGTGCCTTACTGGAATAACGATGATGGCGGTACGTCGCCTCGATCCAATTCAATACATGATATGGTGATGGCAGGACGAACAGAATCATCAGCTGGACAACCAGCAGACGAGTCATTCGCAACGCAACCGAAACCGCTCAGCTCTGGGTTGCTAGAACGCATTGAGCAGATACGAAGCAGTCAGGCTGCTGGAGAGCTCGAAGCTCAGGAGTCTAAGATCCCGCGGTTAGCAGACCTTCGTAAGGCAGAAATCTCGAGGACTACTCCACAGGTGCCACCACTTCTCAGAGCCAAATCGCAGCCATCTCATGTGCCTCGCCTCAATGATGATTACAATCAGAACAATAATGCCGACGAGCCTGCAAAGAGCATCCAGGCTCCAGAATCTTCGTCACAGAACGAGAAGCGCCCGGGAGATCGGCTCCATCTTGGCCGCCTGGCCATGAAGGTCGGAAAAGTAGCACCTTCATTGATTCCACGATCAATTCCATTCAACAACGCGTCGCATGTATCTGCGCTGGCCAAGCATTTCGAACAAATGTCGCGCGAGTTCGAAAAGGAAAGATTGAGAGAGAAAAGACAAAGAGCACTGCGAAGTAGGCAAGCTCGAGCAAACCCACTTGCGAGCAGTCAGCCAGTCGTCGAAGTTTATCAAAATGCTACAGATGCAGTCGGAGAGAAGAGTAGCGCAAATGAGCCAGTTGTATCACGTGAGGATTTTGCAGAAAACTCGCACGTCCGTGAGCCGACAAACGAAAGCGCCCCAACCGAAGTACTTGATGATGCACGATCGTCTGCCGACCTGAGTATCGCAGATGAGTCTGTCACTTCGGAAGCGCCCACCAAGGTCAATTCGATTGAGACCGGTACTACAGACGAAGCGAGTGACAGCGAGCAGAGATCACATCATCGCAAGGGCTCGGATCCGTATTCCGGTCGCTCGCCTTCGACCATCCGATCACCGCCCTCAGCAGCAGATACGACGGAGAGCATAGCTGAGTCGGGTTCTGAGCTGACGATCCCCGACCACAAGAAACACGCTTGGCTGAAGTACCTAGCCGAGTTTTGGTCCAAGCGGACGGCATCGGGTTGGGCGAATTTGGAATACCCGTTGCACGGTAACGAACATGTGTTTGAAGATTCTGACATCATCGTCCGCGAAGATGAACCTTCATCCGTGATTGCCCTTGCTTTGGCATGCCCGGATTATCGGAACAAGCTTGCTGAATCACGAACGCAACCCAAGAAACAGCCACGAAATGCTTTCCGAGCTCCGGCGACAGAGCTGAATGAGCCCGACGGTGAAGGCGACAAAGCTGGTATCGAGGCTTCGCTGCTGAGCGAATCGGGAACCCATCTCAAGTATTCGTTCTCGCACGGCACGTTTAAATCCTCTTGTAAGATTTTCTACGCAGAGTCATTCGATGCGCTCCGACGCAAGTGTGGTGTCTCGGAACGTTTCATTGAGTCTATGTCACGTTGCCTCAAATTCGACTCCAAGGGCGGCAAATCCAAGTCTCTTTTCCTACGGACCCTCGACGGGCGCTTTGTGATCAAAAGCTTGCAAGAAGTCGAACTGAAGGCGTTCCTCAAGTTCGCGCCCGATTACTTTGCATTTATGAGCTACACGCTCTTCCACGGCGTCCCCAGCGTGATCGCCAAAATGTTCGGCCTCTTCCAGGTGAACATTCGTAATCCCGCTACCGGAATCGAATTCTCCTACAATCTCCTCATCATGGAGAATCTCTTCTACGAACGCAACCCCAATCGCCGCTTCGACCTCAAGGGCAGCATGCGCAATCGCAAAATCGAGAGCACCGGCGAAGCCGACGAAGTGCTCCTCGACGAAAACTTGGTTGAAACCATCTTCGAGTCCCCGCTTTTTGTCCGCGAGAATTCGCGAAAATACCTCCAAGCCAGCGTCTTCAACGACACGCTCTGGTTGTGCAAACAGAACGTCATGGACTACAGCTTGATGGCCGGGTTCGATGACGGCGCGAAAGAGCTGGTCGTGGGCATCATCGATTGCATCCGCACGTACACGTGGGACAAGAAACTTGAGAGTTGGATCAAGGACCGTGGGAAGAACAAGCCGACCATCACGAGTCCTAAGGATTACCGGAATCGCTTCCGCGTCAGTATGATGCAGTATGTCTTGCAGGCGCCGACGTGTTGGCATCAGTTCCAGGTGAACATGGCCCCGCCGAAGACGTTGAAGGAGAGGGAGGAGAAGGTGCAGCAGGATGAGAATGAGGATACGGAGGTCGATCGGGGGTCTTAGATTGTCGATTTTTGCTGGGTAAAGCGCACTGTTGTTGCTGATGATGGAGTGTCTCGCAAGCTTTACGGATTATGATTCTCACGGTCGAAGGGGTTCTGACAAGGCAGGTTGCGTTTTTGATTTATTATGTATTCCTTTTTAATGGCGGTGTTGGACAACGTCCACTCTGCAAAACCAATTCCATTCCTTAATATGACATTACAAATCCTTCTCGTCGTCCATCTCAGCGACACTTGTTCGATCATGTCCCCGTCACGCCGCGTAGGATGGTTTACCAAATCCCCGGAATCATCCTCGCCGCACTCCCGATTTTCTCTGCTCCAAAACGTTTCCGGTACCATTCCCGCGTGCCATCCGCGGTCACACCCAAATTCACTGCGGTAAAAATGAACGCGCAGAAAATTGTGCCGTTCAGCCAAGAGCCACTCGGTGCCGTGAGAATGGATAAGGAGAGATAGATGATGCACTCCGCGAAGTAGTGCGGGGTGAGACTCAGGCCGAAGGCAACGTGGACAGGGAGACTGTATTGTGATTTGGAGGACGGAGAAGATGAAGAGGTCGAGGAGGATTTCTTGAGTGAAGCGAGGTAGGTATGAACGTCGTGTTGGAGCCCTGAGGCGAGCATGAACATGGGCAAGGCGATGAAGGTGCGTAGGCTGGGTGCCGACGGGATGAGGTCTCGGAAGGTCCCATCGATAGCTAAGAGCGTCACTGTTGAGCATGCGAAGGATCAGTGACATGCACGCAAATAACACGGAAACCCGAGAACCGGGCGGTATATAGCCAGTGCTGGACTCACCAGCACCCTCGACCCAGATCGCGACCCCAGTGGCGACATAGAAGCCGATGCCGATCACCCAATGCCCGATCCACATCCTCGACGTGCTCGAGGACGGCAGGGTCAAGGATTCGTAGAGTCGTCGACTACCTTGAATGAGCATCAGGAGCCAGGCCAATTTCGTCTGAGACAGGCTCATCTGTGAGCGTTGGTGGGCGATGCGGTTTTCCACGATTAGTCCATAAAAATCTCCCACTCGAAAGACTTCGACAAGCCAGAAGAGCGAACTCAGGACTGATACGACATAGAACGATGTGAACCAGCTATGCGGCACCTGAATCTTTGCGGCGACATCGAGAGCCTTGACAAAGAGTGATACGAGCGAGAGTTCCTTGTTTGCCTCGTGGGATTTTTTAGATGCTTGGTCTGAAGCCGCACCCTCGGCTGGCTCTCCTGAGGACGCGCGAGCTCCATATTCTAGAAAGCGCCGTCGAAATACTGGGATGGCCCATACTATCAAAATCTACCGAATCTCGAGTATCAGCGATTGTTTCGGGTTGATCTTGCAAGAAGATCTTCAAGGGTGTTCTCGCATGTTGTTGGGATCCACAACAATGAAGACTCTCACCAGTGCTGATGCTGACAGATATCCCGCTTGCAAGAGGAAAACAATTGAGATTGGTTTTGGAGGCGGAACAGACATTCTGTCGTTCCTAGATGCTATCGGGACTTGTTATTACAGGGAGGGATCTTTTTTGTCTGATCGATGCCAGCAGGATATACATTTGGGTCGCTACATCCATGGATGATCAAAAGCTTAGGGTTGTGCAATGCGTGAATGCAGGTGTGTCCTTCGCGTGTACGTACAGTGCAGACGCCGCCCGGGCGAATGAGGTACTGTGCATACTGCAACCAATTCCAGCGCGGCTCAGCAAATTCCGGGGGTGTTCCGTAGCCACAGGGTCATCAATTCCAGCGGGGAAAAAGCACGATGACGCTCTAAATCGCTGCGCCGCGTCTTTTCTACCAATGACGACCGACCACATCTCTCGCCGACTCGGTGTGCACGCCGATGAACTCTACACAGCTCACAAGCTTTTCCCAATGCTGCGTTGTGCTGCGCGCGCGACCTACGATGAATCATTGTGACTGATACGGATGGTGGGGTTCACATGAGCTCTGCTGTTGCTATCGCCTTCCTTCAGACAGGATGACATCTCTCTTGCAATCGACCTTCGTCGCCAGGCGATACCTCTTCCGCACATCCCAAGCTGTTCTTCAATCACAGACTTCGAGCTCAAGAGCCGGATTCCACACGACGATAAAGAGAATGTCTGATCTCAGTGTTGAGCTGACGGCGCCGAATGGTCGGAAATACACTCAACCCACTGGCCTCTTCATCAACAATGAGTGGGTTGCAGGAAGCAAGGGCGAAAAGATCACCACCATCAACCCTACTGATGAATCTGAAATCACCTCAGTGCATGCTGCCGAGCCTGAAGACGTCGACAAGGCGGTTGCCGCAGCCCGAGCGGCATTGAAGGGTCCATGGAGGAGCTTATCACCTTCGGTGCGCGGCGACATGCTGATGAAGCTATACGAATTGATCGAACGCGATAAGGAATTGCTAGCGACGATCGAGACTTGGGACAATGGTATGTTGAGGACATGGACATCGTTCGATGCGTGATCGTTTGTGACAAGAATCAGCAGGTTGACATCTTCCACAGGAAAGCCTTACTTGGCGGCACTTCACCAAGATGTTGCTGGCACGTCAGCGTGCATCAAATACTACGCCGGCTGGGCCGATAAGGTCCACGGGCAAGTCATCGACACATCTCGTGATAAGTTAGCATACACTCTTCGCGAACCGGTCGGAGTATGTGGGCAGATCATTCCGTGGAATTATCCATTGGGAATGGCAGCGTGGAAACTTGGTCCGGCTCTGGCCTGTGGAAACACAGTCGTCATGAAAGCGGCCGAGCAGACTCCCCTATCAATCCTTGTCCTGGCAAACTTGATCAAGGAGGCCGGGTTTCCTCCTGGTGTTGTCAACATTCTCAACGGTCACGGTCGCGTTGCTGGAGCAGCTATTGCGCAACACACGGACATCGACAAGATTGCGTTCACCGGCTCTACGGCTACTGGTCGTGAGATCATGAAGATGGCGGCGGTCAACCTGAAAAACATCACACTCGAAACAGGCGGTAAATCTCCCCTGCTGGTGTTCGACGACGCCGATCTTGACCAAGCCGTCAAATGGGCTCACATCGGAATCATGTCCAATATGGGCCAGATCTGCACCGCCACCAGCCGAGTTCTCGTGCAGAGTAAAATCTACGATTCCTTCGTCGCCGCCTTCACCAAGCACATCACCGCCACCAGCACGGTCGGCGACCCCTTTGCCAACGAGACTTTCCAAGGTCCGCAGGTCACCCGCGCCCAATACGAGCGCGTGCTCTCCTACATCGACGCCGGGCGCAGCGACGGCGCGACCCTGGCCCTCGGCGGCCAAGCGGAGAAGAACGTCGCCGGCGGGCGCGGCTTCTTCATCGAGCCGACCGTTTTCACCGATGTTACGCCGTCGATGCGGATTTTCCGCGAAGAAATCTTCGGACCCTTCGTCGTCCTCGTACGGTTCGACACGGAAGAAGAAGCATTGGCCCTCGCGAACGACACCACCTACGGTCTGGGCGCGGCGGTCTTCACCAAGGATCTCGTCCGCGCGCATCGACTTGCACGGGATATCGAGGCTGGGATGGTCTGGATCAATTCGAGCCAGGATAGCGACCATCGCATTCCCTTCGGCGGCGTGAAGCAGTCTGGTATCGGACGGGAGTTGGGCGAGGCCGGATTGGCGGCGTATACGAATGTCAAGGCGGTGCATGTGAATCTTGGGTTGACCTTGTAAGCAGAAGGTTCCCTTCCGCCACGATGGGATATGGGAGGAGGGCAGGGGTAGCATCTAGCATCTAGCATAGCATGGCATATAATTCGAGTATGAGGGAGACGGGAGACAAGGTGCTTTGCATACTGTAAGCACTGCCATTCGCATGGAATCCCAATCATGATTATAATGTCTGCCACAACAGACATGAAATGAAAACGTGATGAGCAAAAAATGAAATACCATCAATACAGAAAATAATGCACAGATCCTGGTTGGTTCTCGTCGTTCTCTTTTACCCTTCCGTGCCAGAGTAGATATTACACCCGCACGTCCCTATGATTGAAACAGTAAACTCGAAATCGATCAAACTGCCCGTTCACGCAATTCAACAAACAAACAAGCGCGCGCATCTGTCTCATGAAACGAGGACGGAACCCGCTCGTCACCGACATGCAGCAAACCAACCGAACCGAACCCAGCGCCAGAACGGAAAAATTCCTCCCAAGAAATGAGTCGTTCCCGCGGTACGGCGAGAAAACGATCAAAGACGTTTCGTGTTCCCAACGATGCATGAAAATCATCAAACCAAAGAACTGCCAGATCACGGAATTTGGGCTTCGGCGGATTCCCGCCACCACCAGAAAAACGGTTCGTCTGTCCCTTTGTTTCTGCACACACCCATAGGAGTCGCGGGAATGAGCGTTTCATGTCATCCACCGCCCCGTCATCCAAAGCCTCATGATGACCGACCCGTCGGAAAGAAAGGTTCGACGCTCCGGTGTAGGTCACTGAATGGAGATGGAGGATGAAAGACCATGCCATGACTTTTTCTTTTGGTCACCGGAGCCCACTCCTCACTCCGGGGAGGCTTGATGGAAGGGATCTCGGCGCACGGTATGGTATACATCTAGATACATAGTATATCCTCGTGAATCCCATCTCGAGCAGGGAAAGGCGGAAAAAGAATGAATCCCGATACAATAGTGATAAGTGAGGTTTGTAGGGTTGCCGTGTTGCCTCGTATTATGTCTCTGTCCCATGTACACCGCAGCCACTAAGGGTTATCATCAACCATGTTGTTATCATGCTCCGGCGGGGATGTTCTAGGAATCAGGAGTCCTCAACGAAAGAGTCGAGATTTGGCCGCGACCCATATCATTGGAACTAGGACCTACGCATCTCCATTGTGATCCGGAGTCGAGCATGTCTGCTTGGGCGTCCCTCTCACGTGTCTTTGTCTATGTGCGCGGTGATTTAAGAGATCGTCACGAGGGTTGATGCATAGAAGAGTGAGCGTGCGAGGAAAAGCATACATCCCTGGTAGACGCCCCCACCGGTGGTCACGTTTTGTTGGTCGGGTCCAGGGTTAATGCGTTCTCGTTCTCACCACTTTGGGACGGGTGCTGTTCGGAAGTTTCAAATTGTACGATGATCAGGGCAGGGCATGCGGGCGGCGCGTGTTTCGAGATTGGATGGGAAATTCTCGGTTACAGGAGTGATTTCCAGTGGTATATGCCCCGTCTCGTCTCTCCTGCCTACATCAATCATAGTAATAAGATGCTCCAGGGCTGATCATAATATGTACAATAATAAGACAACGACGAGTGTACTGGACCGTCGTACCGGCCTGATGAGCCTGTCCTGTCCTTTCTTGCCCTATCCTCGTGTGCTCGTGTTCCATTCGCCGCTTGTGTTTGTGGCATCTCCGGGTCGAGGAGGTCCCATCACGATGCCCTGGAGGTGGCGTGGCGCGCGCGCGCGTGCGGAAATGAGCTTAACATGCTGCAGGTGCTTTGGCACATTCCGGATCGGGTATCGCTATCCATTCACGCATTGTGCTGTGTTCCACTCATGCGCCCCATTTGACAATGCAGAGCGACATCGTCATCTTCTCCCAGTGATTCCACCGAGCACGATAAGAACGCCCGATAGGAAAAGCTGGTGATGACGATGATGATGGTGTTTGTTCGTTTTAGGTTTTCATGTCGGAGCGCAGGCTGGACCAAACGTTGGAAAGACGATGGGGGGACCAAAACCGTCGGGTCCATTCCCGTCGTAAGAAAAGAGCGTGCTCTGCTAATCAAACGGCGCAGATGGACGGTGCGAGCAGGAATCGGACAACGAACGATGACATGTGCCGACCGAGCGGTTTCCTCTCAACCATCAAACCGTGATCATCATCATCACCGCCAGACTGTTTAACCCATCGACCATGACGATAGCGGGAAACGTTTCATGACGGCCCTCCCAGCGATGATGGATGATCGTGATCTCCAACATGAAACGGCGTTGTTGTTGGGCAAGGTTTGCGGGAGACGCGTCGCCTGTGATCATCACAATATAACGAAACAATGCTACATAGGTTCTCTCATGGCAGATCTTGTTCCAGGCCGGGCGAGGCACATGTGGCGGCCTCCAGTACGATTTATTACAGTATTATTACCTACCATCCAGTCCTCCTTCGCGTAGGGATCGCGCCGCTCGGAAATCCAGCGCCTGAGACCCCCCATCATCAGCTGTTAAATTCGCCGAGGATATCTCTGCTCCATTTGCTGGCCAGATGTGTATATTTGGAAATCGAGTGATGGGAGGATTATTCCCTGATTACCGCCGAGAGATGAGTGAGCGACGGAGGACGTGGAGTCGAGTGTTGTGTGTGGTGGAAGAATAAATCCATGGTGGATGTCACAGGTGCAGGCAGCGGTAAAGAGAACCATCCAATTCCCCTGGCATCGGGCGAGGGTCAACGGGGATAGGCCCACGCCAACAGGAGCTAAGAAGGGCGCAATTTCCCCCGTGGCCCTTCTCCTCCTCTCGACCCGTCAATGCGCACGCGACGAGCCTCTGCCCCGACGTCAGCTCCTCCCTATTTCCCAGTCTTGTCACATCACATCACCCATTCTTTCACGGGATGTACTAGATATGCGCATATCATCTCCGTAATGGATGATGCATCCCGCAACCGTTTTCAGCTTCACTGTTCATGTCCAGGTCATGATCCCCTCGACGACGGCGGACGGTGCAATCCCATCGATTCGCGCGCATGCGATCACGCCTGTCCGCCCGGTGCACGCGTATCGTCCATACAGTTACAGACCATATCGTCGGAATGGTGAAATGAAATGGGTGGTGGTCATGGGCGACGGCGAAGATGATGATGGCGGTAAATCAATCTCACACACGCACTCATCACTCTCACTCGCACACGGACACACACGCCCACACACACGCGCATCCTGGCCTGTCACTCCCTCTCCTCTCGTCGCCCTCCTATTCGGACATTCGACCATCTCCACGACGGTTACAACTCGCAAAGGACCTAGTGCTGGAGCGTAGTGTCTCCCTCCGCCTTGCCGACCGGTAAACTCAATCCTCGCCTTGTACACGTCGAATATAAGCTCTCTCCTTCCTCTCCCTCGTCGTTCTTCTTTCTTCCTTCTCGCATCACGTTTACCACGACACAACCTTCGCTACACGCAAACAACTAATTGACTTCGGTCGTCCTCTCATTAACAACTAATCAACCACAACTGACCCGTCGGTCTTCAAATCTCTCACCACTTTTCGACTTTTCTCCAAGTTTCAAAAACTCTCCCAAAAACCAACCATCAAAATGCGTTCCTTCGCCATCGCCACCCTCATCTCGGCCGTCGCTGCCAACACCTACACCGCCTACTCGACCAAGATCGAGAGCGTCATCTCCTGCGCTGCGGACGTCACCGACTGCCCCGGCAGCTCCACCGTCTACCACGCCACTCCCACCGAGACCTCCACCACCTGCACCACCACCGATGAGGCTCACCCCACCGTCCCGGCCACCTGGACCCACCCGGCCGTGACCACCTCCGCCCCGGTCTACACCACCACCTCCACCGCCGACGCCCACAAGCCCTCCACCGTCGACTCCACCACCTGCACCGAGGAGGAGACCAAGACCTGGGAGACCTACACCAAGCCTTCCAAGCCCACCCACTACGTCACCGGCGCCGTCGCTCCCCACCCATCGGCCTCTGCTTCCGGCCCTGGTACGTTTTCTCTCCTATCATCGCAGACATGATCTGTTTCCCATCCCATTTAAAATCATCTCGCTAACGATTCTTCCCTCACAGGCAAGGTCTCCTCCGCCTCCGGCTACGCCAAGCCCACCGGCACTGGCGCCGTCTACCCCACCGCTCCCGCCTACACCCCCTCGGCTGCCAAGGGCGATGCTTCCGCCATCCGCGCCGCTGGTGCCCTCGCCGGCGCTGGTGCCCTCCTCGCTTTCCTCTTGTAAGCGGAGTAAATTCGTTGATCTTCTCCTGATGACGAACCTGTCTCTGTTTTTATGATTGGATTTTACATTTTCGTAACCTCTTCCTTATGGGCTGCTTTGATGGCGCTGGTTTTAATAACCGCTGTTCTTGTGTGTTCTCCTCCTGTGGCGAGGGAACCATAATGCTCGATTATTTCTTCGTATAGAGAGTTCTCTTGATCTTTTGAAAATTTCAAACTAAAAGTCAAAATGCCGAGATCCCACCTCGCATTCGCTCCATGTCTATCATCGCGTGCCTAGTACTTGATTGTCCATGTGATAGAATCTCGCCTTTCCCCAGACTGTGCCCTGGGTAGTACTCATCCCTCACGTCGAACTCGATCGCCGTTTCGTCTCACCCTTCCCGTCTTTCTGTGTAAATCCCCGACCCTTTCCGTCTTGACGGGGAATCAAACCTCACAGTACAGCACCTGAGCTCGAACGATCTGAGAAGCTTCGTCTTCGAACGAACGCCAACGCTGTCACAGGTTGTTCTTGTCGTGCGTGGTGCACACGATAACATTCAGAGCAAAATTCAATCACCAAAAGACCTCGGAAGAAGTCCATACCAGGGTTTCCCCATCGAAGCGGATACCTGCATCGCTACTCGAACTTGCTCATTGCATTCCTGCAAAAATAGCAGGAAACAATGATTCCCTACTTGGAGCTCGCCAGGGCGGTGGCGGTGGAAAAAATTCCATGAACGACCCAGAAACTCCATTATGTTTGAGAAACAAGATCGATGAATCCAGCTCTTAATGTCGGCGCGCGCTGATGCGGTGGTATTGGCGTCGGAAAGTTGGCCGGGAACGCTCGCTCCCTTCGCACCCGGACACCGAAAGTTTCGTCTTGGCCAGTCAGATGATCCGGAGACTCATCACTCGTGCTTGACATGGCACTCCCGAAGCCGCGCAAACCCAACCCGGGCCCGCATCTCTGTAAAGTAGCGGACTGTCCTGGTTTTCGGAATAGACCTGGAACGTGCAGACGCCTTGTTCATGCACGACGCACATCAGGGCTGGGGAGGCCGCCCCTCCACATGTAGCAAATGTCCTTCACGGCAGGGGTAGACCTCAGCTTGATTCGCTGGTCGTTCCAACGCTTTTCGAGGTACTGCGCCGTCAGCTAACCTCCCATTCTATGTATCTCACGATCTTTTCCTCATTCTGCGCTCGTCCGCCGATTCCAGCCTCGCTCGAAAATGGGCACGAAAATGTTCGATAGCAAAGCCTATACGGTGGGATGGGTCAGCGCTATCCGCCCAGAATTCACTGCCGCCCGTCAATTCCTTGACGAGGAATACGAATGTCCAGCGCAGGACAAGACAGACAATAACGTCTACACGGTTGGACGGATCGGAAAACACAAAGTCGTGCTCGCGACCCTGCCCGCCCAAGAGTATGGAACCGCTTCCGCTGCGACTGTCGTGAGGGATATGGTCCGTAGCTTTCCAAACATCCGCATCGGCCTGATGGTTGGCATAGCCGGTGGAGCGCCCACCCGGAAATCCGACATCCGCCTTGGTGATGTCGTGATCGGCTCTCCAGACAGTTCCTGTGGGACACGACATGGTGGCGTGTTCCAGTACGATTTCGGCAAGACGATTCAAAACCGCGAATTCACGCCTACTGGCTTTCTCAACCAGCCGCCCACACTTCTGCGCTCTGCTGTTGCTGTTTTGAGAAGTCACATAGAGGAGAGCGGTCTCCCTATCAAGGCGACCATCAATGAGATCATCGAACGCAAACCTCGTTTGAAGAAGCATTACAGCCGTCCAGCAGACGAGACCGACATACTCTACACGAGCAGCTTCCTGCACCAGCTGGATGATCAGTGCTGTCAATCAGGCTTCCAGATCGAAAGCCACACTGTCAGGCGTCGGGAGAGGACTGAGGATGAAGACGACCCGGCATTTCATTATGGCACCATCGCTTCGGCCAACCAGTTGATGAAAGACGCGGTGATCCGCGACAGACTGGCAGAGCGGGAAGGCGTGCTTTGTTTTGAGATGGAGTCGGCAGGCCTCATGAATCATTTCCCATGTCTCGTCATTCGAGGCATCTGTGACTACTCGGACACCCACAAGAACAAAGCCTGGCAAGGTTTCGCGGCCATGGCCGCAGCAGCGTACGCTAAAGCCCTGCTTTCGCGCATTGCTGCGGACAAGGTCGAGCTGGAGACGAAAGTAGCTGAAAGCTTATCCAGCAGTAAGTAAATTCATCTTGGTCCGAGCCGTGGCGATTCTTCGTAGACTTATGACATGTAGTCCAGGAAGATGTGAGCAACATTAAGTCGGGCTTTGAAAAGACCCAAGAGTTAGAAACGCTTCGGATGGAACAAAAGGCTGCGAAGAAGGTCCAGGAGTGGTACTGCCAAGTTGATGCACAGGATCATCACGATGATATTCGCTCTCGACAGCCATTGGATGAAGCTACAGCAGAGTGGCTGTTCAATGGTCATGAAGTAGCATCACGCACGTTTTGCGAATGGAGGGATAAGAGTGATGCCGCATGTTTTCTCTGGGCAACTGGTGATCCCGCGGTAGGCAAAACTACCGTGGCGTCGCAAGTGATACAGCACTTGAGACATCGCGCCACGTCCACCAATTCCACTCCAGTCTGTAGGGTCGGCGTTGCGTGGACCTACATCAGCATGGCGAAGAGCTCCGAGCCTCAGAAGGCCAGGCTTGTCACATGGGTATTGCGCTCCCTCATTCGAACCGTGCTGAGCCAAACTCCCACCATGCCAGCCCCGGCCATGGATCTTGTGACCAAGTTCAAGAGGGAAGGTCGATCACCTGGCAACGCAGAATTGCTTTCCTGCCTCAAATCGATCTGTCAGGTCGCCTATGACGACGTCTACTTCATAATAGACGGCCTCGATGAGGCAAGCCATGACGCATGCCACGAGCTAATCGGCCATCTAAAGGAGCTCCCACCCAACGCACGATGTATGCTAACCTCGCGCTACAATCAGGCCATTCAGACTGCACTCCCATTGCATTCGCGAATCCACATCCGTGCGAATCGCAGAGACGCTGAACTTTATTTCGCCCAAGAACTGCAGAGGAACACACTTTTCGCTGGCGCACTCCGCGAGCTCGAACGCTCGAAGCCTGGAGCAGCACTTCGCGCCCAGGAAGCCATAGTGGATAAAACCGATGAATCGTCAGTACAAATATGCACAAAATCACCACGCTCCAATGCTGAACGTTCTCCAGATTCCTGACAGCGAAACTGTGCCTCGATGAATTGCTGAAGAGTTCAACGCCCCAGGAAGTTGAAGATGCCTTGGATGATCTTCCAAAGTCGGATGAACTTTACCAGACCATTTTCCGGCGCCTCAGGGACAAATGGGAGCTTCCCGGTAACCGCCAATGGGCGAAAAGAATCCTGACATTGGTCTGCTTCAGCGAGATCAAATTTGCACCAAGACACCTGCTGTACATGGTCGGATTGGATTTGAACGACCCCAGAGTGGACCATACCAATTTACTGGACCCGTCGCTGATCACGTCTCTATGCGATGGGCTCGTGACGATCCATGTCAAGACTGAGCTGGTGGATCTCGTTCACATACAGGCCAAGAAATTTTTCATCGAAAAGCAGGAGGACTATTTCCCGGATGCCCACCATGACATTGCTGAGCGGTATACAGCGCATGTGATGGCTATGTCATCGATCGGCTTCATCGAAAATCACGACCTCGGTGACATGTCTAAGCTTGCGGTCAAAAACTTGGGGCCCCAAGTGCGACAGCATCTTGTACAAAATTTGCCAGGACGCTTCAAAAACCAGAGAAGGATGACAAGCCAGAGCATCACGGCCACAAACGCCGCCGCTTTGACCAGTGACCCGGAATTGCGCCTTTCAGACGAGCGCAATGAAGCTCTTTTCCACAAGATAGCTGTGATGATAGATGATCCGGATTGCGCAGCCATCATATGTCAGGTCTTCTGCGAGATCAGTACATGGCGTCCCCACCAAGGGACTAATCCGAGTGAACCCAACAATGCGTTACCCACGTGGAAGCTGCTGGGCTGGACCAGACTGCACATCGCGGCGGCTATGGGCTTGGTAGATGTCACCCGACGTTTCCTCGACGACACGACTCTTCTCAACACGGTCGATTTTCTCGGCAAGACTGCGGTGGCAGTTGCGGTGGACCGGCAACATCCGGACGTGGCCGAGGTCCTTGTGCATGCGGGTGCCAAAGTCGATATTTTCAGTGCGACCGGACAGACGATATTGCTCACGGCCGTAGGTAAAGGTAACGTGGAGTTCGCACGTCGTACTCTGATGTCCAGCGAATCGACAGCGCCGTGGACCAGACTCCTGACAGGGGTTCGGAAAGAAGACAAAGACTTACGCCTCCTCCTCGCCACGCTGGACGGTGAAGCGACCAAAGTCGGGAGGATTTGTACAGGGTCAAGCGTGGTGAAGAGCAGCGCAGCAGCCACTGCGCTGCTTCTAGCTGCAGATTGTGGCCATCTCGACATTCTGAAAATTTTGCTTGCTGCTGCAGTACCAGTCGACAGTCGAGATGGGGAGGGACGGACAGCACTGCATCGAGCGGCTCGCCGGAACGACCACGCGATGGTCGAAACGCTGTTAGATCATTCTGCTGATGTCGATGCGAAAAGTATGTTTGGGCAGACGGCTTGGACCGAAATTGTCGCATTTCCTGAACACGAAGATATGGTAAAGCTGCTCGTCGGTCGTGCAACGAACATCAATGTTGCGCATCAAGACGGAGTCTCGTCCCTTTACATTTCGGCAGCCGGGGGCCACATCGCTCTCGTCAGCAGACTGCTTTCTGTCGGAGCTGATCCTTCCATCCGGACTGTTTACGGCTGGACGCCATTGGTATGTCGCAAAGAATATACATTTATGAGCGAACGTTCTCATGTAAGAACGGAATACTGACATCTCACAGCACTGGGGAGCGAACGCAGGACATTTCGACGTCGCCGAGAAGCTTCTGGACTTTGGAGCCGACGTCAATGCCATCTCCGATACAGGACAGACGCCACTAGAGCTGGTCGTGCACAGTGGCAGCCACCACGAGCACATGCGGGTAAGTCTGTTGCAAAACGCTCGAATCAGGACGACCGCGGCCTACGTTCAAGGCGATGTGCGTCCTCGTCACCCCGACTGCATCTGTACAGCCTGCCAGCGAAACATTCCCGACCGGGAACTCGCCTTTGCTTGCCACGCGTGCCCGCCCGCGCCGCACACATTGTGCTCCCCTTGTTTGCTCGGCAGTGGATGGTGCTCCGATCGAGGCCATGCCATGCAATCGGCGTGGGCGGGACCGGATGGAGATCCTGAGACTATCCATGTGGACTTCCAATCCTGGGAGGCGATCAAGGACTGCAGCGTGGCTGCTCTACTCCGGAAACACGGAGCACTGACTACCCTAGAGGCCATCGGGTGCTTTGAACGCTCCATCGAGCGGCCCCTGTCAATGAGTGACTGGCAATTCATGGCCTCTTATGGTCGCATACGTTCCATGAAGGATAAGTTGGACGAGCGCCTGCTCCCATATCTCTCTTCTTACGAAAGTCCCCACGAATCTGAACATGAGAATGACAACGAGCATGCTTCTGAGAGTGATGGAGACGGCAATTCAGATGAATCCCATAACGAGGTCGTACCACTTGATCCGGTCGCTTCCAGGGACGAGCCCGCCGATCCAAGCGCAACAGGTCCCTAGTACGCTTCCAGGATGACACCTGCGGAGCGGACGGTAGCCATCGTTCGATTTGGAATGTAATCCCCTTTGGTCAAGCACGTAAGAACCAAGATCGCGGCGTCACCAGCAGGAGCATATCCACGGCACCTCGAAAGCGCCTCATCTCGTAGCCTGCCTAACGTGCAGCAGGAGGAGCGATATTTCGCGAATAGGAATCCGGTGGTAAAGCAAGTCCTCGTTGTGCCGTCCCCTCGATACAGAAACACGAAGTCGCCATACGAGATCCCCATTTGTATCCATCGACGACTCCAGCCCGGATTTAAGATTCTCAGCCAAGGGAAGCTCTACATCCCGGCAGCCTCATGTAGAACGTCATCGCAGGATTCTGGCTGTCCCAGCTGCCGTTATAAACATGACTATTTATATTCACATCATGCTGCACCGCCGATTTTGAAGAGGCCGCCGACTAGCCGGGGGCCACGTGTGCTGCGGCCCACCTATAAGGTCACTACCTTACGTTCTAAAGGGATAGATTGCTCAGACCCAGCCCTGGAGGCACGTATATGTGTGCCATGATGCTTTGGGCTTAGGCTTGTTTTGTGTACTCTCCTTGGTAACGGGGGAATCATAATGGTCGATTACTGTCTCACATAGAGAATCTTTAGATGCTTTTGAAATTTGAAAGTAAATTCAATTCTGTCCTTGTTGTTCATATTCGTCCGGGTAGGCGTGAGGCTACTCGCTCGCGTCCCATAGGAAATAGAATGCTCAAACCCAGGTACGTGTATGTGTAGGAGAGAAGTCATCTCCTTTGAGCTGCTGTCCAACACACGATTTTAGTATTAGGGTGGTCGGTTAGATCCGACGGCATGTCGGAAAGGGGCGCCCAAGCTTCACGACGTCTCATGATGAGTCATTCAATAGTTCACGCAACGGTTTCGGCTAAACCAACGGTTGATCTACGGGGGAACAGTGTATTGAGGGCCGTGGTGTCCAATAAATACTGCAGGTGAACAACTTATATCCTTTGGTCCATGATACTATCATATGATGAGTGAGGAGGAAATTCCTTACATAACTTCCTGAGTGGAGAATTTATTTTCGTCTCAACGTCGACTTTTCATCGTCGTAGTCTGGACGTCGCACCACGCTTGCGACATGCCGTTCATTATGAAGTTGTTCTTGGCTCTGGCAGCACCCATGGTGGTCCTCGCCCAGGCCAAATCGCCATCGTTTGATTCTTTCTACAAGGTACCTTCGGACATTGCTGCATATCCCGTCGGCACTGCCGTGGGCAACCGGATTCGCCCTGTGAACACAAGCTTGACTCTCACCACCAACGCCGGAAACCCGCTCAAACAAGCCTATCAGATCTTCTACCGAACCAGCTCCACAGGCGATGTCGCCGACGGAACCGTCGCGACGGTTTTCGTGCCCGTCAATGCCAAACTTCCCGCAAAGATCCTTTCTTATCAGACAGCGGAGGACTCGGCGAACCTGGATTGTGCTCCGAGTTGGGCATTGGTCAACGGTTCGGCATCTACGAATGCCGACACCGTGAAGTTGGAAGGCTCCGCCGTCGTCGGGAATGCCCTCAGGCAAGGCTACTACGTCGTGGTCCCGGATGCTCTGGGTTCCAAGTCCGGCTGGCTCGCCGGGCGTACCGAAGGTCGAGCCTGCCTAGACGGCATCCGGGCCACGATCAAAGCATTCAACCTCCCCCGCTGCACTCCGACCGCGCTCTACGGCTACAGCGGCGGCGCCCACATCACCATCTGGGCATCCTCCCTCGCCGCCACCTATGCACCCCAACTCAACATCACCGGCGCCAGCTACGGCGGCGCGCCCGTCGACCTCCGCACGACCTTCAACTCCCTCAACAAAGGCTTCGGCGCCTGGCTCGCGGGGGCCGGACTCTTCGGCCTGGCCAACGCCTACCCTTCCGTGAACAGCTACTTCACTTCGAAATACAACGATCTCGGCCGGGCCAACGCCACGCTCTTCCGCACGCCGGGCTACTGCATCAACAACCGGGCGCAGGACGGCGTGAGCAAAGACTACCTCGGCATGTTCACGGAGGACATCCTGGCGAACGGTACCGTCTTCTCGACCGTCTTTGATAACGAATCTCTGCTCGCGACCTCTTCGGAATTGGCCGTCCCCGCGCCGAAATTCCCGCGTTATCAGTACCACGGCCGGAACGATGAGGTCGTGCCTTTCGCGCCCGCTCAGCAGTATGTCAACGAACAGTGTGGGAAAGGGGCGCAGATTGCGTTTGAAGTGCTCAGTGGGACTCATCCCGAGGCTGGCGTGAATGGAATAAACCGGGCATTGAAATTCGCTTTTGCCGCGCTCGAGGGGAAGTTGTCGAAGATTACGTGTGGACAGCCGTGGAGTTCAGCTTGAGGCTTCGGCTAGACCTCTGTTCCTTTTGGCATGCAGTGAGAAGCCTGCCTGCAGTGAACTCGGTGGGATGTTTGCTGGCTCCGTTGTAGAAAGTCGGAATTTTTGGTTCGTTTGCTGGTCCTTTTTTACCAGGATATAGAAAAGCCACGGATGTGGCAAGTGCGTCGTATCTGTCGTTTGCTGCTACATATCCGAGCGAAGGAATCCAATTCGGCCCCTCCTATTAAAGACCAGGCGAGCCACACCGGCATGGTTCGATGTCGTCCCGCACATGATTGATTGAACCCATTTTGCACATTTCCCACCCTTTTCTTCCTTCAGATCGGGATTTCCTCCCGCATTGTCCATTCGAGATACCGCAATGCAAGAGCTCGCAGCTTCTGGCATTCTTGCAACACTGCAGCGCTATCGTTTCCTTCCCCTGCGTCTCCCGTTGTCCGGAATGCAATTTCTCGATCCAGGACTTGGAGAGTCAGCCTGAAGGCCGTGGTCAAGGCAAAGGGAGCAGCGGCGCTATTTGCTGCGTCGGTCGCGTAGGGGATTGTGCGGATGACGGCGTGAGCGTAGGTCATGAGACGTCTGCGATGATTTGATATGATATGGGAATGATCAGAATGAAGATAGATTTTCTTTTGTTGATGGGATTGGGCTGTGCGGTGGAGCAGATTGATGGCTAGGGTATGTAGCGAGATTACCATCGTCCAGTAGATTGTGATTGCGTGGTAGACGAGCATGTTGTCGAAGACAAGAACTTCGTGAAGGCAGTGGATCTCATCATCGTCGGAGATTTCCATGCGCAGACGGTGCGATGGGTTCGACCGCCATGGAGACAATCTAGTTTGGTGCATCTTGGTGTTCCAGCTAGCCAAGCATGCTTCGTTCCGCGAAAGTGTTGACTCGATCTTGGATGATAAATCTGACAAGAGCTTCCGTTGCTCACCTGATTTTTCGCTGTCTGCGCGCAGAACGTCGAAAGTCGATGCAATCGACGTTATTCTGCTGAAATCTACCATGAGGAGATCCAACGACTGATACAACTCATAGTCCTCGTCGTGACAGGGATTCTCGGACCGACGGAGCGCTGATCGAATCTCGGCCAGCCAAGCTGAACTTACATGTGCATAGTCTTGCAAGTTCTCTGACCTTGTCGCCGAGAGAGAGTAAAGCATCTAGATGATCATCAGCGATTGTAGATATGGCCGAAGTGGAATTGACGAACAAGCAGCATTCGCGATCATGCGAGCAGCTGTCGATTACTTTCTGAAAATACATGATTTGGTCCGCGCTGTTTGATGATCGATGCCAAAGACTTGATATGTGTTTCCCAGGTACGCGAGCTGGGGGCCATCTTCATCTATCCCAAGCATGATTACTCAGCCCACGTTTCATGACAGACACTAGACCCGCGAATGGATAATATCTCACCTCCCAGAAAGTCATCACCAGACTGAAGAATGCCAAATGCTGCCAATGCTCCTCTGATACATCAGAAGTCCGATCACTAGCGCTCATGTTCTGCAGACGTAATGACATCGATCGCAAGGCCAGTCCGTATTGTTGAAAGCTTCTGCGAGTGGAAGCCTGGTCGGAACGTGCTGCGCCAAAGTGTCCCAGAGCAAGAGCGTCAATAGCCAGACGGACCGGCGTGTCAGGCGAATCGTCGTTCTCGAATGGCTTAGAGCGATCCAGCGACCCACTAGATAGATAGTGCTTGATTAACCCGCCTATGGAACTCAATGACTGAAAAGGTTGATCGTCGAAAGATGACAGGAAGAATGCGATATGTACTTGAGACTGTCGCAAACTCGACGGAGTCGGAGATGTCGAGCTATTTCCAGGGCTCTCAAACGATTCTTTGTTTCGCTTCGATGGCGTGCACATGGATCTGGCCTTCAAATCGCCTGTGGGCTGTCGAGGCCTATCTTTCCGCGTCGCTGCCACGCCCAATGCCCGCCAACCTTCGTTGAGGAAGACGACTTGCGCCCGGCGGTATCCTTCGCAGACTCGACTACTTCGCTCACAATTCTGACAGATCGGTCTCACGCCATCTGTCATAAAAAGAACAATTCATCAATTCTCATCAAGTAATAAGGCAATTGGATCATGCTGAGCTGATCCTGCACTCACCACATCGTATTTTTCGAGTCACACATGTTGTGCAGCCTTTAGATCGCGGAACAGATGGCAGACCGATTCTACTGTTGTCAGTAGACATGGTGTCAGGGGAGCGACGACTTGGATCGCAACGACTGTGTGTACATAGCTGCGACAATGCGAGAATTGCACGCGAGTAGCAGAAAGCACTGGGGTAGCCGGCCGGCTACCCTGTTACCTTGACACTAGTTCATGATACGACAGAGTGAATCAGCAGCCCGAGGGGCACGTCGCCTTGGATATTTGATCTTGCGCCGCAGCATTGTTGCTTCCATCACCAGACAAGTGCTGACAGTGCAGTACATGATCGCCGTTGATGAAGCTGTATCGGGGCAAGCTCCGGCACAAGTGCGCTAATTGAGGCGCTACACCCTGTTTGGAAGGCAACGCGAGGCATTGTCTTACCACAACATCGTGTTGACACTTGCTTTCCCGTCGTGATCAACGATTCCAGATCATACTTTAGGAAAGCAACGCGGTGCTGAACCAGTCGTCATGGTGGGTTGTACGTTGCCAAATGCAGCTTCGGCGGTGTTGACTTCCAGGACGAAGACTGTCCTCACGGCCCATGTCATGAATATAAAGGTACACCTGCGTGTGCGGAGCCCGTAGGCATCAAGGATGACAACTGCTTCGATACGTAGCGAATGCTCACAAGCGCTCTCACATCTAATTCAAATGGTTTCCGCCAAAAAATCTTCCATCGCTCGTTGCAGCGTGGCCAAACAGAGACAACCATATACTTCGCACAGTACAGTTGAGAAACCTGGCGGGGCAAGCGATGTCCTCAGCAGATCGCATGCAGAACACATTTCTGCATCTGGTACTGCATCAACGACATCCGAAGATGAAAATGAAAGCCTCTCTTGGCCAAGACTTGCAGTCGTTGGCGTTGCTTTATGGTTTGCAGTCTTCCTGTACTCTCTCGTTCGTCATTTACTCTTGACCATTGCCGATGTGTTGCTCACGAATATAAAGGATCAAACGATCGTTTCCAATGCCGTTCCCGCCATCGTGGGAGAGTTCAAGAGTGTTGATGCTGCTGGTTGGTGCGGTAGCAGTGAGTCCACCCGTCTCATTACGCGACTCTTTGGGAGAAAGGATCGCCGCAGCAGCTGACGATCGTCGAAAGGCTACCTACTCACAACTTCCGCATTTCAACTCTTATTCGGCCGGATTTACTCAACCTTTGATGCCAAGAAAACATTGCTCATCGCGATCTCCATTTTCGAGCTTGGCTCTTTGATCTGTGCTGTTGCACCGACCAGCAACGTGCTGATTGCAGGCCGGGCCATCGCAGGAGTCGGTTGCGCAGGGATCACTTCCGGCACTTACGTTATCATTGGCCATATATTTCCGCTCCGCATTCGACCTGTGTGCATATCGACCATTGCAATAGTCTTTGCCGTCGCTGCAGTTCTCGGGCCCGTCCTTGGAGGGATTTTCACTACCAATTTGACATGGCGGTGGTGCTTCTATGTCAACCTACCCTTCGGGGGTTTCACTATCGGAGTTTTGTGTTTATTCCTGCCATCTTTGACACGTCCCTCGATCGCAGATGTCTCGTTTCTGGACAAGTTGAAGAAGCTTGACCTCATCGGCCTCGCGATACACATTCCCGCGATCGTCTCCTTGCTTCTGGCACTGCAATGGGGTGGTTCGACATATACTTGGAATGACGGACGCATCATCGGACTCCTCGTTATGTTCGGGATTCTCATCATCGCCTTCATCTCGTTCGAACGTTCCAAGGGCGTAGAAGCGACACTTCCAATGCATGTGATTACGCAGCGTAGCGTTGCGGCCGCAGTATGGAATGCCTTTTGCAACGGTGGGGTCTTCTTTCTCCTAACATACTACATCCCCTTCTGGCTTCAGGCTATCCGCGGATCGGACGCTGCATCTTCCGGCATCGGACTCCTTCCTTTCGTTCTGGGCGTTGTGATGATGGCTAATCTAGTTGGATTTCTCGTGACGAAATCTGGATATTGTAGGTTTTCGTCCCACGCTTGACTTTCCAATGCGATGGTCAAGAAATGCTGATGGCTTCAATCCGTAGATGCACCTTTCATGATCTGCGCATCCGTCTTGTGCCCCATCGGAGCAGGCTTGAGGACAACTTGGACTGTCGATACACCAAGCTCCCACTGTATCGGATATCAAGCTTTGACCGGGCTAGGCATCGGCATGGGCCAGCAGCTCCCCCAAGTTGCGATCCAAGCTGTGCTCCCGCAGAAAGACGTTCCCGCCGGTGCTTCCATTGTAGTCCTTTCAATGACCCTGAGTGGCGCCATTTTCATCGCGATTGGTCAGGCCGTGTTGCAGAACGAGCTAGCTAGGAATCTTCATGGCGCATTTCCTAATGGTGGCATTGACATTGCTCGACTTCTCAATGCCGGTGCGAGCGAGCTTCGCTCCATCGCCTCGCCCCAAAACGTCGGATCTGTTCTTATCGCTTACAACGCTGCTTTGACGGGAGTCTTCCGCATTGCTGCGGTGATGTCAGCTCTGACTATCATTGGAAGTCTTTCGATCGAGTGGAAGAGCGTCAAGAAAGAGGAGGAGCAGCGATAGATTCACCAGAGAAGATTCAGAGCAAGAGCCAAAACCAAATCAGCTGGAACAAGACTTGCGACTGATTCCGGGAATTCTCTTCGTATGGTGATGACCTCATCTTGCTTTCTGAAAAGCTTCCAAAACCAGATATGTTTCTATTATGGCTACATATCCCGAAAGAGCATTCCGCCACTTATCCCGTCCTGACAATACTATATCTATACCTATGTGTTCTAAATGTCGCTATCCCAGTTAGTATAAATAGCAAGTTCGAATTCCAGCAAAAGTCTATTTTCGCACAACGCCCGTGTATTCCTCGATCGCAGTCATATCGCTCGCGTGCAGGCTTCTTAATTACCCTTTATAGAAGATTTCTTCTCGAGCCGTGCTCCGCCGGAACGTCATCCCATTAAATCATTATTCAGTACGCCAACTGTCCCGCAAGGATGAGTGGTTCCAAAATCGGGCATCCCAGATCAGCATGGATCATGGGCTCGACCGTCATCCCATCCAACCGCTTCTGCCCGCCCAGCACGCCGAGTTCGATCCCAAAGAACGAGCTTCCCACCTGTGGCCAGCCGGGACCCGCGGCAGGATTCTTGACGAAGTCGCCCCAGATCTGCTGCATGGCGGCGCTCATTGCGATCTGAGTGGGCGTGACGGGACCGAGGGCGTTTTGGAGCGGATAGGTGCCGAAGACCATGGGGATTTCCGAGGTGTGGTAGGCGCCGGCGTGGGGGAAGAGGCGGGCGTTGGGGAAGTCGCCTTCGTAGAAATAGCGCCAGATGGGCTGTTGGCGGGTCTTAGACTTGGCAAAGGCGGAGGATAGGAGGTGGGTGGGGCAGGTGAAAATCAGGTCGGTAAGGATTCTGGAGGAAGATTGAGAGGTTAGAATTGGAGGATGAGGAGGATGTCTTATAAAATGGTTCTTGTAGGGGAGACGGGCAGAGAGAGGAGAACTCATAAGGTAGGAGGATGATTGGGGAGCGTTCTCCGCTTCGACGCGATAATCCTTTGAGTAGTGATGCGATGGAATGATGTCGGCTTACCGATCAAAAATCTGCAAAGGCCAGATACTGTGCTTTTGGTCATACAGAACCTCTAGCGGTTTAAGGACGGCGGAAATGTCCAAACCAAATAAATCAAAGACACCGAGGGTCACATTGGCGAGCACATTGGCCTGCAGGTCGGACAAGGCGGAAGATAAGCTGAGCTCCTGAGCGTTGGTACCAATGATTATTGGCACATCCGCGGCGCGACCAGACTGGATACTGGGGAGCGAATCATGATCTACGTTGGTCGTATCCTTGACTGGTCCGAAGAAGAGTCCTGCGTCGATGATGTAGGACTGGATGTCTCGACCGGACACCTTGCGCAAGCAGGCGACATGGGATGGAGCGCTGGAGCAGTTAAAGTGGTCAATCACTTTGGCGAGATTGTCGGCCGGGTTACCGAGAGACATCTTGCCGTGACTTTCGATGATGGCTATATCCGAGCGGATGCTGTCAGAAAATGCATTGAAGCTCTTCCACTGGCTTGGGTGACTTACCCGCACGAAAGGGCAGAGGCGAGGGAGGTTGTGCGATTAATTGTTTGACGGAAAAGCCTCCAGCCGACTCGCCGGCGATAGTCACTCGCTGAGGATCGCCCCCGAAGGATTTGATGTTGTCGTGAACCTGGAAAACACGAGGTCTGTAAGTGGTTGAATCATCAGTCGTGTGACATTCGATCCCAACCTACCCATTGCAGTGCAAAGCGCTGGTCCAAAAATCCCGAGTTCTGCTGGTTGAGAGGTATTTCTGGCGAATTTGAGAAACCGAAGATGTTCAGGCGGTAGTTGATTGTTACCACCACAACATCTTCATTCACAGCCAAGCTCGAGCCATCGTATATGGTCTGCGATGAACCTCCGGTATCAAGGTTACCACCATGGATCCAAAACAAGACCGCCTTGAGGTTTGTCAGACTAGCTTTCCGTGGTGCGTAGACATTCAGGTACAAGCAATCTTCAGAATCGACTGAAGGATTGTCCAATAGGACATCGTAGAAAGCATTCGAGATGAGCTCGCTGCCGCCTTTGGGAGCTCCTTGCTGGAGACAAGCTGGCATAAGATTCTGCGCCTGGAGGGTCTGGAACGGCCGGGGAGGACTTGGTGGAGCGAATCGGACTGGTGGACTGGCAAATGGGATGCCCAGGTAGGCGTTGGCTATGTTGGTGTTGGACGGCTGCGAAGACACTCGGGCGACGGTGCCGACCACAACGCCAGCAGGTATTATGATGGTCGGATTGGCCGCAGCAGCTACAGGAGCAGATGCAGGTGCAGCGGCGACACGCACAGAGAGCAATGCACACAGCACAAGTTTTGAGATCATCTTGACGTTGTGTGTCGATTGGAACAGGCGCCGTCGAGGTAATGAAATATCGAAGACGAGTCCATCATGCAGTCACTCTCCTACCTATATAGTTGCTGCTGCACTCGCCCCTTGGTCTGATGAAGTACATTTTTGTACACCAAATGCGAACAATGAGAGCAAGGGTCGACCATGTCGGCCGAACTTCAATCCGTCATATGTCACACATCGTCTTGCGTATCTCGTACCCGCCCACCAAAATGTTTGAGAATCGGAAGACGTTTACCAGCATTGCTTCAAGCGGCTACAGCTGTCGTATGGCAAAAGATCTTTAAGTTTCGCGCGAGCGTCATACGAGGATGGAGTAAACTTTCGCCAGAGGCATTCGAAGGAAGGTTTCGAATGCCAGCTTTGTCGCTGCCGGGTTGAAGGCAATACGTGTTGACGGAGATTCGTCGCTACATTCCTCCGGGTGCGATCTGGCCAGTCATGAGAAGCCTCATCAGCCTCAGCGGCGATCATCGGCGTTTCGCGGTCGATCATTTTAGTTTGCTAGCGTTCCACGAGGAAGATGAATCCGTCGAAGTTCATCTACGACGCGTGCGGTACGAGGGCTCGACCTCCGTGCTCGGAACGCGCAATGCATGGCTGCCGAGTCGCCGGAGTGTGGAGCGGCCGGCAGCCGGACACGCTCAACGACAAGTACATTATTAATTACCTAGGTGTGTAAATGAGCTGTAGCCGTCATCCCTTCTTTCATTATATTATGAATGAATCATTATTACACCACACCAAAAGCATGCAGGTGCTTTTGCTTCGAGCACAGCCCATGGGCACGGAAGATTCCGAATCTCGACAGTCGCCATATTCGGCATCAGTAATCATGTCGGCTCTGAACTTCTTGAGCCACCGCACGGTCAACAGTTGAATGCACTCTTGAATGCCGGACGACATTACCAGTGGATTTTCATTATCACCGCGGATTCGTGGTGAGAACATCGAACAACTCTCCCAGTGATTGGTCGCGCCGAGGCTGGGCTGTAAAATAACATTTCAAACTGCAATGGCATCCCCAACAGTGCACACATCATCAACGCCGTCCACTTGATAAATTCGCATGGACTCGATCGAGGCTGTTGCGATATACGCGACCACACGATCACCAACACTTCAAAATCACTCTAGTAATCGGATGTATGATGATGCGGACGTGTAGGATGACATCAAACCCGACATGGTACAAAGACACCGTAGACATCTATCCGCCCAGCATTTGACTTTGCCGAAAGCAGGCGAGCGTGCAGTACGAGCTTTAGACTTTCCATGATCACTTGGTGACCAAGCACTTCGAATCTGAGCCATCTGTTTCACATTCTGCATAGCGTTATCGTTTTTGTCCTCCGAAGCCTGCTGTCATCATCGTCACAGCGGGAGAAGAGTTGTTCCGCCGCCCGACGGGCTCGCCGTCGCAGCCCAATGTCTACATGTACGGTGGTGCGATAATCGCCAAATTGATGTACATCAGTCGACAGCACGGCAGGGCAGCACCATCAAACGTCTGTCGCAAGCTGCTCATCAACGAATATGATACATGCCGCACATGAAGTCCTATAAGACTTCAGCCATGGAGAGAGAGCATGGATTGCTCGATGCACGGTTCATCGAAATTTCCGCCGTCGTCGAAGACAGAGGCGATTTTTCAGCATCGCGCAGTTTCCGTGCGGCATGGGTTCAGATGGGAGAATCTGATGGTTAAGAACACCGTGGGTTTCCGTTTTCCAGACGCGTTGGTATCATGTTTGCTGCTGGACTGGTCTCCGAAATCGCACGTTCCGCAATGCACAGATGAATGAAATTAAGTGCGAGTATTGCATTGTATATTACATCCGTATGTCCGTCGCGCCAAAGACTCCACATTCCTTCCACAGATGTGATCACGACTGTTCCATGTGATGAATTTGAGTGTGGTCGTATCCTGTCACTGGTGTCTTAATCGATGTTCTACACGTGAAGGCAACAATCCATGGATTGCAGCACTGGGGCAGGTAAAGAAAGGTACGGCTTTGGTGGTACCGCGTTTCAGGGGTCCATTATCCATAGACGGAGCAGGGCCCGGCGTCATTCCTCAGCACTTCAATCCATCACCATGCAACAACACACAGTCTTCAAATGATACAAGGAATCTCGAGCGGGATACGGTCAATGCGAAGAAATTCCACGACAGTTTAGAGAATCTGCCATGTCAAATACCACACGAACGAGGTGATCGCGGATGGAATGCAAGTGACTTGAAGCCCATGTGGATACCATCCTTGAAGATAAACACCACTAAAGTCATCACGTTTCCGAAACATTCCAGTGTTTGATAACCCGACACATGATCCTCAAATTGTAAAGGGGACTCCCACAGCAAGTCTTCAGCGGCGATATCCATCATCAACAGATCGTTCCAAGACATCGCATTGAACAAATAGAACTTGCCAAAAGAGCAAAAGAATAATGCCTCCTCAAACCTCACCCTCGCCCCAACCAACCCGCACCCGCGGCCTCCTCGAAATCCTACTGCTCTCAGCAATCCTCTATATCTTCCTTGGTGCACCAGGTCTCTCCTCTCTCTCATCGTTCTCTCCACTTTCATCCATGAGCTCCAGCAGTGGCGGCGGCAGCGGCAGCAGCAGTAGTGACGATCGTCTCACACACCACGACGCATCCGGCGGCCAAAGTCGCGAGAAACTCAACTCCATCGTCTATCCAACCCCGAATCTCCAATGTCCACCGCACGGTTACCGCACACACGTGCTCTCCGCAAGTCCCTTAGTGCTCTACCTCGAAGATTTTCTGAGTCCCACCGAAGTCCACGAGCTCGTCCAGCTCAGCAACCCCTCCTACCAACCCTCCACGCTGTTCACCTCGTCCCGGGAGTCCCACGACCCGACCATCCGACTCTCCGAGAAGTCCCTCTTGCCACGCAGCAACACCGTCCGTTGCATCGAAGCCCGCGCCCTCGCGCTCCAAGGCTGGCCGCAGGATACCTTCATCGAGCGGCTCTGGACACAGAGATACAACGTCTCGGGGCATTATAAATTGCATTATGACTGGGGCGCCGCCAGTCCGAAGGCGAGACGGGCGAGTAGCTTCATGGTGTATTTATCTGGTGGTCGAGACGAGGGAGAAGCGGGCGAGGAGAAATTGGAGGGTGGAGGGACGCATTTCCCCAGGTTACGACATCCCTCTCCGTCTTTGGTGGAAGGCGAGGAGGCATCGCAGGAGAGGCGAGAGTGGTGCGATTTCATCTCTTGTCCCGCTTCGTCTTCGTCCTCGTCATCTTCAGCCTCTGCTTCGGATTCGAACGATGGCGTGACGTTCCTTCCTATGGCCGGCAACGCCGTTTTCTGGCAGAACTTCGATGCAGCGGGTCGCGGGCACAAGGAGACGCTGCATGCGGGACTGCCGGTGACGAAAGGACAGAAAATTGGATTGAATATTTGGAGTTGGTATCAGGCAGGGCATCGGGCGCCGGAGGAAGGTGAGGATGATGCCGATGAAGGGGGAGGGAACGTGTATGGCGTGGGCACAAACGAGAATGACAAAGAAGAATTGTGATCATGTTGATGATTTTCGGGGCATGGAAGGGCCTACCACATCGCTGGCACTCGAACAAGCGGTCCCAACCACTGAAACTGAGGTGCCCTAGTGTTCAGAAATGCTGGATCGATTCATACGAATCAAATCTGCTCTCTGGCGTTCTTCTTCATTGATCTTTTCTATCGACCGCTTCCTCCATGATCCCTTTCCTCTCATCCAAAATGCAGCATCAAACTATAGGAAAACTTCCAGGTCGAGCTCAAGCGTCGATGTCGGGAACGGCAGCTCGAAGTTCTTGAGCACAGTCGGATGTAAGATGCCAAAAGTTCCGATGCGAACGGCCTCGGTCTTTCGAACCTTGGAGCTTTCCTCTTCGGTGAGCTCGCTACCTTGGCTGGACTTGAGCAGAGCGGTGACGTCGCGGAAGTAGACAGCGGCAGCGTGGCCGGCGAGATAAGTTGGGTCTATGAATGATATCAAAGTTAGTGATTAGTCAGGAGAAGGTCGATTTCCTTGATTTTCGCGATATTCACGTGCCGGGAAAGCTTCATGGGCGGATTTAAGACTCACCATCAACTTCCTCGATGTAGTACGTTAGTGCGGGCGTCTTTTGTCCCTTCTTTGCTGCCTCTGCAGATTGTTGTGGCAGGAATGATTTCGACCATGCCGTGGGATCCACAAACTTGACCCGAAGCATCAACATTATCCGATCAAGCAGACCGTGAACCTGTTCGAAGCCTGAGGACTTGCCGTACCAAGCCGCGCCGAAATGTCGACGGTTGCGGCTCTTGCGCTCGAGGGTTTCGTCTTTGAACGCAATATCAGCGACCTCGAAGACTCGCATGGGCACTGCATGCTTGCGGTTCTCACGGACGGTCTTGAGAAGGCCCGGGACCAGGCTTGTGCGGACAATTTGGTATTCGGCGGTCTTGGGGTTTGCTAGACGAATGGCACGTCCATCATCTTTGTGGTTGAGCCACCCGTAGTTCTCGTCGTGGCTGCACAAAATGAGAGGCATTACCTCGCTCCACCCTGCCATGGCGGCTTCGTGTCGGACAATATCGGCGAGTTTGTTGATGGGTAAAGCTGCCGCCACGCTAGCAGAAGTGGCCGGGAAAGTTCGAGGGAGGTTGTTGAATCCATAGGCAATGGCTGCGTCTTCCATCAGATCGGCTTGATGCAAGATATCGGCGCGGGTAATTGGTACAGCGACATCGAGCGCATCAGGATCGGTCGTGGAGGGCTTGGCGGTATGACACATCTTCTCCAGTAGGGCGCAGAGCGATTCTCGTGATTCATTCAGTCCGCACACCGAGTTGATGAAGGATGCTGAGGCTGTGGTTGCACGAGGCGTCACGTCCGGGGTCTGGCGAGACTGCTGGTTGTGGGGTGAAATGATGTTGACTGGCTCGATGGTGAAGGGCTCTGCGCAATAGGCCGAGAACATGGCGATAATTGTATGGTTGACAATCTCCAACTTCGTCTTGTCGGTAGCCGTGATGTCAATAAATACATTAGTCGTGTCGAGCGTAATCTTCGAGTGATTGCTATTGATGATTGGCGGCATGCTTAGCACAGTCCTGTTCGCATCGTAAATGATTGGGTACACAGGCTTGTCGCGAATAATGTGAAGGTAGCGCGAAAGGTGCTTGTCCTTCTCAAAGAACTCCATCATCTCTGGCGCCTTCATCGATTTTGTCTGATTGAGTGGCGCAAATTCGATCTGGTCCGGAGGGAGTGCCTCATATGTGAAGGGCCCTGATAATGTGTCTAAATCATGGGTACCAATGGCCACCAGTGTCCTTTGTCGTGCCAAGTTCTGATGCAGCTTATCTTGCAGAGCAATGAAAGACTCATATCGGTCCTTGGTGAATTTGATATTCCGTAGAATGGCAGCAGAGAAGTACGGCCTAACCTGTTCTGTCTCTTTCTGTACTGTCACGCTGAGGAGCTCACCACCTAGTGGCGCTGCCAGCCTATAATTTGGCATCTTCTCTCTTCCCAAGAACACATTCAAATTCATGGCGATGCCTTCGAAGCACAGCATGTCATATCTGTTGGCCGGAATTTCGATCTTTAGTTGAGGTCGTTCTTCTACACCGTTGACGATTGGTCGTTTCTGGTCGGAGGTATCCTCGTCTAACTCGATGCCGAACTCGAAGCATAATTCGTCGAATTCATCTTTGGTGTACTCTCTTCCGAGTGCTTTATAAAGATCCGCCTTGTCTACCGCAATGGTCGGCATGGTGACGATGTGCTGCTCTCAAACTCGGAAAATGCTGAAAGTTCCCTCTCTCGGGTCAGTCGTTGTCGAGTCCCGCGATGAGGCGAATGAGTACAATAATTTGAATGTGTATTCGTGTCGTTTCTTGTATCAGAGACCAGGTATAGCAGGTGTATTATATGCAGGATGCTCCAATGTCAATCTTGTAGATTTCGACCAGAGCGAGTTGAAATGCGCTTGAGTCATGCACCAAAAAGTTGCCCGCGCGAGCGATGATTGTGCCCCGCTGTGCTTCATCAATTTGCCGGCCACTTTTCGCTGGATGAGCAGTCAATGCCACTCCGGAGAGCCACACAGCGCACCAGTCAAAACTCTCACGCATTTGCTGCCGTAGACAAAGACGGAATACCACATCGATCATCCACAGAAATTGTTCCGTCGTCACTGGCAACAACATGAATGTTTGCCATGCATTTCCTATAATCTATACACGCATTTACAAGGCGACACGGCAGTCTCCAAATCTTGAGACATATCGTTGTAAGTCACTGCTGGTTGCGGTGACTTCAGTATTGTCGTCCTCGAAGATCGCCTGTCGGTGCCCACAAGTGTGCCTCAGGTTCCATCACATTGAATTGCCCTGACGAACCTTTCCCGCCGCACAACACCACCACCACCACCACCACCACCACCCTGCCTACCCGCCGCGCCGCGACTTGTACTTGTGTCATATCAACTTGCTTCACCGGCAACAGCTAAAATACACAACAAAGATTCCCAGAAAGTCTTCACGCTCTTGTCGCTCCCATCGACACCAACATAAACCAGCTAAACTGTCCGCCTTCACCGCCTGGAAAAGCTCGTCTCAAACCGTTGCGCCCAACTTGTCCTGACGCCAAGCCATACCATTTGCATGTGAAGGCCTCCCGCCAGGCCACTCCCTCCTTGACCATAAATACATCCGACAAGACCAGCAAATATGGAAGATCAGGGACAGAATGATGAGCTGTATCCTATTGCGGTGCTGATCGATGAGCTCAAGGTGGGTCTGGTTCAGCTGGCGCTTTCTTTCAAACCTGGAGACGGATATGCCTGGACAATCTCCGTTCATTGTGACCATACCAACTGAAATATCTCCAGCACGACGATGTCCTCTTACGACTGAATGCCATCCGCCGGCTGTCCACCATTGCACTCGCACTAGGTCCCGAACGGACTCGGGATGAGCTCATACCCTTTCTCGATGGTGGGTGCTGGCAATTTGCTTGTGCGATATGATTTGGAACAGGTGGAAGGATACTGACAGCCACACAGAGTCAGTGGAAGACGAGGACGAGGTGCTGACTGCTCTCGGAGATGAACTGGGCAATTTCGTCGAATACGTCGGAGGTCCAGAGCACGGGCACGTGCTCCTGTCGCCCCTTGAGAATTTGGCCGGTATTGAAGAGCCGCTCGTTCGCGACAAGGTGGGTTGACGATTGGTCCTCTTATATCACGTCTTATCCTGCATGGAATCTGACAGATGCCTAGGCTGTTGAATCTTTGAACAAAATTTGCGAGCAATTGTCACAACAACAGGTCGAGACATATTTTATTCCTCTCACCATTCGTCTCTCGAAAGCCGATTGGTTCACATCAAAGATCTCTGCCACCGGCTTATACAACACGCCATACAAACAAGCCACCCCACAATCGCAAGAAGGTCTGCGACGACAGTTCGAGCTCTTGGTCAAAGATGACACTCCTATGGTGCGGAGACAAGCCGCCAACAATCTGGCCAAATTCGTCAAAAGCATGCCTGCCGCGATCGTCGTCGATGACATGATGAGCATGTTCCAATCTTTAGCACACGATGACCAGGACAGTGTCCGCCTCTTGACTGTCGAGATTCTTATCGCCATTGCCGAGGCAGTTCCCAAAGAACAACAAACTCAGAGCGGCGTCCTCCTTACCACTCTGCGAGAGCTCATCACGGACAAAAGCTGGCGAGTACGATACATGGCAGCGGACCGCTTCGAAAAGATTGCCAAAGCTGTGGATGACGAAGTAATTGCAAGGGACCTAGTACCAAATTTCGTTGCTCTGCTCAAGGACGGCGAGGCCGAAGTTCGAAGCGCTATTGCTGGTCAAATTCCTGGTGAGTGCAACCTGCGTAGTAGCATGGGATTGCGACGTACATCGAAGGCACGCTGACAGGCCGACCTATTACACAGGCTTCTGCCAGCTCATCGATCGACAAGTTTTGTTGCGCGATATTTTGCCTGCGATCGAAGATTTATGCTCCGACAGCTCGCAGCATGTACGCGCAGCATTCGGCAACCAAATCAGTGGACTTGCTCCCATTCTCGGCAAAGCAGAGACCACTGAGCACCTACTACCCATGCTATTGCAGATGTTGAAGGACGACTTCCCGGACGTTCGTCTCAACATCATCTCCAAGCTTGAGCAGGTCAACACAGTCATCGGTATCGAGCTGCTCTCGCAGTCACTTCTACCGGCTATCGTCGAGCTAGCCTCAGACAAACAATGGCGTGTCCGCCTCGCCATCATCCAATACGTGCCTCTGCTCGCTTCGCAGCTCGGTGTACAATTCTTCGACGAGAAGCTTGCCAGCCTGTGTATGGCTTGGCTCGGCGACACTGTCTTCTCGATCCGTGAAGCCTCAACACTGAATCTCAAAAAGTTGACTGAGGTCTTTGGCGTAGACTGGGCATCTGAGGCGATCGTGCCTAAAGTCGCCGCAATGGCGGAGCACCCCAATTACTTATACCGCATGACCACATGCTTTGCTGTCTCGGTAAGTCTGCGAGCGATTTCGATCGTTTACAAAAACACGAGCTATATCTTGTGGTAAAAATATTCTGACGTTGTTCCACACAGATACTTTCACCGGCGCTGTCGCTTCCCGTTCTCGCTAAGGCGGTCCTCCCCATCCTACACCAACTCGTTTCCGACCCCATTCCCAACATCCGCTTCAACGTCGCCAAATCGTACGGCGTCCTCATTGATATCTTCAAACGTCTGCCTGCCGATCAACCAGGTCTGACCCTCGTCGAATTAGAAAAGCAACAAGCCGCTGCTGGTGATAGCACTGCAGCAAGTCAGCCATCAGAGCAAGGCGCTCGTCTCATCCGTGAGGAGGTTCTCCCTCCGCTAGAAAAGTTAATGCAGGATGATGATGTCGATGTTCGATACTTTGCTACCGTGGCAGCAAAGAGCTGGAGTGATGAGGCTGGTCGTGGAGCAGGGTCGGATGAGATGGAGACCTAAATGATGCTATTCAATGAGGATTGAACCATTAATTATATGTCTCGTTCTACATCGGTTTTCGTACATATTAGATCAAAGCGACAACCCACTTCTGACGCACGGCTTATCTCGTGAATTTGCATAGGACAGGGCGGCATTGGTCGGATTGTACTGGACGATTCTACTTGGGTGAACTACGACCCTTGATCCCGGGCGCGTTTCATATTGGAGCATCGTCTACAGTATTCCCTCTACAGCGTACTAGCTTAACATGGGGCGGCTATAGAATGCGACATTCCAACTTCAATGGGCAATCAGGAGCTCTGGAAATTGTGTATACACATGACGATCTCGTTCAACAATGACGAATGTCTCCGGCGAGCCCCACCCTCCCAATCGCGGAGAATGTCAACCCTAAAATACACGCGAGCGCCCCACTACACAAGAGGCGCGTCTACCCCGGCGTGCCGACCGTGTTTCCCGATCCGCCGCGTCGGCTTTCCCGCGACCACTTTTATATCGAGGAGAGGGTTTCCGCGATTATCAATCATTATACAATGGCATCATCTTGATCGCGTCGCACTGCTTGCGATTCGCCACGGCATCCACCATTCTCTGTCGACAATCGTAGTCGAGAATCGAGACTGCGATTACGTGCGCGCCTGGACTCACCACGGCTTTGCAGCAAGCAGAACCTCGGAATTCGTTCGGTATTGATTTCGTCGAGCTTCTTTGCCTTTCCCAGACAGCCATCGAGTCTCTACGCTACATTATTGCCGTCCGAGTCCCATTAAACAACCTTCATGTTGGCAGGCGCATGTGCTCAACGCCATATCTGTAGACGACTACCAGTCGAGTGCGGCGCATCGCGAACACCATGGATTCAGAAAATCAGACAGTGAAAGAGATGGATTCAGAGGCCCTACGAGCGACCAAGGCATCGCCATCGCCTATTGACACTAAGTCAAGCATTGCGGCGAAAGACGAACTTGTTACACCAGCGGCGATCAAACAGGAACAGGCCCCTACTCCTCGACTTGCATCACCAGTTGGTGAACGGCGCCCATCAGACACCGAAGCGCAAGTCTCGAAAGCCATCACCGCGCTCAAAAGCGAGAGCAGCATGCGCATGCAATCGCCGCTTCGAGAATCTTCTGTCCCGGTCCCGACTACTGAGCTCCCCTCAAGCTCAAATCCCGCTTCGAATCCACGAAAACGACCTGCTCCTGGCAAAACCAAGAAAGGTACGGCCATGACCATGAAGAAAGCACCAGCTGCAAAGAAGCGTCGCCTTGAACCGAAGCTGGCGAGATCAAGGGCAGGCGGTAAGAGGACACCCGGCAATTCTTCGCCAGCGCCATCCGCGCGGTCCTTCTCGATGGACGGACATGTTCAGACTGATGATGGGGCAAGTGACGACGATGCGGCCAATGCTCGATCGCCTGCTCCTTCCTCATCTGGCGACGAGGAAGGATCCGCGAACTCGGATAACGACGGGGATGTATACTGTATCTGCCGTCGCCCAGATAATGGAACTTTCATGATCGGGTGCGATGGCACATGCGACGACTGGTTTCATGGAAAGTGTGTGGGGATTCCCGAAGCTAACAAGAACCTTATCGACAAATACATCTGCCCGAATTGTACGGCGGCTGAAAAAGGGATGACCTCGTGGAAGCGCATGTGCCGACGTCCAGGATGTCGACAGCCTGCTCGGATTGGTAGGAGCAAGACGGGCGTGAGCAACCCGACACCGAGCAAGTATTGCTCAGACGAGTGCGGCGTCCTATACTTTCGCGCGATGGCATCAAAAACACGAGGCTCGAATGACGACCATTCAAGCAATGTCAAATCACGCTCTGCAGCACGCGCGAAAATTGCTGCAAAGCAAGACTCCCTATCCGTTGGAGCACGTGGCGGCGTTCTTGCTGCGGGTGAGGTTCGCGCAATTCTTGATGCGTCTGACAACGCCGAGAGCTTTCACAAACTCGGCCAGCCGCCAGCATTGCCTCCGACGGCAGTACTTAGTCCGCCTCTGACTCCTGAGAACGGCGAGAACAACAAAGCAGCGAGTGACAAACCGGGCGCAAATGACTTCGCAGCAGACCTGACGAAGATCACCTCAGCGAAGGAAGAAGCGCGCTTCAGACACACTCTGCTCAAATCTCGTGTCAAATTTGTGGGCATGGTCAAGAGCGCCATCCCAGGACATGCAGCAGCCCAAGATATCAAAGTTAAGGAATTCTGTGGTTATGACCGTAGATTGGAATGGAGCGAAGGAGAATTCTGGTCATGGTGGGAGCAACAGGAAGGAAACGAGAGCGCTAGCGGGACCAAAGACATTCACGGGGACACCAAAATGGCCAATGGCGAGGCCAACGGCGATGGGGCTACTTCCACCGCAAAATCCGTTAAGCCTACCGAGAAATTCGACGACGAGAACGAGCCGATTGTCTGCTCCCGCAAGCGCTGCCTGCGTCACACGGACTGGCCAAAGCTGGCCCTCGATGCTCTTCGCGCGGAAATATCCGATAACAGCGATCGCATGCGTGGCCTGGAGACCGAAGAGCGTAAGCTACGAGAACAGGCCCTGTTGCGAAGTGTCGGAGGCCGAAAAGGCACTGGCTGGGTGGAAAAGCACGACGCTGCTGATGCTGAGACTGTGGCTGCGGCTCAATCGGTGCCGTCGGCATCCAAACTCGAGACTGGTTACCCTGCAGAGGTCGCGACCTTGAATGGAATTGCGGAACCGATAGTGGAGGACAGGACCGATCTGATCGGCGATGTGGATATGGATGGGTCCGAGAACAACACACGACCGACCGCGGAATCTTCGGGATCGCCCGCGGATGAAGGCGTAGCGAGCGAGAGTTTGCCGCCCGTAGTCGAAGGTGGAATCGCTGTTTGATGCAGATGTTTCAATAGAGCAGGTGTCCGATGCGATGGTTGAGGCTTGGTGAAGGAAGGAGGACATCACAACCTCTGGGAATATCGAGGGCCAAGTCAATCGTGGCTAAACGACCGTCGCTCTCAGATTACTGCCCAATCCTCCGGACCCATGTTTCGAAACACATACTCGTAATCAAACTTGCCCGAGCCTATGATACCACCTCTAATCATAATAATGTCTCTCCTTACCCGTGGTAAAGTGAATCGTAGTCCTCTGTCAAAAGTGCCAGGAGCAGCAGCCGTGATCGTCCATCACAGTAAGAATGATGGTAGGGTTCCTGCAGCTATATACGGAACACGATGATTTTCAGTTGGACCTCAGCTCCTCAGCATTACAACATCTTCACAACTCATAGACCTCCATGTTCCAGGTCATATTCGAAGACCTTGGCTCTCAACCAATTCAAATCACTTGAATTAGAATGTCTTCAACGTCCATATCCCCTCCCACCACCTCCTCCTCGGAAGCCCACAAAATGGCCTCCGACTTCCTTTCCAGCTTCCTCAACAAATCTCTGCGCGTACACATTCAAGATGGGCGGATGTTCATCGGCACATTGAAATGTACCGACCGCGAGCAAAATCTCATATTGGCAGTCACGCATGAATATCGTGAGCCCTCGGAGCAAGATCGTCTGCTTGCCGCGCAGCGTCAGGAATATCTCGGCTTGTCGGGCCCGGTCAAGGTCGACATGAAGAAGCGATTTGTCGGACTGATTGTTGTGCCCGGGCAGTACATTACGAAGCTTGAGATTGAGGATTGAGTTTTATCCTCAAGCGCTCTCGATCTATCGGATCATCAAGAATGATCGTTCGAGTCAAATGACGGAATGTCACTGCCCTGAAATGAAACCGTGACTGCAAGTTTGTATGACATACCCGAAATCTACGGAAGGCAATGGCGATACGACGAAATGACACGAAATTTCTTGTCTCAGGGCCAACCAGACAAAGACACGTTTGTCGAATCGACCAGGTTGAGGCTGCAAGACGGCTCAATCTGGGCGCAATACATTGCCTCAGCTACTTCGGTTGGCAAATCTCGCATACAGGCATCAATTCTTCGACATGGATGTTCAAGGTGGCGAAATTGAAACCTGGCGGGTCATGTCGTTCAAACCCCACACGGATGTTCGAGGACTCAGCAGTCCGTTCTGAACACACGCTATGGTGAAACCAAATCAAAACGCACAGTATTGTCCTACTAATGGTCATTCATTATCAGAGAGGCAATTCGAAACTTCAGCCTGCCGATATCTTACCATGGAGAACTTACATCGTCTTCTTTGTGTCTGCGTCATGCAATCTCCCAGTGTGTTCAGGTCATCCCAACATATCCAAGTACTGAAGACCACAAACTTTCGACCTTTTCGTCAGGCTCTTCGCGCGTCGATTGCCGACCATTTCCGAGCCATTCTGAACGATAATCGTCGTCATGCAGCTTCATGGGAAGTTCCGTATAATTCTTTCCTCGGGCGATCCCTTCCGCTAAAGTTTGAGGGATTTTTCCGTTGGGACAAGCTTCAAGCGAATGATATAATGTGGCATTAAAGTCGCGGAGTACCTCACAGCGTTCTTCCATGGTCGAACAGGACGCTAGCCGCGCATACGCCAGCGGTTTAAACCCCGGTCGCTCACGGCCAGGTCGCTGGCTGACAAAACCTGGCGAGGTCTCGAGGATCAGAACGCCTCCATCAAGTTGGTAGCCAACATCAAAGTCTCTGGGGTAATGGTAGCCCAAAGGAAATGACCTCCGAAAGCTTGTTGCACGGCCCAGGAAGACATCATTAGGCCACCACTGCCCGCCAATCTGCAGCAGTCGCAGCGCGAGAGCGTTCTCCTCCGATTCGTCTACAGCCTTTGTTGAGTTTGGGGACAGTGGTGACAGGCCGAGCCAGGCGAATTCCGCGGCCGTGACGCTAGCGCTGACGCGACCGCCGGTGGAAGGATAGGCAAAAATATCGACGCCTATGAAGCTGAACTCAATTCGTGGATGATCACTGGTATATTTCTTCACCCTGGTGTCAATATATCCACGACAGATGTCTTGCTCGATTGGAATTTCATCTTCGAAATCATCTTCGAAATCATCTTACTCAGGATATTCGCGCCAGCGCATGCGTCGAGGTGATATAGATATTGACAAGACCAAGGTAAGCTGAAGGAGCAGGGTGAGTTTGCGCAGAGATGCCCTCATCTCGTTGTTGCCTAAGTGTTGTGGGAATATCAGTATTCGGCAGTGTTGGAAGCGACACAGGCGAGGGAGATGATAGAGAAGCGGTTACATCGCCAAAATATAGATACGGATGTTTTGCGCCAAGGCTGCAGCCTTCTCCAAGACAAGCACAGCTTACAGACGCATCTTATCTTCTTGCTGGGGTTGACGTCAAAGAACAATGCGGCACAGTGGTAGCGCGAAGAACCAAGTTTGCGCCACTTGATCCTCGATGATTGTGGAACCGCAGCATGTGTCTGTTTCTGTCCGCGAGATCGGCAGAGAAAACGTAGTCGCAGAAGCCCATACACTGAATGGATAGCATCGTGGGACCCAGTGAAGCCAACAGACTTACAAAGTGAGTTAGTTTGGCGTAAATTAGATGCCGTTTCATCAACTGATTAAATTCTTTCGTCCAAGGTCAGGCGCTTTTGCGTAATAATATCTATTTAGGCCCCCTATTCAGATCCCAAACATAGGAGGATGCGGCCCCACAGAGACCGTTGAATCTCTTCAACATACTCGGTCAGTCGCGACCTCTGTAATTCTTCATAGAGAGGATGTTTCGCATCATGCAGGGTCTTCACGAACTCAACGAACTCGATTCCCTTCGCGATTCCTCCTTCCAAGGTTTAAGGCAAGATCTGGTCGTCTTGGTGCTCGAGCGAGGAACGATAAGGTGGCACCAAATTGACGGAGAAGCTCACGCCGTTCTCTCATGGTCAAGCATAGTTCTAGTCGCAAGCTTGTCTCGAGTCTAGGCGACGCTGACTGTAGACAAACGCGCATTCCAGGGCGATGTTCTTCATCAACGGGACGACACTTGCATTGGACATCCATCGAGGACACCGCACAAGCAGAAACAACTTTGTAATTTATTGATCAAGCCGCGTAATCATTTCAGCATTGAAATGCCACTCAATTTATTGTACAAAAAGACTGCATAAATGTCACGACCGAAACAACGGGCGTAGGCCCAGAAAACAAGACCTTCTCCACGACGCATTTATGGCGCAGTTCCTCATTGTATCCCATTGAGAGAAAATCCATTGATTTCAAGGCAGGTCAAGTCTAAGCATGGAGTGCAACGAGAGGAGCGAGCGGTGCTTCACTTGCTGCAAGGTTGCATTGTCGGAAGATCCGAACCTCGTCCGGCTTGAATGAACCCGTGACGGAGTGGAGAACACCGTGATTGTTGAAAAGTGCGAGATCCCCGTCTTCCCAATTCACCGCGTACACCAACTCGGGAGCAATACCCGGTCTTTGGAACCGATGCACGATCTCTCGAACTTCTTGCAGATCATCGATCACGGTTCCGTCCGCGAGATGCAACTTTTCAATCGCTGATGGGTGGATTTGTAGGGCGAGTTTGCCCGTGACGGGGTTGCGCCAGCACATGGGCAAGATCTGAACTTTGCTCTCGTCGATTTCGGGGAGGTCAGAGCGAGGAAGCTCACGGCCTTCAGAGACGAGGCCGAGGCCGTCGGATTTGGATCTGGCTTGGCTCATCCAGATGTATGGGTGAGCGGCATATTGTACGCGTGTGGTGCGGACAAACTCCTTGTCTTCCTCGGAGAGCAAGTCGTACATTGTGAAGGAGCTGACGAACACAGTGCTTCCACGGGGCACAGGGAGGACATCGCCACTGTCGTCGTCGTAGCGAAGAGTTTGTTGTTCGGACTTGGGCACTGAGACGGCCATGAGACTTGTCACGCGCGGTGGGTGGAGGTCGTATAAGGCGGCGTCGATGTGCCAGCGGAAGAAACGGGTAAAGTCGCGATCGTCGGCGTCGGATATGACATTCTTGTGGAAAGTCTTGTGGTGCGGGTGCTTGAGCGTGATATTTTTCAGGCCTTGGAATTCCGCGACAGGACCATTGCCGATGACCTGAACCTGCGGTTGATGAGGAATGGTCTTCAGATCCGGGTGAAGGATTGAACGTTTCGCATCGAGAGTCTTTCCATGTCCGTATGTTTGGGCGGCGGGATCGAAGCGTTGTGTCAGCTCGTACTGCGCCTTTGGTGACAAATTCTGTTGCCCTTTGAAAAGAATGACTTGGTGTTCGTAGAGTGCGTGCCGAATGACTTCAAAGTCGGCATCGGAAATATTCTCCAAGTCCGCTCCCCGGAGTTCGGCTCCGAGGTCGTACCGGAAGCCAGCCGGGGGCGTAATCGGCTCGACGATGATTTTGCTTTGAATTGCCATTTCTGTATGAGACGTGGTATTTATTTTTCTGTGGAAGACAATCCGACTCGTGCCCTGTAGTTGCTTCGTCTTTTGTACTGGGCCATATCGAGGTGGATATGGCATATTATATACCCTCTTGTCTCTGAAGATCCCACGTTGATATCTCGCCCGTGTCTGCGAAGCGCCAGTGCCGAAGCCCCGACTAGGCCGCGCCTCGCCAACGCCACGTAGATAAGGTCCGCGGGAAAACATGCCAAAATCACAATTTATCACGCCCTACCGGAACAAAGATGCCTTTCCCTCTTGAGCGCGCCCTACGATGGGGATTCTGACGTTCATAGATCGTAACTATCACTACATATGTACCAGACATATTCATCAGCCTGTACGGATAAATCGGCAGCGTGGGAGTCTGAGTGCACTCCGGAACACACCTGAATGCGGATTGATGTAAACCTTGAAGGCAATGACTGCGATGAGCATCAAGCTTAGGAGTGCAAGAGTTCTTGAGCAATTACAAGTAGATGCAAAGCTGCGATAACGTGCGAGTTCGATCTGTAATGCCACCAGTACTCAATGGTTTGTATTGTCTACTCAAAGTCAGAGCGGACTCTGATCGTTACAGACTTGATGTAGAACCAATTTGGCATTCCATGCACCTGCACGACAATGACAAGGCGACAGTAGAATCAAGTCTTGTACGACCATTCATTAAAGCTACAGACAGAATGACAAGTAGAAGCAGGCAGACGTAGAAGTGGAAAGACGGGAAGAGGCTATAAGAAAACCGATAGCGCTGTCCAAGCAGTAAATCCTCATCAAGGCCCCACGCAATCATGATAATCCCAGATCAAAACAAAACAACGCCTGTCCGAAAATCGCTCAAAAGCTGCCACGCGGAAGATGAAACGCTGAAATCAATCAAATGAAGAACACAGATGACGAAATTTTCGCCTTTAAAATCTCGAATCCTCGTCGCCTTTGGGTCTCACAGGTGAGACAGGTGAAGCGGCTGGCCATTCATCTTGCCATCGTGCAGGAGGTTCGATCGGAGTCGCCTCGGCGATGCGAATGCTCGGTAGTCGTGCGATTGGCGGGAGTAATGAAAGACCTGGGCTACTACTGCTGGGAGTTGCAGAATTTGTAGTTGTGGCTGCGGTCAAGGAAGAATGCGGTGGCCGAGTCTGTAAAGGTGAGCTGTACGGTGGGGCGTCCTCAAATCCGGCACTCGTGCTGCTTCCGCTGATGTTTGCGGAGCTATCGTAAGATGGTGGGTCGATGGTTGGGATTGGTGTTTCGCCGAGGTCGCCATTGGCTGGCACGAAGTGGGTGTCGATTGACGGGCGCATGGCAGTTGCGTGAGAAGACGAGCGACTCCGCGAAGAGGGTAGTGGTGATGGCTGTCGTGGAGCGTGGGTATAAGAAGCGTTGCGAGAATGGACTGTGGATGAAGGAGTTGACTGTAACGTGACAATCTCGAGGTCGCTATTGCTACTGCCGAAACGACCAAGAGAAGGCCGCGATTGATTCACGTCGCTGCTAAAGGATGGGCGTTGGCTATAGTCGTCGTCACCTGGAGCCAAAGACGTCTGAGAGCCGGTTGTGTTGGAACGGTTGCGATTGTGATAAGCGCTGCCGGTGTCACGGGAAGCCCAGGGGGTGAGGCTTGAACTACCGTGGATTGGTGCTGCAGAGTCGAGAAGGGGCCGCTCATCGTCGTTGGAATTTGCGCGTATACGAGTACCGTCGTGTCGCGCAACACCCAAGTCTGCATAGCTGACGCTGCTCACCCGGCGATCGCGATTACGGGACTGATGTTCAGCGATCATGGCTGCAGCGCCAGAGATTTCTCTCTGTCGTGCTGCTTGTAGTCCTTCGACCCGAATTCTTTCGGCCGCCATGTAGTCCCCACGATCACGCGCTTCCCTCCTGCGTCGTCTGCGATCCTCCCGCTCGGCAATCTCTCTTCTCCGCGCGACTCGTATTTGGTACAGACTCTCCATCTCATCCTCTCTTCTACCCTCCTCGTCTTGCTCCGTTTCAGGCGCTTCAAGAACAACGTCGACACCATCTCGTTCACCCTCGCGGCCGAGTACACGTTCATTGTCACGGACTGAGCGCGAATATGCAGGAAGTGTCATGACAGACCGGACGCTGGTATGACGGTCGATGCGATCGGCGTTGCTCATTTCGGGCTGGGCATGCGTGTCCACTTGGACTTGAAGGCCTTGGTTAAGATCGTCTCGAACCGGGATGACATTGCGAGTCGCTCCCGCGAGATGCTGAGATTGCATTGACGATGACTCTTGTAATTGAGAGCTGTAGGTTCCTTTGTCGGAGTTTGCTGATCCTGAAGGCTGCCATGCCCGCCATCGTCTTTTGAGAAATGCGGTGGGTATCCAAAATGGGTTGTCGTTTCGTTGCCGCAATTTGCGCAAGCCAATGTAAGTTGTTGGAACGACGATGAAGACAATTATGACGATCATAACAACAAGCTGAATTCAAGCTGCAAGTTAGCTCCCTGTTGATGTCGAACGCTGTCGCATGTTCACTCACAACGACTGTTTGCGAAGGAAGGCCGCTTTTCGGGCTTTCTGAGCTATTGTTCGGCGCATTTTGCCGTCGGAACAGGCCAACCTCGCTCTCGGGAATCAGCATGTCGGCGGCAAGGCCGAATCACGGTGCCGGTGATTTGAAGACAATGGATGATCGGCGAGGGGAACCATGCGACATGTGAGGAAATCAAAGTGTATTCGGTAGAGGCACTGCGAAGCGACAGGAAGGTAGTAAATGCAGGTGATGGCCGTTGACGGGCACGGGTGCAACGGGTTGGTCGTTTGAGGGGCGGAATTGGTCGGTTCAGATCAGGATCCTCCGATCAATGATGATGATGATGACAGAGCCAGAGATCCACTTGACAGGCTCGCGTTGCTGGAGAGGTAAGAATTCAAAACAGCAACCAGATCGCAAAGTTCATCGTCTCTCTGGAAATCTGGCGAAAGATCAATCTATTGGTACAGTAGGATATTTTAACGATGATGCGGCTGCGCAACGCGTCCTATTGTCTTCCTAGAACAAATCAAGAAGACTAGAGGCGACCAGCGAATGAGCGAGTCAACATCGGGCAACGGCTTGACAAGAACAAAGCCAGTTCTGGTGGGAGCCTCCAGGCGAGGATCAGCACATGTCACAACTACTGCTCCATTGAAACTTGACGCCGCCGGTTTATGATAACACGAGCCTGACGTGTGTCCAATGTCACATCTTCCTCAGCCGGGCTCGGTGAAGGCCAATCGGTATGGTATACACAACAAATTCGGGCTTGTGGAGGGCGGCAGTGCTGACATGGCACAGACTGCGCCGTGTGGTGATGGAGGATGCTGCTGCTGCGGCACAGCCAGCTCCAGGGTTTACCTGGCATGAGGCCCATTCTCGCCAGTCAGCAGCCCCTGCCCTACCTGGGTACCCCAAGCACCTGCACCTGCAGGCTTGAATACTGTAGACCCTGTCCTCTCTCCCATCTCTAGTAAAACTGGAACGGTCATGAATACAAATATGCTTTGCACTTCCATGTTCCAGCCACCGCATTGTACAGTGTGGACAATCTAAACCTTGACTTATAATTGTCCCGCCATAGACGCACTGGGTGACTGACCATGATGGTGCGTCCCGCGATCAACCTGTACTTGCAGCGTCCGACAGGGGATGCGGACAGTATCAGCAGCCGCGTAAGGTCATGACGAGGCGACCAACAAAAGACGGAAGCTATCGATCTGAATACTTAGGTCCTGTACACCGACGAGGAACCCTGGAGGATCTCTATTCGATGTTGGAAGTCTTGCCATTAGCTGCGCGCTAAATACGAGGAGGAGACCTGGAATGGGATGCAGCGGCACCCACCTTCACTGGAGGAGACAACCTTGGAATGGCGCTGGACAAAACTGCCTGCATGGTCGAATTCTATTCATAGCCCTCGCCATGGCTCACGCGCCCGGGACAGCCCAGGACGAATAATACTACCTAGGTAACCTTGGAAGGTTCGCTGCAACTATGGTGTTTCGTTTCGCATGTGGCCCGGCGGATGATACAATGATGTCGCACGATCCATGACAGAGATGCGTTTCACATACCACCTGGGCACGTCTATGTGCAGCAAAAGGCATGAAGATCTAGGCCCTTTGCCATGCACGATCTCAGATTCGCTCATCTGCAGGTGATGAGTTTGGAAATTTGGCTGACAACGGCTGACGGATGTTGCCTGTTGACGTGCTCCGGGAAATTGATTTGCTCCTCATCACGTGTCCACCTAGGACACTGGCATCGGTGATGGTTCTGATGTGATAATCCGGTACACGAAGAGACATATCGAAATGGAGGAACATAAACATCATATGAGCATTATCGCGAGTAGTGGCCTAGCTATGAATGTAGTCCGTCAATGTGTAGGACATGTCAATACCTACCTAGGTAGGTACTGGAGAGAACTGTGCAGTCCTCGGGCATGTCTCGGTTCCCCCCGTGCGAATGAGCAGCGACATCGCACCCAGCTGTCCGCTTCTGGCCAAGGGTCTGCGCTTCGTCATGGCCGATGGGGAAGAAATTCCTCCAATGCCTACATGACCTCGGAAGCTCGAAACTGTCGCGTGCAAAAAAGTCTTGTGCTTGACAACTACACATCATAATGGCTGCCAGAACACTTCGCATTGGTAGGCTCGAACAACACAGACGTCAGACGGCTTGTACTTACAATTCTGTTAGGTCTGATTCCTGGTGACGGTATTGGCCGTGAGGTTATCCCGGCTGGTCGGAGAATCCTTGAAGCACTCCCAGCTTCACTCGGCCTTAAGTTTTCATTTGTTGATCTCGAGGCTGGCTTCGACACCTTCAAGCAGACCGGCGTTGCGCTGCCCGACAAGACTGTCGAGATCTTGAAGAAAGAGTGTGATGGAGCTCTTTTCGGCGCTGTCAGGTAAGAGTTGTGCGCACAGCAATCTTTACATTCCGCACTTGCAAAAACGTACAGGGGTTGTGCTGACGAGGAACAATCTTGTATAGCTCGCCAACGACTCCTACCAAAGGCTACAGCAGCCCCATTGTCGCGCTGCGCAAACGGCTAGACCTGTACGCGAACGTGCGACCCGTCAAATCTGTTGTCCCTTCTGCTGCATTCCCCGATCCGATCGATCTCGTCATTGTGCGCGAGAACACCGAGGATCTCTATGTGAAAGAGGAGAAGACATATGATGGACCCAATGGAAAGGTCGCGGAGGCTATCAAGCGCATCTCGGAGCATGCCTCGTCACGCATTGCGATCATGGCAGGCGAGATCGCTTTGCGCCGACAGCGGGTCCGAAACGCCAGCGGAGATGCTAGCAGACAGGCGATGGTGACCATCACCCACAAGAGCAATGTTCTATCACAGACAGATGGCTTGTTCCGTGCCACTGCACGAGCTGCACTTGAGCAAGCCAAGTTCAAGGATGGCGGAGTCGTGATCGACGAGCAGATCGTCGACTCCATGGTCTACAAGCTTTTCCGAGAGCCAAGCACCTACGACGTGATTGTTGCACCAAACCTTTACGGTGACATTTTATCCGATGGTGCTGCTGCCTTAGTCGGTTCGCTAGGCCTTGTGCCATCGGCCAACGTGGGCGAGGGTTTCGCGATTGGTGAGCCGTGCCACGGTTCTGCGCCAGACATCCAAGGCAAAGGCATTGCCAACCCGATCGCCACTCTCCGCAGTGTCGCATTGATGCTGGAATTCCTCAACCAGGAGGAGGCTGCTGCCAAGATTTACCAGGCTGTTGATGGTAACTTGTTGGAGGGCAAGTACCTCAGCCCAGACATGGGCGGCAAGGCCACCACCGACCAGGTTGTTGAAGATATCATCAAGCGTTTGTAGAAAGCATCTTGGATGGTGGGAAGTTCTGTCTACTCCTGTATAGCATAAACAATGACTCTGTAACGATAGTGTTTGCGCATTTGTCGTTGATCGCCCTGTGTTTACAAGGGACAACCCGGGGGCTCCCTGGAGGTTTGACAATGAGCCGTATGATCCAGCACTTTCAGGCGCGATACTGTGACATACACCCCGATACCTTGCCCACATCTAGCAGGTCTACAGTTTTGGCAACGATGAACATTCAAAGATCAAGCTAAGAGGCCATTCTTGAAATTGATCGCACTGTGGCTGCGGTCACCACATGGCGGGGTGACGTAGGGAATTTGTCCCGCCTTCGCATGCCAACATCGTCATTGTTCGTCGTGTGCATCGCAGGCGAATGCCCGAGCATATAATAAATTTGAGATAAGACAGGCATTACCGTACCTGGAGTCAGAGATTTACAGCATTCGCACTCCTACTAGTAGATCTCATATTGAAAGATAACACAGTAAATATGTCAGACAAATATACGCTCTCGGTGACAGCCGGACCATCATACAAAGACCAGAAGCCAGTTCCTGTCAACACAGAAGATGTTACCAAGATTGATTCCGATCTGGCAACGATAAACTTACGCGTTCGAATCCAGAATTTCCGTGGCGAGTCTCCTTCCGCTCCGAAGACATCGCCATATTTCGAAGATGAACACCACAAGTCCGATCTGTACTCCCTAGGATTCACATTGACTCCCAAAAAGGACATCAACGGGAATGACCTTGTCCTTGGCAACGACTTTGACCATCCCATCCGTGACAGACTACCACCAGGCTTCCAGCAGGCTTTCAAGATCGCGACATGGTTCATCGACCCCGGTCTCTACGGCGATGTCCACGCCGACGAGCCTTACCTCTACAGTCCACTGCTGAGTTCGATCAACGTGCTACGAATAGGACCCAAGGATGACAAGGAGCAGGAGAAGATAGAGGAGGCTCGCGCGGAGAAGACGGCGGTCGTCTTCGAGGAGGGTGCAGATGGGGACGGTCAACAGGCGAGAGAGTCGCAAGGTGTCCCCGCGACTGTCGCAGCTAGGAGAAAGCATTTCCTCACCAAAGCGCACCTGGAAGCATTCACGCTTGAAAAGGATCGCGAGTACTCGCTGGACTTCTACAACCCTTACTTGGACTTCAATGGCAAGTGTTCGACTATTAGGGACGGACGATGCGCGTCACACACGGCTGACCAAAGGTGCTCTAGACTTTGCCCTTCGACTACCGGGATTTGGTGTTATTCCGGGAATCACGATTCCCATTTTGAGCTATTGGGATGGCCAGCCGCTTCGGTAAGAAGATCTCCGCCTTCCAAATTGCTGACCACGTTTCTTGTTGCCACCCCCGACTGATGTTTTGGCTGACGAAAGGACCCATTCTCTTAGATACGTGCTCAAGAATCGCGAGACCGACGAGACGCTGTTCGTGGTTGTCTTCTCGTTGGTACCTAAGGACGGACATGAGAAGCCAGAGCCTACCAAAGAGACAGCTCCCGCTGCTGCGCCCTCGACGAATGATGATGATGTTGACTGAAGAGGTGCATTGTGAATGTAGGGGCGTGTTTGAAATGGACGAAAATGTGATGTGAATTAGACGTAGAGGGAGCGGCATATCACAAACATGAGCAGCTTGGCATTTCGAGTTCACTGAGCGCAAATGGTTAGGAGCGCAGCTTCATACGAGACTGTAGTCTGGGCATGAACTCGGGTGTTGCACGAACTCAGCGGACTTCCTTGTCGTTCGAAGACACCTCTGACCAGTACAGTTTGTTCATTTCCATTCGTTTCCCATATCATCATCAATTGGACTTATTTCCCGCTCGCGAAATCAAATGGATAATCCTTGGGGAGTGACTGGCTCCATGCTTAACTGATCTTCGCATTGGAGAAATCCATCTCTGGGTGCTGGGCTTGGAATTTCCTGTAGTAGTCAAGCCATCAGTATGTCGCCCATTTGCGTGGGAATCACATTCCACCTTACTTCAACAATTCCATCTTCTTCTGTTCATCGCTCGTCGGCTTGCCCATCTGCTTCTGGTTCTGGTCGTACATCATCTTCTCCACCATAGAGCGCGTCTGGCCGTCCAGGTCGCTCAACTTGCTATTCTCCGGAGAGATCTTGCTGGTGTCGACCTTGGGCGCCGAGGTGACCACGTGAGCCCACCACTCCATCTTGTTGGCCTTGTCCAGGTGGATGCTCAACTCTTTGCCTTCAGGCGTGGACTCGAGGGTCCACGCCGACTCGTCGACGAGGATGTGGTGTGGTAGTGTGCCCTGTTAGCCGGCGCATCAGTAATTGTATCGAATCCAGCACAGTTGTCCAAAAGCACGACATACATTAATGATCGGTTCCTGACCCTTGATTCCGGCCTTCAGGCTGTCCTTGGTGAGTTTAACATCAAGATCTTTGCCCTTGAGGTTGCCGGGAATGGGCGCAGTAAGGTCGAGATCACCGATGGTTTGCGTCCATTTGTAGGGCAGCTTGCTCTGCTCTTCCAGCTCCTTTGCTTTAGCTTCCTTATCCAGGCGTGCGCGCTCCTCCGGCGGCGGTGATGCTGGCCGGTCTGACATTGTTCGGGCGTATATGAGGGAAGAGCTGAATTGGCCCGCAATTTTTGATTTGCGTTACAGCTGGAATGGATGCTCCAGAAAAGGCACGGGACAAAACAAGGGCATCGCACAAGCTGCTACAGATGAGGCCAGAGATCAGACGATCATACGGTCATATCACCTTTCAGATCGCCCTGTTTCTTTGCCGAGCTCATTTTCGGTTCAGGAAGGTCTACTCCTGTGTTCATACAAATACAAAATTTCCCATGAAGTTACATCATTTACCGTGATTATCTGGGACGACGCAGCACTGCGGGGTGTCCCAGAAGGCGCAACGGTGTTTCAAGAAAGTATTTAATCCAGGGCCGAACGCCGACTGAACCATGATGATGCCCACAGGGCTGCAGTCTATTGAGGCTGCCCGGCACGTGCCTAGGCGTGTTTGCGTTTACACCTCATGTTTCGCCCCGACCACTCCGGCGGGCGAGGAGTTCGGTCACTCCATCAAAAGGCTACCAGCGTGAGCGCCCATAACTTCCTCACATAATTCAGGTTCGACAGATCGCGGCATCAACATGGCACGCACAGATGCCCTCGCGCGCTTGATAGAAGAGGCCGGCCGCGCACCTGAGCTGGACTCTCAGCAAGTCCCCACATCCGGAATCGTAAGACCTGGACTAGGCAACCGCAAAACGCTCCTCGCAGGACCGATTGCGAGAAATTTATTCATCTCGTACATATGCGGATCGCTCGGAAGACATCGTTCAACGAATTGGCGTGCGATGTGCGCCTGGGAGCGGTATATCAGAGGCACATCAGCGGCACCCTCATGTTGCGTGCCGCATATGAGGATTTGAGCCAGGCCGAGCAGTCTCGATGGGCGAAGCTGGTTGATTGTCATGTATCACCATGCTCTCTCGTTAATGTCACGCATGATTCACCCGGCGAAATTTTGGATTTCTGTTGCGCCACAGTCGTCTCGCAACAAGCCTCCTACAATGCTCCACGTCTATAAGACGGCCTTGGTCGGTCCCCCTACGGACGTCTCCTGCCCTAGTCTCCGGCGGAGGTCCCGCCCAAGCACTGCAAGTGGTATTTCACGATAACGAAGACGACGACCGTTCGGATCGATCCGACAACCAATTCGACTTGTCACCCAGCCGCCATCGTTCCGACTGGATCGTTCGGACTCGTTCCAGCTCATGTATTGTTCCATCAAGACCCTCGACTGTCGACTGCACGCGTCTTGTCCCTCTTGTGCGGGGTGTTAGGAAGTGACTGTGATGAAATAGGCAGCAGCATAAATCACGCTTTATACAGCGAGATTGTATCAGATGCGGTGCCCATATTGCGCCGAGAAACAATCGTCTTCGACCTGTTTGATCAAATATTGGCACCAAACTCCTCATCACAATGACTTCTGTGCAGAACCCCATGGCCTCGACATGGCGAGGCACCGATCGAAAAACCTGGAGCTGGCAACACTTCATACTCGAGCGCGCGGATAATTGGCACAATGACAACAAAGAGTTTCCCGTCTTCAAAAAGACGGACAAGTTGCGATGGTTCAGCCAGCTCTCGGTGAATCGCTGGATCCTCACACACGCCGCATGGCCAGTTGCTATCCATGCTGCCTGGAATTATTACTTGGCGTCAGAGTATGGCCGTATGCCTCACATATTTGTGTTTGGTCTGTACGCCATCGCGTCGTTGCTCAACCTCCAACTTGAAGTCCTTTGCCTCAACTCCCTAGCCAGAGAGTATGCTTTCAAACATCTCGCATTGCATAACCTGCCGGTGACTGACGTACTTGACAGATGCGGCTTTCTTGATGGCGATAAGCAATCGCGCGACAAGGTTCCGGATGTCGGCATCAACAAGGTCTTCGCAAGTATCTACTCGATCGTGGCTGTCCGTTCGGCGCTCACTGTTAGTCTATCATATCGCAAGAACGACCCGATAGCGCTCAGTCCGTGGATCTTGGCTGAAATTTTCCTATACCCCATAATCGTCGACTTCTTCTTTTACATCTATCACCGCGCTACCCACGAAATCGACGGACTGTGGAAGTATCACCGCACACACCACTTGACCAAGCATCCCAACCCTCTACTCTCATCATACGCCGATGTCGAACAAGAGGTAATTGAGATGGCTGTCGTCCCGTTCTTGACCTTCCTCACCATGAAGGCCTTTGGCTTTCCTATGGGCTTCTTCGACTGGTGGCTCTGCCAGAGCTACGTTCTGTGCGCTGAGGCGTTCGGTCACAGCGGGATCAGAGCAATGATGACAGCCCCTGGACCCGCCGGAAGCTTTCTGAAGGTGCTCGGGTGCGAGTTGGTGCTTGAGGACCACGATCTACACCATCGCCAGGGCTGGAGGACGTCGGGCAACTATGGCAAGGCAACTCGTCTGTGGGACAGGATCTTCGGCACTTGCCTGGGTCGTATTGAAGCCAAGTGGGACAATGTCGATTACGATAATAAGTTGAAGATGTCGTGGTTTTGAAGGCCGAGACGTTGTATATTCGGAGAAGGGTCTTGAGAATGGCCTGCCTACCTCGACATTCCAGCGGCCGGACGCAAGTCAATACTTGTGATGGATGACGACCGGGTCGTTCGCCCCATGATAATGATAAATAGCATATTTGCGAAATGAGTTAGACTTGTCGAGCATTTTATGGAGGCTCACTTCGATGTCCAAGCGGTATCATTCTATAATCGAAGCTATCTGACGAGAGTAATCTTCTTTCTAAATCCACGTGCACAATCTAATCGTCGTCGTTATCGTAATCTTCCAACATGTCCCACAACGCTCGCCACAGGAGATGCATCTTGTTCCACGCTAATGCCTCATAGATCAGTAAAGCCACCAATTCACGCCGTTTGCATTGACATCGCCAGTGCACCACATGCTACCCTTCGCACCAACTCGGCCATTGGATCCGTATCGTTTGATAGATTCGTTGATGATGTCCACGATGTCCTGTGCGCCCACGAGATACCAAGCGTCACCACGGGCCCCGTTGTTCTGCACACTCAAATGGCAAGAGCCAGAGCGGACGATTTCTCTGTCGATCCCAAGGGTGGTCGTCCATTGGCCATCGGTGCCGATGATGTGTGAGATGAGATCTTGGCAGTCTGAAATTAGGGGAGGCGTTCCAACGGTGCCCGGGTCGAAGTACGAGACATCATGACAGTAGCTGTTGCGGAGCACAGTACATGGAAAGTCGTCAGGATGGTTCCCATTGGGGCCGTAGAACTCCAAGGCCATGGAGAATCTTGCAAAGCTGCAGACCGGTAGTCGAATCAGACCTGGTGTGGTAACGTCCTGATTCATGAGGTCTGCGATCGTTTCCGAATTTCCTGGGTCTGCTGCCAGGCCATTGTTCTGGTTACCATTGGCGATATATGTGCGGACAGAGCCTTCTATGAGGAGCTGTGTAGTAATACCGCCCCACATTGTGCCATCAAAACTAGAAACCCCATCAACCGCAAAAAGATGATTCTCGTGGGGTACAAACTGGACATCGGCGTGAAAAGGGGTGGCAAGATAGTACAAGTTGCCACCATAACAGCCATACGAAATACGCATGTCGTCGGGGGTCATGTAATCGCCCATTGGGTCCTTAGTGCCACAGGGATATCCCGAGTCCAGAATAAACGCTGCCTTATGTGCCGCTTGCCACAAAGCCGGGATGGCGAAGGCATAGAATGTTCTTGCGACGCTGGACTTGAGCGTGTCCAATTCCGACCCGTCAATAGTTGCGGACGGTTCGCCTGAATTTCCTGAGATGAGCTGTCCCTGCTGAACAAGAGTATACAATGCTGAAATTGAATCCGGGCTGCCATCAAACAAGGTACGCAGTGTTTGAATGATGTTGTTGCTCCAGCCATCGAGGGCTTGTCCCAAGTACATGCTGAAACTTTGCTGTGAGTCAGCTGACCATGGCTGTCTGTGGAATATGTCAGAGCTACGCGCGATTTGAGTCATGTGGCGGTGAGGTCCGTAAACCGCAATGACTCGCCAGGACGATCACCACTTACATTCCCGATTTACCGTTCTGATTCCTTGCCACCGCCGTGCCAAATGTGACCAACGTGGATGTTTCATCTTTGATGACGCCCAATTGATTCGCTTTTGACACAAAATATGGTAGCTCTTTCAACACTGCAAATATGTCAGCGTGGATGAAATGAGGCCGAGTGCACTCGCATACCTATATTGAACATCGGTGCACACAACGCCGAGACACCCAACGTTATAATTGATATAATCAGATCGACCCCACTGTTGTCTTTGGGTGGTGGGACTGGTGCGAATGTTTTCTCGAATACAGCGAGTGAATTGTCGATTGAAGTTGCTGCCGCTTCGACCAGAGCCGAGTGGTAGTTGCTGTATATCTGCACAAGTTGTGTCAGCTTCACGCAAGTGAACGCCGGAGAAGTGATATATTTCGAGCAGATTGCAGGCGTGGATACGTACCTCATTCACCATGACCACAGAATTCCAGATCTCGTAAGCAGCGGGCGCTATGAAGCCATTGCACTGCAGAGTTTGGTCACAATTGTTTGATCCTATCTCACCGCAATTTGCTTTGTTCGGGCCGTATATCAAAGCGGAGATGTACTGGGAGAATTTGAAATTCCCCTTTTGATCATCATGATACGACCTCCAGCGTTTGATAAGATCGCGCCAGGCCTCTTCGCAGCCCATCTGTGACCAGCGCTCAGCTGGAGTGAGGTCCAGAATTCCTGTAACTGAATGGTCCTTGCACGTGAGTGAGGTCCAATTACCTTGGAGGGGTTGAGGACTGGCGGGGTTGCCACCGGACTTGATGACAACTTTGAACTGACTCCAAGATGATGACGTCTCCGGTGGATCATTGTAGCGCTGCAGATCTGTGGCCCAGTCGGCTGTACCAGACATCGCAAGACCTTGATACACAGCAGCGCGTTCTGCCTTAACAGCATCATCCATCCAACCGACCCATTGAGTCTGATCATAGACAAGGATGTTGCTGTGGCTATCTTCGTCGACGAAATGGTAGTTGACACGGCTTGGATCGTTGGCGATTTGTTGGATTTCAGCATTAGCGATGTAGCCGGCAGTATTGGTGCACACTCCTGGGGTCGCCATTGAATCTGTGGCGGAGCCTAAGTACGTGCACTGGGGCCCGTAGCAACCCGCTTCGGCCATTGCGAATGACCGTCCGTAGCTGGTCACACCGACAACGACCTGATTCGACGGAACTCCGGCCTTAGTGATCTGTCATATAAAACTTGTCAGCGCATTCTTGACGAATTTACCCCTTTTTACTCAATCAATCGCGGCGACATAACAGAACAGGTTCGACGGTACATTGCGTCTTCTGGGGAGAGACTCGTGGCTCACACTCCCTCGAGACCCGTCCGCCGAGCAGGCTCGTTCACAAAATCATGTCTGTGTACTCACCATAACCAAAGCACCCATCGTTTCTGTGAGATTCACATCTGTGCGAAGGCATGTTCCTGTAGTGCATCCAAGCTGCGACCACTGGTTATTCGCATCCCACTATTTCAGATGGACGTCAGTAAGTGCAAGCCAGGACTCTTAGACTTTCCATCGAAATGGTAATATCCGTACCTGGCCATGTAGATCGTACGTCATGTAGATAATGTAGTCCAGGACCTTACTCATGCTTCCGATCGGAAAAGCTTTTAGGTACCAATAGGATGCTGGAGCTGCAATGGAGATTTCCTTGGTCGGCAGCTGATATCGCAGCTCGGCTAAGAAGGCCAGGTAGTTTTCGCCGTCGTCAAGGCTAGCTGGAGGGATGCCAGGAATGTCTTGGGCCTAATTCAGTAGATTGAAGTCAGACGTGGAAGGCATTGCAAACTGTGCGATACACTTTTTCCAATGCAAACACTTACGCCCGGATATTCCCAATCGATATTCACACCATCAAGATCATTCGCATTAATAAATTGGGCGATTTGGCTGGCCATAGCGCGTCGATTTTCAGGTGTGACGCCATTTCGAAAAATATGGTAGGTGCTGGGATCTGTCGAGAAGCTCCATCCTCCGATCGAAAGTATCTTGATCGGACCCTCGGTCCGCATGAATTCTCTGAATTCAAAATTGCTGAGATCGTCTCCGACTTGAACTTGAAAATCGTCTGTTAATGTTCCAAACGAGAAAAAGAGGTGTGTGTATGCAGAAGCATCGATTTGAGCAGCCGTCTGATACAGGCAATCACGGCCCAAGTTGTAGCCCTGGAAGAATGCTATCTTTCGAAGCACAGCAGGCGGCTCGCTACGTACGATGTCGGTACCGCAATTCGAGATGCAGCCGTTTGTGCCTGGCGCAGCCGTACCTGGCGCGCCAGTACGGGTGTCTGTGCAAAAGTCGGGAGTGTTTCCACACTATATCAGAATTAGCTCAAGGTAGCGTGGTGGGCAGTTCGACAAGGGTGTCTTACCTGGCCCCAGATGTCGCAACAAGCATTCAGTGAACAGGGATTGAGAGAAGAGAGATCAGTCCCTGGTGGTGGTCTTTGTGTGCCTGGTACCTGTGGACCACAAGTGGTGCCTGCCAAGGCTGCTGGCATAGGAGGATTGCCGGTGCTAATGCAGATGATCGTGCCGAGCCATATGTTACTGCACCCATTCCAGCCCCATGTGTTTACGTTGAGCTTGCTTAATTGGTCAACCATGAGACTGTACTTGATGGCGATGTTCGCGCAATTGTCGTTGCTTTGTACTGTGTATGTTGCGCATGATCCATCAGAGTTAGGTTTCGGCGCAAAATTTGGGAGCGATCCAGCTGAACAGCAAACATGTTGGGAAGGCTGAAGGGATGCACAGAAGTTTGAGCCTGGGTTGTAGCTCGTAAAGTCTGCACCGCTGATACCACATTTCTGCGCCAAAGAAGCACACCCATCACCCGCAACTACTTGTGTTGTCGAGCAGTCGGCTCGCGGCATGATTTCATGCACATTTCTTCTCGGATTGGTCTCTCTCACCGCAGGTCTTGAGACGCTCACGATAGAAGAGTTGCGTGATGCGTTTGTGATGTGCAATGTATTCGAGCTGCGTGAGACCAAAGGGCTTTGCACGGTCTGATCAAGGCGACTGCGGGTAGGCGTAATCCTGCTTGAAGTGACCACAGGTATAATGTCAAGAGTTTTGCTTGAGATGATGCTGCTGTGCAAGCACGATTTTGGTTTCAAAACGGAGCCGCCGCTGAGTATCGGCTTACTACCAGCGGTCGCACTGCTATTGTGCCACACGTGGCTGATTGCACTGGCTGCGCTGGTCGATGTGAAGTTGCTTCTTGTAGGTATTTGCTTGAGAAGAGGAGTGGTAAATGTTGCCAGACCAGTGATATCTTCAGACTTTGGCAAAGGCAGACACACTCCGCTGGACCAAGATGTGAGGGCATCCTGCACTTTTGCAAAGCTTTTGTCGGCTACAGCGATGAAGCCGAAGACATGATCAGCTGTTTGTCCGGGTGGGCAGTATTGCATCGCTAGACTAGCAGCATTGTGGGACTCGACGGACGAGAGCACATTCTCGAAAGCTTGCAACGCAAACTTGCCAACGGCGTGATTCTGGAGGCCCTCGCCGACATAAAGACCAAAGGTGCTGACGCCAGCTGACGCCAGCAGAATTGCTGGACCTTTTGTAGGCGCAAAACCGTTCAAGAGGAATTGGCGAAGCTGAGGTGTGATGGCTTTAGCACCCGCGATGTTGGACGCTCCAGAAGTACCGTTCCAGTATCCGATCGAATAAGTGACATTTGTGGTGACACCTGCGGATGACGTTGCCCTGTGCTTAACAGTGGCCGGCGGATTGGTCCAGTCTTGTCCGAGAGAGGTACAAGCATAAATACGGTGATTGGTTGAAGCATCATCGACGCGGTCAATTAAAGCAAAGTCGTAGAAGACGGTTTCGTCACAAGATTCAAACTGGCCGATGCTATGGTAGACTGACCAATTGCCTGAAAAGGGTCCGGTAGAGCTGCAACGTGCCGGGCATGCACTTTTGTTCGGGATTCTTCGTACGGTAGGTGCATTGAAAATTGCTGACGGAGTAGATGAGGCATTGGCGAAGGCGAGACCAACGATGAGAGCGACGGAAAGAAGCGCATCGACCGTCTGTCGAAGAGCCATACTGTGAGCTGTGAATCGCAGACTCAGCGTGGTACGTATTGTATTTCCTTAGTAGGTAATTGATGTGAGAAGTTGTCATAACCAGCGACCGATCGCTTGGCCATCCTCGGGAAATTCCAATATTTGAACACATCCAGCATGTGCGGCGCAGTCATGGGAACAACATCATACGTTGTTGACCTTTGCCTCTGTTGAATTGCAACAAAAACGTGCTATGATGGTAGGCAGAGACTCGCCTATCCAACACACTGACGTTCGCAGAGTTTACGGCCCGCCCGTAATCATTTTGAAGTGGGATCCGCATACATTTACTATACCATCGACTGTATAGACCTCTACGGTGGTGGCGCGACACAACACCGAAGTCAAGATCGACGAATCTGCATCGCGGGCCGTAGCCGCGAGTATTGACATGTCGTCCAGTTCATTGGCTTGATGCTTGCTTTTGGGGGCCGCAAGAAGCGCATTATGTCCACATTCGTTGAGCTAATTAGCGGCGGAGAGGCGGATAGAGTTGATGAACACATTCAGCGATACTCACGATCCGTGTATGTTGTGAACCCGTTTGCATTGCGCATCACGCTTCAGCTGTATCCCAGATAAAACGCCCTTCTATGCATGGTCACAATCGCGGAAGAGTCACGCGATCTCACACCGCGGAAGACACCAAACATTCATCAGATGAGAGCGTCAGGTGAAGGCCGTCGGATTGAATGACTTCACAAGCAAAGCATGCGACTTGTGTCGTTGAGTGGACGAATGATAAAGTTTTTTTCGCGCTCGCGATGCTGTGGATCCAAGTTGCAAATGTCGACGGATCGCCGACCTGAATTGGGAGGTGATGCGAGGTCAAAAATAGTGTCAGAAGACTTGGAAGCAACCATGCCGCTACTGCACAGATGACATCCAACGAGCTTGCAGAATCGCAGCACAAGCATTCAAAGAAGCGTGCCAAGTCGATGATATGCTGGTGTCCTCGCCTACAATTTGCGTTTTGGTTGACCTGAACTTTATTAGCGGCTAAGATTTAGACGCTAAAGGCTCCACTAGACATTCACTTGCATCCGCTTCCTGAAAATGGGTGGCACAGAAGCTCGCCGAGATTGAAATCGTGCTGGATCGGTTGAACAAGGGCAAGCTACAGCTCAGACTGCAAGCGCATTGGTTGATTTGCTTGCATATATACCGCGTAAAAAAGGAGTGATAGACCCATGACTCGTTAAATGCCGATCTCGTCTTGCGTTCGACCGCGGAGCAAAGGCGTGGATGTGAGCCCCCATGTCCAGAATTTGTGCCGCATAGTGTTTTCGTTCCGGTTTATGAAAACTTCCATTAAAGCACAAGGGCTGAAATTGCCCCCAAGGCTGTGATTACCCAAAGAAGTGATTGCTGCGACGAAAAGCTCATTGCGCTGCTGAGGTCTGCCTTTGTGCAATTGACGCGGCCCTCAACACAAGCTGTGCGGTGTATCGCGGCATTCAAGACTGCAGCGCTTGAGGCATTGACATTGGCTGCGCAAAGGCTTGCCGTGGGGTTCTCGCCGAGCACAGCGCAGTAATTTGGATCATTGGGGTCGCGGCTTCGAGATGTAGCAACTGCCGTGACGTTCACCGCGAAGTTTTGCGCATTATCGCAGCTTGTCCCCGCCGTTTCCAAGGTCGGTGGCTGTGCGCCGTTGCTTGTTGTGAACCGGAAGCTTGAATCGTATGCTTCGCGCAAGACGCTCCCATCCTTCGGAGAGCAGCGCGAATAGTCAACGACCCAATCGAACAGCCATGATCCCTCGATACCAGCCTGGATGGAGAGGTAGCTGGAGACGAAGTACGGATCCTCGGGTAGTGAGTTGTTCGGCGTTTTCAGATCAATTGTGCCAACATTGAACAGTGATGAATTGACATCGCTGCGGACAGACCACCCGATCGAGGCTTCGGCCAGCGAAGCGAGTGCTTGGCCTTTGACACTGAATACCACAGGGATAAGCGAGACAGGCTTGTAGATGCTGCCATTGCGCGGGAAGCTTAAGTCGACTTCGAGAATCCCGGGCGATGCTGTGGCGCATGAAAATGGTATCGAGAGGAGTAACAACACACCAGCAGGAATAAGCAGCATTCTGCTTGCTGTCTGTCAACGTCTTCAGACGGTGACTGCGTGCTTATGACTTGGCGAAGAGGATAGAGAATCACAGGTGTTACGAGAAGTGAACGAGAAAATTATGCGGTCGGCAAGGTTCGTCGACGCACCGCTGACGTGAAGGCTTCAAGATTGCTTAGTGATTAACGGCACTCCCATGCTGGCCCTTCAGTCGGTGGAAAGTTGTCAAACGAAACCGATGAGGGTCCTATAGGGTGCATGGGTAGCATCCTGGATAGGAAGTAGTACCATAGTGGGATTGTGAACAAACGGGGCATGTGCTCGCAGCACTCAAATTGCGCCGCGTAGGGCAACATCGCGAACAGATCCAACACGTGCATCGATGCAAGCCGCGAAATAGCTTTCAGCTGCCTTGACGGGTGAGTTCTCTCGCGATGGATACATGACTCTACTTCATAGTGCCGCAGATCTTCATTAAGCGCATGTGATGAAAGCCCCCAGTGGGTCTTGTTAGCGACAGCTGTTAGCGCTATCCCGGCTTGCACCGGTTTGCTGCAGGTACGCGCCGCAAGTACGGGCATTCAACAACTCCTCGGACGGACTGATCAACGGATTGTGCGGATCAACAGACCGCTCGCGGGCGGCAAGACCGTCTCTCGGCGACGGTATCAACGATGCAAGGAGAAGCATCATCTTCAGATTGGGGCCAGTGGAAGTCGACTTCATAGCCGCACGTCTGACAGAGCAATGGCTCAATACAACACGTGTGTCGATTACAGGTCCCCGCGTTCATGGTCATAGAGGAGCGACTTGTCTGCCACACTTATCTCTGCAGACTTGAAAATGAAGCTGAATTCTTTCCCGATGTTAGTCTAGCACACAACAAATCATTCACATGCTTGACGCTTCCTCTGAGACTGATACACGGTTTACATGCACTACAAAAATACGGATGTCCGATCTAGAGGGGACGATATTGACCCGTGCGTGTAGTTGAGTCGTAGGGATAATGGTCTGATGCTCGGAGTTGACACAGCTAGGTGAACTGGACAACGAGACTCAGAGGAGGTCTCTTCATGACGGCTGCTCAACCGGGAGCTAGGGTCTGGCGCAAGGTCGTTTATTCTTGAATTTCGAGCGAATCATGTCTCCTTTTCCTGTGGCAATCTCGCTGCATCTGCTTAGCTTCTGCATTCAAGGTGAAGACTTCCCAGCGCGACGTCGGGCAACGGAGCACCTTTCGTGTCTTTGGATGCATAAACGGTCCATCGAAACCAATTGATGATTGCATCGGAAGCATCACTCTCCCGCCACCATTTTTGCATTCCTTGAATCGTTCTGCATGCGGGCGGGTTTCGGCACATTTCAGTGCAACTACTTTGATCCACAGAGTTCCGATCGGCTGCGCAGCTTCCAAACGAGAGTTTACTCCGTACCTCAAGTTTTCTGCGCTCAAATTTGAAGAGAGCAGACATTGATGGTCAGCCCTGAAGCATAGCTAGCTCGCAAACTTTGCCACAACTCGCTCTCTGCCCCTATGGCTTAGCGCGCAGTTGTGGAAATCGTGTGTTGGTGGCACCTCGTTTCGAGAGAGGCAACAAGCGGATGTCAGAGAGCGCGCGATGTCACCTCAGGTTGAGTGCCGCCAGACTGTTGCATGGAATATGCCGGGCGGTGCACATCGTCAGTGCTGCATAGCTAAATGCTGAGGCGATGGCGTGAGTGAGCATTTGCGCTCTGATGGGGCAGACAAGCATGTCCGGAGTGGATCACATCATGAAACGGGGGCCTCGCGATTTTGTTTCTGGCGTATGTCCTTCTGCGGTCTTGCCATCTGATGTCTTTGACGTTTGCGAAGTGTCGTCCGCCAGCTTATTCCTCTTCGCTTCCACATCTTGGCAGTCTGCTGCTCGTTTGGCCTCCCGTTTCTTCCGTCCTTCCCACAGCATGTCGGTTGTTTCGAGTTCCTGAATGACCTGCTCCCACTCCTGTTCATGCCCAGCATCGCCTGTGCCTAGTATTCTCTTGACATCAACATCTTCTCCGTTCTTCACCCGCTGGATGACCTCTCTCAAAGCTGCGATTTTGGCGTCGGTCTGGCGGCTGAAATTAAGCATCTCGCGTTTGACGTTGAGGAGATGTATGGCGTTTGATCCGACAACGATACCGAGCACCAAAAACACGATGCCTGCCCGTCGATCGTCTGCTCCCAAAGCTCGTTCCGCAGCGTGTGCCGCAGCTTCTCTAGGCGTGCGGGTCTTGCGCCATGCTTTTGGAGTGAGCTTCGACCAGAATGATGGATTTGCCAATCGCGGAAGCCGTGATTCTGTCTCGTTCTGAAAAGTGATGTTCACGGAGAACGTCCGGCGGAAACTACGCTGCCAACACATAGGTGAGGAGTGAAAGACACGGCATGCAAGCCATGCCTGCAGCTTTTTGTGTCGGGTGATCATTGATGATTGCATCTAATTAAGATGAAGCGATGGTAGATGTGTAGGCTGAAAGAATGGTCGCAGCCCGATAGGAAAATCAGTCGTGAAATTAAACCATATGGCCAAATATGGATGGCACGGCCACCACTACACGCTCCGAGCGCGTCGAGACCTGCCTCAAGCGCGTTTAATCTGCATGTCGTCTGTAAAACTCCCGCATCGAAGTATTCCTTATTGGATCCCATAATGTCTGCGGGGCATGAGATAGAGATCATCAAAACAGCCATATCATCTTTTCAAGCAAATACACATACTGTGACCTGCTTGCAGCGACTGCTCTCTTTAGTTCAGACTCCAAGCACTCGCGACAATGCCGAAAAAGCCAAACAGGCCGTTCGCCCTGGACAGGCCTCGCGCAATCGGAAGACTAATGGAGCTGATCATCAAGACTCTCAGATATCTGGCGCAAGTGAAAAATCCAGAGCTCGACAGTATGAGCCTGCCGATATACCACAAAAGACTAGGTTTGCGTTGGCCACGGATATCGTGAACCTTTCTCTCCGCGTCTTGACAGATTGCTCTCGCAAGCGAGAAGCGCAAAATAATCTATGTCCACGTGCTTCTTCGCCGCTTGAATCCAAGCGAGCTGTCAGCCCAAACCAACATATCATTGAACGTGCAACAACAAAGAATATCGCCCTGAAAAGTGAAGCTCAAAACCCATCTTCAACCAAAGTGGCGGCAGACTCTGGATCGAAGCAGAATGGTGCTGGTCAACAGCGTAGCCCAAATACTTACGACGAGAGTGATGGGTATGTTGTGTGTACAGCGGAAATCGCCAGGCTGGGCTTCTTATACTTGAGATTGGTCGATACCAAGAAACATGGTTTGCGCGAACCTCAACGACTCCAGCTGGAGTCAGGGATGCTGGCTCTTGTAGCTAGACTCGTGGCCTTGAACCTCGATTCACTTGCGATCAAGGAATTGGTCGCTGTGAAGAAGATGCTCGAAGGCGATGCCACCATATCAAAGCCCGGGAAAATAGGCGCATCAAAGCAGAAAAGTGTCACCAGAGAAAGTGCAGCTACACTTCTCGATCTCCAGGTTGACCTAGAAGGGCAACCCGATCTGGTAACACCGCTTCTGAATTACCAGACATATGTGCTACGCCTCATGTCACGGCAATCCGATACTGGCTCAATCAACGTTGCGATCTGTAATCTCCGTACAGAAAGCAATGTCTCTCCGTTAAAAGTCATACTACGGTATGCCAGGATCCCTAGTAATCGCGAAAAGGCCATCCGCCGTCTGGAAACTCTGGCTACAGTTTTGTCGGGCCTCGCTCCCGCCTTGTCTCATTCTGCAGACAGTGTTGCTTGTGATCCAAACTCGAGTCTTTCTCCCATCATTGCATTTGAGCTTCACTGCCTCGCTCTGGAAACTCAGCTTGAGTTGTGGAAACTTGCTGGGCACGAAATCGATGCAGAACGGGAAGTGCTCCAACCTTATTACAGATGCCTGGCCACGGCGTTGCGCCGTGCCACGAAGATGTCATCGGTCAGTGACCTTCTTGAGCTGAGCATGAGCTTCTACAAAAAGATTCAAATTGTAGCATCTAAACAACTCGATTCAAGCAACACGGCGACAGGCTTTGCAATTCATAAAACTCTGTCCACGTTGGCAGAGAGGGCATCGCGCAAACGAGAAGCAATAATGTGGACAACAAAGGCTGAGCAAAATAGTCAAGCAGCCGAGAGTAGCGCAAGACGGATGTCTATACTAGTTCAGCGAGCTCTGAGAGCCCTGGCAACCGACGCAAATGACGGAACCATTCTTAACCTGTTGGAAGCCGCTCGTTCCGCTTTCAAACAGGCTGTTTCTGGGACTTCGCAAGATTATGAGCTGCTACTTTCTGATCTGGCGGAATTCGTCCAGGGGCGCGCCGTTCCAGATAAGGAGATTTTCAGAGCAGTATCTCACGACATTTGTGTCGAAGCGGCTGCATTCGCAACGCGGTTTTCCAGAACTTACCCTGATCGTGACACAAAGAACTCTCTGGTCATCATCGATGCTGCAATTGCTGGATCAGATTCGAGCCAAGCCATGATCAAATGGGTCGGCAAAGACACTTTCGGGATATTCAAACGCGCCGGTGTCTTGCGGGATGTATCCCAGCATGCTGCTGCCAACTCAATGCTTGCCGCGTGGTCATCTTCTCGCGTTGCCACAACGTTCGGCAGAATGATTAAAGCCTTGATCATACGTGTTCACAAACAATCCCTTCCGCGAGATAGTTTGCTCGAGTGGGACGAGGAGATTACTGATCTCAGTGAGAAGGGTATTCTCTTAGAATGGCAGCTCAAATGTGTCGTAGAGCTAGCACGCAAGACTCGCTACGATCAAGTTTCCAAGGAAATGGCTGCAGAAATCCTGAGCAAACTAGCGCATACTTATTCTTCCACTGCCTTTCCATTACGCCGTGCAAGAGTGGGACTTGTGGCGATGCAGATGAAGCAGGAGTGTTCCGAAGTATTGCTTTCAAAAGCTGGACATTCGACATGGGCGGAATGCTCAATCGACATCGACCATATGGGGCTCGACTCAGGACTCGTTGCCTATGTGGCCAACACGATGGCCATGTCTGCCGTTTTCCGACTCTTTGGTCAAGGTCAGCCTTCCATGGAGCAAATTAGACCACAGATAGAGATCTGGAGAGGTCTACTTGGGACGTGCTCTGGGTCCCGTTCCGTGGCAGATGTTGTGGAAGATCCAAATCTGCTGGCCAACCAAATATCTGGTCTGACGGAGTACTTCATGGCACTGGGCGAAGCATCGTCTGCGCTGACTGTCGCACTTTTACTCGTTAACTTTAGTCAAGCTGCGAAATTCTCCAAAGTTGCACAACTCAGCAATTTAATCAGTTTGGCGCGAGCATGTCTTGCCTGTCAGCTCGTAGAGCTTGCAGAGACTACCTTGGCGGAGGCTTTGGCCATTTTGCGAACGACCGAAGATACTGACACTATACGTACAGAAATCATGCAGCTCCGCCTCTGTCAAGCGAGCTGTTCACTTATGGCTAATGAGATAGCGAAGTCGCAGTCCTTCCTGGATATGGGCGAGCAGTTGCACCTCGAACAACGGTCGGGCACATCTGAGAGCAGGTCTAACAGACTGCTCCACGGGCAAGCATGGCTGATACACTCTCAGCTCGCGCAAGCTCTAGGGGACCACTCGTCAGCACTTTGCATGGCAAAGCGAGCCGTTAAAGTTCTGAACATCGTGTGGTCCTTACTCGACAAGAAAGGCGAAAAGCAAGAGGTTGCCTCGGTGGAAGAAAGTGACGTGGATACGGTGGCAGCAAAGATTAGAAAACTCAATCTGGGCAGTACCAAGGACAAGCCAGCCAGCTCTTCAAATGATGCGCATCTACGAGCGGCGATGAAGTGGCCGGTAATTCCCTCGTTGTGCGCCGCACTCCTCCATCTATCTACCATCTACAGACAGCATGGGATCTTTCAAGAGGCAAAGTTTTATTCCGACCAAGCATTGAAAGTTGCTGAAGCTATAGGGCCATGCGAGCTATTGGCTCGAGTTCGATATCATAGGATTGGTCTGTTCATTGTTGGGGGTTTAATTGAGGATGCTGAATTGAGTCTTGCCGTCGGCAATCAAGAGTGGCACTCCCCGTCACTAATCAGAGTAGAACAACTTCAAGCCAAAGCCGGGGTTGCGGCCAAGAACGGCAGCATAGAAGAAAGCATAGAGTTCCTCGATGAAGCTGATCGAGAGCTCACAGTACTTGCTACGGCGGTACCAGTTATTGAGTTCCAGCGCTATGCCGACGGCGCAGATCAATCAGCCACTGGTGCTGAAAAGGCTCCAATCCCGAGTCTCAAGAGCGCAAGGAACACCAAAGACTCGAAATCGCGACCAGCAGCGCAACGAGCTAGATCAAAACAAGCCGCCGCTTCTACTACTGCGAAAAAGGAAGATGTTAAAGTTATTCCTGTCGCACTACAGAAACTGAAATCGAGAATTCGTCTTGCCAAGCAGAGCCTTGAAGCTCATACAGATTGCTCCGCAGTGGACATAATGATATCGACCAACGTCGCTGGAGATCGTGCCCCTGAAACGGAGACACAGCACTTGAAGATGCGGACGGCCATCTCGGAGACAACAGCTGCAGTCGCAAAAGATACGTCTTCGGTGGTGCTTCAGGAATCGACACTGGCAATGCCCGCGATAATGGCAGGGGAGCTCCATCAGAGTTCAGATACGAAACGGCCTGCGAGGAAAGCTGATATACGACTTGCTGGCCGTAAAGCCCAAGCGGTATCAGAGCACTCAAACCCATCTGGTTTGCAATCTGTGTGGGACCATTTCGCCTCAAAAAACGCCCTGGTCGCATCAGACAACACGGCGACTGCGCATTTCGAAGCATCGATGCTATGCCAACTATCAATGCTAATGACGATCACTTCGCACAGCCTGCCTGAGCCACAACTGGTCGCATGTGCGATTGAGTACGCTCGAATGAACGCTTCTCGAAAGTACGCCTCCGTTGCTTATTCTGACAGAGAGCATGCCGAGCCACAATCGCTACACGCGTGGCCCGATAAAAATATGCTCAGCCCCACACAACATCAAACGCCGGTTGATTTTCAACAGTGTTACGTGGACATCCTTCCTGCGACGTGGACGGCTGTGTCAATGAGTCTCAACGCTGAAAGTGATGAACTTTGTTTAACGAGATATCGATGCTCGCAGCCTCCGCTAGTAGTACGCCTTCCGTTCGCGCGGCACAAACCAGACAGTGAGGAAGACGAGCCTTTCGACTTTCACATGGGAAAAGAGGAGCTCAAAGAAATTATTGAGCTGTCCAATTACAGCTGCCACAACGCTGGCGACACTTCCGCAAAGGGCGCCAAAAGTAAATGGTGGACGGAGCGTGAGGCGCTGGATCGCCGACTACAGGAGTTGTTGATCAACATTGAAAACCTATGGCTTGGTGGGTTCAAAGGCATTCTCTTGGAGAGCAGACCGTATCCAGAAGCCTTGATCAGGTTTCGCAAAGCTTTCGACGCTGTGCTGAATCGCCACCTACCATCCCGCCAGGTACAGAAGCGCGGCTCAGTACGGTTGTCGCTCGACGATCAAATCCTCGAACTGTTCGTCAATCTTGGTACAGACGAACAAGAAGGCCTCGATGAAGCATTATCAGATTTGATGTACTTTGTCGTCGACATGCTCCAGCTAAAGGGAGAGAATAATGCGTACGATGAGATCGATTTCGACGCCGCAGTCGTGGAGATTACAGACGCTCTGCAGGCTTATCACGACAGTGTTGCCGATGAAGATTCTTCGCGCGGTCATATTATCCTTGTCCTGGATCGTCGCCTACATGTTTTTCCTTGGGAGAACATTCCTTTTCTTGAGGGCGTTAGCGTGAGTCGGATAGACAGTATGATCACGCTGCATGACCGCATCATAGATATGCGCGCGCAACAGCGATTCGCAGAAGAGAGCATGTACACGATCTCGCGAGAATCCGGCTGCTACATCCTGAATCCCTCCAAAGATCTCACTGCTACGGAGAAAACACTAGGGCCGTCACTTCACAAATTACAGACCGCGGAGAACAAGTGGATATCGATCGTTGGGCGGCCTCCAAGCGAAGAGGACTTTGTTTCGGCCCTTGCAAACTCGGCCATCACTCTTTACTTTGGCCACGGTGCTGGTGCGCAGTATATCCGGACTCGAGCTGTCAGACGGCTGGAGAGATGCAGTGAGGTGGTTTGGCTCATGGGCTGCTCCTCCGGTGCAGCTACGGAGTATGACTCGCTTGAGCCATTTCTCGTTCCATTGGCCTACCTCGTCGCTGGGCAGCGTTCGGAAGATACCTCCAGCACATCAGCTCCTGAGCAGGCAACATCAGTGCAGATCCCCGCGGGCGGGCGGACCAAATGCATGGCAGTTGTCGCGACACTTTGGGATGTTACGGATAAGGATATTGACCGCTTCTCACTGGCTATTGGCGAAGAGTGGGGGCTCTGGAGCGATACCCAAGAAGCAACGGCGCTACCAGCGAAAACGCCAAAAAAGCGCGAGGCCATAGCTGTGTATTCAACACCACAACGTCAACCGAAAACGCCGAAAACGCCAAAAGTCCGACCAACTCCTGCAGAGACTCGTACGCCAGCAAGAAGCCGCAGCCGACCTCGAGATCGCAACAAAAGTAAGCAAAGCTTGGTGGACGCCGTGGCGAGGAGCAGGGATGTGTGTTATCTTCGCTATCTCAACGGTGCCGCTCCTGTTGTCTATGGATTACCTGTATACCTCGATGATTAGATTGCGTTGTACCACCAGGATCAATTCATGCTCAACGCTGCTCAGCGTGACGGTTGATCATACTGCCACTCGCTGATACAAATTATATATGTTTATTTGGTTGGTATCTCTCTAATCATGTATACATTCATTCACGTGTCCTCAATCTCGGTTACTTTTTCTTGGCAGCCTTTTCATAATCACCTGAGAACTCCTTATACCATCTGTCAACCACAGCAATGCTGGGGCCAGCGCCGATGGTCTCCTTGCCCTCATTCAGTTGCGAGACGAAGTCCTCCATGAACTCCTCGACCGACAACGAGACCGGGTTCTTATGCTTCTTGTTGTCGTCAGGGTCCTCCCGCTCCCGGTGCAAGTCTGTACCAACAGCCGGCGGCGCGATCTCAACGACGCGGATGTTGTCTCCAGCATGCTCGAGCTGCGTTCGTAGATTCATGCTCCAAAAGTGTACCCAAGCCTTCGTTCCGTTGTACACGGGATTGATGATAGAGAACGGAACGAAGCCGAGAAGGGATGATACGTTCATGATGACCGCGCCAGACTTTGACCTAAAATGAGGCAAAAGGCCAACGGCGAGGTGCATCGGTCCGCGCACATTGATCGAGATTTCTTGATCGGCCTTTTCGAGAAATTCGTCGGCCTTCATGTCCTTGACGCTGAGCGGTCTCTGAACACCTGCATTGTTGATGAGGCAATCCAGCTCGGGGTGTTCCTTGGTGAGCTTGATGATGAATTCGGGGATGGATTCAATCTTTCCTGTGTCCAGGACGTAGTAAGGCGCATTGTCTAAAGTCTTCACAGCTTCTTGCAGCTTTGACTTTGTACGGCCACAGATGATGATCTTCTTGCCCTCTCTATGAAAGTGCTGCGCGATTGCCAGTCCGAGGCCTCCACCGCCACCAGTCACCTATACGTATGACATGTCAATGCATGCACATTTAGCTATGTGTGCTTAATGTCGCTGCCGCCACTTACAAGTGCACACTTGAAGTCGGTCGTTCCGAACGTCATCTTGACGATATCTCTTGATTTATTTTCGAGGAGTGCAATTAGAGCAGAGAATCAGCAACTGTTAAATCTACGGCAATGTTTCTCCTTATAACATGTATGAAGGCTGAGCCTATTTGACGCAATGCTAACACTCTTGAATTGTGACCATTTGATGACGCAGTTCACTGGCGTTTGGCTCGCCAGCGGGCGGCTATCGTTACACAGTGACCCCCCAAAAGTCTGCGTCGCGCCGGCTTTTCAGAATAATAACAAATAAAAGTACTAACTTCAAATAACGATAACTTAACAACTAATGCTTAGATTAAGATAATCATATAACGGATTATGCTCTATTTAATACCCTTTTCATATCGTTGAATCTAATATATTTAGTACCTTGTATACTAGCTCTATACCTCGATGACTGTGTTACGGTCCGCAACCGTGCGGATCGTACCAACGCCTCGAACGCCCGCTTGCAAGTGCACAGGCACGCTAAACCGCGCCCGTCGGCCCGTACGAGGACAACCGAGGATTGAGGCAAACCAACCCTAAGGTGAGCTACGACGCGAGGCTCACGGCGAGACTCACCACCCGACTCACCTCAAAGGACATTTCATATGTATGTATCTCAACTATATAGGTAGACAGGATAACCTTACGTTGTCCTGTGTTCAACTCATGTTCCATACTCACTGATTGGAATCTCGACTTCACTCCGTGATCGCATTACCGCACCGCTCTCCAGAACTCTCTCCTAGTAGCACAAACCCACAATCTAGGTCTTTGGATCTTAACAGACTGCTTCTACCCTACTTAGTATCGATTCTACTAGTTTAACGCGATAATAGATAATATTGTCCTATATAAGAGGTAACAAATACTCTAGAAGTATAATTTAACGTCAAACACCAGAGCGCGGTCCACCCCACGGCGTGGTCCACGAATTACGTGTCCATAACAACAACAACTTCAACACGCGATGGCACCATCAAAACGCGTCCAAAAGAGCTCAAACGAAGGGAGTGTACTGCTTGCAATATCAGCTTTCAGATCAGGTGACATAGGATCTGTAAATGCTGCTGCAAAAACCTACGGTGTCTCAAAATCAACGCTGCTTCGGAGATTGAAAGGAAGTCCTGCTCGAGAGGACTATATGCCACAGAATAGCAATCTCACTCCAATCGAGGAGGAGATCCTTCTTAATAGCATACTGAAGCAGGATGCCGAAGGGCTGTCGCCTA